GCTGCCCCAGAGTGCCTTGGACCAGGAACATCACATTGGGATGTTGTACAGTCAAGGACTGATGTTCATTGTCTTAAACCATGAGCATTTTCAGCTTGCTTGTGTCACAGCAGTGGTGGGATTTACTTTATCCCGTGCATCTCAGGTCCAGGAATGAAAAAAGTTTTTCCAGTCTACATTTTCCAACCTACATTGTGGTTCTCCTCTCCTGCAGCAGTTTTCAGCAATCGATAGGACAAATAGCCACTGAGCACCTCACCCTTTGTGTCTACTGCATGTTTGCCAACGACGAATTCACACCCCGCATGCCTTTGTCCCCTCGTGAAGCAGGGCAGACCCTGATGGGAAAGAGATGGCTCTCTCAGATGCAGGCAATTGGAACAGAGAGCTTAGGAAAGGAACCCTTACAGAGTATAGGAACACGCTATTGAGACAGAGTGGGGGCCCACGGCCACTCCAGCAAAGTCAGCTGTTGTACCTCCAGAGAGAGCAGCTAAGTTACCAGAATTCAGAGAGAGGCGGGGAGATCGGCTGCCTGCCGGGCTGTGACCAACACCACGTCCAGAGTTAGGGATCCCACCCTGGCTCCAGGCTCTAGAAAGTCTTGAACCTAAACATACAAGTGAATTTATAAAAGACACACGAACATGTGGGACTCTAACACCCAGGGCTGGCCCAGTGCAATCCGGAGCCTGTAACACCCTTCTGGGCCCAGAGAAGCCTGGCCCCCAGATTGGACCCAATGCCAGGGGTGGGGGTTGTGGCCTGTTGACACAGAAGACTGTCTTTGCATGGGCCTGTATGAAGGGAAGGAGCAGAAAAGCCACCTAAGTAACAAAAAGACTAATTAACTTGTTAAATCTTTCCCTCAGATAACTTGCATGCAATGGATTTTTGCGTAACACCTGTCTCCTAGTTGTATCAAACACCCACTTTCTTTCTTCATGTTCCATTTTATAATTCTAGAGATACAGACTAGCATGCTCTAACAGTTGCAAAAGTCAACTGCGGAACTTTAAACCAGTCTTATTACATATCCATAACGACATAACATATATATATGAATTTGACATATCAGGCATGAAGCAAGCTACCAAAGCTGCTTTACAATGTGGTTAAAATCGTGGTGTAAGTGGTAACAACTTAGATCATAAAATTTAAACATTTTGTAATATTTTCTGTAACAAGGATAACTTGTTATATGACCCCACCACAGCCCGTGCATATATTGTGTAAAATGCATGACATTTCCAAATCTAAGTATTGCTTTAAGAATTGTACGGATGGGGGTGCCTGGGTGGCTCAGTCGTTAGGCGTCTGCCTTTGGCTCAGGTCATGATCCTGGGGTCCTGGGATCGAGCCCCGCATCGGGCTGCCCCCTCAGCGGGAGCCTGCTTCTCCCTCTCCCACTCCCCCTGCTTGTGTTCCCTCTCTCACTGTGTCTCTCTCTGGCAAATAAATAAATAAAATCTTCAAAAAAAAAGAGTTGCACGGATTGCTGCCTCGACAGGGGTTTCTCCAGATGGAATTAATAAACAAAACTACCTCAGAGCTACAATGATCCAAGAAAGGTGGTCGAAACAAATTATATGAGAATAATGATCATAACATATTTAGTGATTTTACGGGGAGATGTTAAAAAAATTTTACAACATAAATATGTAATACTTGAAGAATTCCACATATCTTTAAAACTCCTGCAAATATCGCCACCCCAAAACAGATCATCCAGGCTCATGTAATAATAATCAATACAGTTGTCTTTGTTTTGCTATCATTTGTGTAAAAACACATTTCTCAATTTTGTATTAGGAAGGTATACTTCTCTGGGCAGAGAGAGATTATTTGGCAGATTATGATAACTTAAATATTTTGACATAAGGCATGGGGCTCTGGTAGGGCTCTGGCCCAGGTCTCACAACTGATAGGGGCAAACCCACCATCCGAAAGGAAGGTGACAGGCCACAGTGAACCTGACCACAGCCCTGCAAGGCGCACCCCCGCTGGCCAGAGGGACCCCAGGCGCCCCCATGTGACCGCACTCTCCTTGCTCCCCCTCCCCCCCATCAGGATCCTGCCACTGCTTCCATTGGCTCAGCACAAGGGGGCATCAGCCCATCAACCCAGGAAGAGCAGGTGGGACCAGCACTCAGGCAGGTGTGGGAGGGAGAATGGGCCCTGCGGTCCAACAGGAGGACTTGTGCCCTGCTTTGCTACAGGAAGCCCAACTCTGAGCGACGCCGCTGTGCTTTTGGTATCTTCTCCGCCTTTCTTAGAATTGGCTTTCTTGTGTAATTCATGAATCAAGCAGCATCCCATCCAGCAAGTAGAGATGCTCCCTCTTCTCTGCCTTCAGAAACAACATTCACCAATATGTATGAAGGAACATTGCCTTTTGCTTGTACCAAATAATAACTTTTCTCCAGAGACCACAAGTTAATCAAGTCCCGTGACAGACTGTGTGCTGGGGACAGGACTGCAGGTGGGGTGATTTCAGCTATCGTGCCCTGACTCTGGAGAAGCCTCTTCCTCCTGGGGTCCTGGCTGCCGTCGCCACCCCCATGTACTTCATCTCAGATGCAAGCTCCCCCTCTCTCGGTCCTCCTGGGTCTCACCCTCAGCACACGCTTGTGTTGTCCCCAGGCACGTTTGTTAACCACTTCCTCATAGTTTTTTACCCTCCGGTGAACGCCCAGAGCCCTGATGCACTCTGCGTCTGAACTGGAAATACAGTGAAGCCAGTCTTCACGCTGAAAGGCAGACACGGGAAGGAGGGACTGCCGGGTGCCAACCGGCCAAGGACCCGGGAGATCCCTGTGAGCTCCAGAAGCTGGGAGAGGTGGGAAGGACCCTCCCTGAGAGCCTTCAGAGGGGGCACGACCCTGCTGACACCTGGAGTGTTTGGACCTCTGGCCTCCAGAATGGTGAGAGAACATACATCTGCTGTTTGAAAGCAAACCACATAAATACCATGGCCGGTGACATGAAGTTTTGGGGCTAACATGAACTGCAGCCCCACCTCAGCTGAGATCCACTTGCCAGTTTCCTTGAGGGCCCATGCTCAGCTCAGATTACTAAAACCATTTTACAAATAAAGGAAGGAAAAAAAGAGGAAGGGGACTTACGTGTCAATCCTAATTCATCTTAAGTTAGAATTCTGTGAAATGCATTTAAGCAAATTCATTTCATGGCTTTTTCTTCTAAATTTGCTGTCACCTTATGACAACCCAGCAATCCCACAGAGGGAAGTGTGCTGGAGCTGACTGTTACATTTTGGAGAATGTTGTGAGCCCTTTTTCAACACAGCCATTATTAAAATTTAAGTTTGTGCACAACGCCTAATGCCATTGAACTGCATACTTAAAAATGGTAAATTTTGTCAGGTAAGCATTATCAATAAAAAAATTATAATCAAGAAAAAATATAAACTCACAATAAATTATATTTAAAAAGAAGGAAGCTCATCCCTCTCTAATTTTACCACATATTACTATGATCTGTGCTCTTGAGGTTATTCATGCTATTGTGTCCTACAGTGGGAAAGACCTACTGCTGCTGTGCATTTCTTCTGGACTCAAATTCAGCGACTTCACATTGGGAGTGGGAGTAGTCTCCTCGGGCTGCCATAATGAAGTGCCACAGACCTGGTGGCTTAAACAACAGGAATTTCTGTCAGTTCTGGAGTCCAGGAAATCCAAGATCAAGGTTGCATTCTGAGGTCATGGCCTGTGGCTTGTACGTGGTGCCCTCTTGCTATGTGTTCACAAGGCCTTCCCTCAGACTGTGCCCTTGGAGAGAGAGAGAGAGAAAAAGAGAGAGAAAAGCATTGTCACTTTCGATAAGGACCCTGATCCTATAGGATCGGCTCCCCATCCCCATGACTCCTTTAACCTTCATTATTTCCTGAGGGGCGCCATCTCTGACTACAGCCACACTGGGGGTTAGGGCTTCAACATGTAAATTTGGGGGTGGAGTGGGGACACAAACATTTGGTCCACACAGTAGTATTAACTCAGTACTGTGGGAGTTTTTACACCATGGAAATGGGCAAATGCTATGAATCGGGGCTTCTTTTCTGGAGAGCTGTTTGTTCAACATTTACAACCCTCCACTGCTCTGAGGGCAAGGGCGGACAACGGTCTCCTCTGTGAGCATCCTTTCTCTCCTCCCAGCTGGGAACGCAGCAAGGTCAGGGGTCAGTCCCTGCCTCCCAGGTCTCTGCCCTCTGCGCTCATCTAGAAGCTCAGTCTGCACGTGTCAGGTTGGTCAGGAGCTGGAATGCAGCCAGGGGCCGTGAGGAGGCTGACAGGTGAGGAAGTCTCGGTCACACGACACACATGAAACATGCGAATGTGACAGAGGCCGACTCCACAGAAGGCAGGCTCTGGCTCAGGCAGCTGGGCAAATGCCTTCCCTTCCCCGAGCCCATTTTCTCATCTGTCAAGTGGGGATAATAGCCACCTCCCTTTGAGGGTCTGAGTGGGGACAGAATGAGCAACACAGAAAACACTGCACACTGCCTGGAAAGCTACATGGATCCTCATCGCCTGACGCCCACCCTTTAAAGACGAAGACCTCTCTGTCTTCTCTCCATCCACATCAGTCAGCCCTGACTGCCCTGTGCATGAAGCCGGTGACAGGGACCCAAAGCTCCATGAGCCCCTCTGTCCTTAAGCATCTCCCTGTGTAGCAGGAAGACAACCCAGAAAAGGGAACCCCGGCTGTAATGTGGGTCACGGGACTGTTGACTTCTGTCACTGCGAGGGGAAAATGTCACTGTGCACAGCACAGACCCCACACCACAGCAGACATTTACTGGCAATGTGACCTTAAGTGATGTTCATAACCTCCCACGGGACCTCAGTCTCCTCTTGTGAAATGAGGACCGTAACAGACCCTGCCTACTTCCTGGGGCTTGGGGAGACTTAACTACTGTTTTAAAATATAATTATAGGGAAGGGGGCCGAGGCCGGGTCACCTTTACCGGGCTGGGAAGGCAGGTTTGGCCCTGGCAACCGCGCTGCGATGAGGTTCGAGATCCTGCCCGGGATCGGCGTCATGGCCGTGTGCTTGGTCCTCCCCGACATGGCTACAGCGCACATCCACAGGTTCAGTAACGGGGGCAAGGAAAAAAGGGTTGCCTGTTATCCGTATCAGTGGAGTTTGATGCAAAGGGATAGGCGGGTCTCTGGAGTTAATCGTTACTATGTGTCAAAGGGTTTGCAGAATATGGATTAAGGAAGCATTTTCCTGACGGATGAAAAATAACTCGGTCATACTCATCTATCCCTTCTAGAAGGTTATGCAGTGTATTAATGTAGTGCATAATAAAAACAAAAAAAAATTAAAAATAAAATAAAATTGCATTTGGATTTGTTCGCATTGGGCATGGTAAGACACAAAGATGCAGAAATGACTGTCGTGAAATACGAATTTATACTCACAGACCTCTAGAAAGAGGAGGCACAGAATTCTGAGTGGGGCCATGTCGGGAGGCACCAAGGTCGGTCAGGAGGCTGAGGAAGTGAAGGGAAAACAGGGGCTGGAGACTTTATCATAGTGTCTGTAGAAAAGACAAGGCAAAGCAGAATAAGCAGGCTTAGGACTGACCAGTGGGAATAATTTCAGCAGGTTCTGAGGATGAGGGGCTGCCCTGGGGGGAATGGGGTAGAGGAATATTGCCCTCCTGGAGCATCAGATAGAGGAGGTGGTTTGGAGTGTGGGCTCTGGACTGGTTGGTGTGCATATGAAAGGCATGCTCCTGGGGCACCTGGGTGACTCGGTTGGGCATCTGCCTTCAGCTCAGGTCATGATCCCAGGGTCCTGAGATCGAGCCCCCCATCGGGCTCCCTTTTTGGTGGGGGGCCTGCTTCTCCCTCTCCCCGCTCATGCTCTCACTCACTCTCTCTCTCTCTCTTAAATAAATAAAATCTTAAAAAATAAATAAAATAAAAAGAAAGGCGTGCTCCTGGGCACGTCTTTCCTATCTCCAGGAGCTGGCTAACACTGCAAGGGGCAGTCGCTCCCTGCTCAGTGAGGCCCCAGATGTCAAAGCATCAAGAATACAGCAAATCAGCAAAACACCCAGCACCCAGGAAGTGGGAGGTGTCATCCCCAACTGTTCCAACATTAACTTTGGGGCCTCCTTCTACTTGTTTCACATGGGGGAGTCTTCCCTTCCCAGCTGGGCTCTCATTTCTGGAGGGCTCACTGCGTGCCTGCCCCCAGCCAGGGCAGGACAAACCCTCTCTGGGCCCGTCCTCCCTCCCCCAATGGAAAACAAGAGGAAGTAAACAGAGTGTTGATGTCAGCATGGCCCGCAAGCAGACATGGGGAAGAAAAGAGACCAAGATCTGGCCCCCGGTTTCCCCTCCTTCTCATCTTCCCATACCTCCATGGCCTGCCCCTCCTCACACTCTCATCCCAGAACTTGACCAGTGGCCGGATGAAAGCAGCACTGACAAATGGCCTTCATAGGAAAGGCCGTGGGAGGAGAGAGAAGGTGGGGGAAGTTAGGCTGCTGGGGGAGCTGGGAAGAAGGACAATCATTTGGGAAAGCACCAAGCTCACAAGGCACACAGACCTGAGCATTGTCCATGCTCTAGACCTGCCTGGTGGAGGGAACTGGAGTGAGTGAGGTGATCCCTCGGAGCCTTTGTTTCTTCCTTTGTTGGCTGGGAATAAAATTCCTTTTTCTCACAGGATTGCCCTGAAAAGGAAAGGTAGCAGACAAGACAGGTCCTCAAAGTCCGTGTCCTTGCCCAGGGCGTGGTTCTCAAACTTCAACAGCTTGGAGTGGGGCCTGAGACTTTTCCTTTTCACAGGTTCCCACTTGCGGCTGGTCCACACTGTGATATGAGGTACGTGTGTGTATCCCTGTAGTAGGTACGTGTTTAACTTTCTAAGGAATGGCGCAAATGAATGCCCCTCTGTACATTCCCACCAGCAGTGTAGGACATTTCCAGTGGCTTCACTTCCTTGCCAACAGTCAGAATGGCTGGTCTTTCAATTTGAGCCATTTAACAGATATACAGTGTGATCTCACTGTGGTTTTCATTCACATTTCCCTAGGGACTAATGCTCTTACACATCTTTTCATGTGGTTGTGAACTGTATGTCTTTCTCTGACAAAGTATCTCTTCAAATCTTTAGCTCGTATTTTCAATTGGGATTTTTTTTCACAAATTTTGAGGGTTCCTTGTATATTTGGGATACAAATCCTTTGTCAGTTATGTGATTTGCCAATAGTGTCTCCCAGTCTGTAGCTTCTCCTTTCATTTTCTTGATGGTATCTTTTGAAGAACAGATTTCATTTTGAGGGGTTCCAATTTGTCAATGTTTTCTTTAATGCTTTTGGTGTTGAATCTAAGAAATCTTTGCCTAAGCCAAAGTCTCAAAGGTTTTCTCCTGTTTTTTTCTTCTAGGGTTTTATCTGTTTATTTGACAGAGAGAGACACAATGAGAGAGGGAACAAAGCAGGGGGAGTGGGAGAGGGAGAAGCAGGCTTCCTGCTGAGTAAGGAGCCTGATGCGGGGCTCGATCCCAGGACCCCAGAATCATGACTTCAGCTGAAGGCAGATGCTGAACGACTGAGCTACCCAGGCGCCCTGGTTTTTTGTTGTTTTGTTTTTCCTGACTTAATTAATTTTAGGACTTACATTTAGGCTGATGATCCATTTTGAGTTAATTTTTGTAGGTAGTGCAAAATATGAATTCAAGTTCATTTTTTTAATCGAAATTTCCAGTTGTTCAGAAGACTGTGATTTCTCCACTGAATTGCCTTTGCGTCTTTGTTAGAAATAAATTGACCACGTAATTGTGAGTCTCTTTCTGTACTCCGTTCTGTTCCATTGATCTATTTATCTGTCTTGACACCAATACATCTTTTTTTTTTAAAGATTTTATTTATTTATTTGAGACAGAGAGAATGAGAGAGAGCAAGCACATGAGAGGGGGGAGGGTCAGAGGCAGAAGCAGGCTCCCCGCCGAGCAGGGAGCCCGATGCGGGACTCAATCCAGGGATTCCAGGATCATGACCTGAGCCAAAGGCAGTCGCTTAACCAACTGAGCCACCCAGGCGCCCTAAAGAATTTTTTTTTTTTAAGATTTTATTTATTTATTTGAGAGAGAGAATGAGATAGAGAGAGAGAGCATGAGGGGGGGAGGGCCAGAGGGAGAAGCAGACTCCCTGCTGAGCAGGGAGCCCGATGCGGGACTCAATCCAGGGACTCCAGGATCATGACCTGAGCCGAAGGCAGTCACCTAACCAACTGAGCCACCCAGGCGCCCCGACACCAATACATCTTGATTACAGTAGCTTTATAGTAAGTCTTAAAGGCAGGTAGTGTAAATCCTCCAACTCTGTTCTTCAATTTCAGTTTTTAGCCATTCTAAGGACTTTGAATTTCTACAGGAATTTTAGAATTGGCTTGCCAATTTCTACAAAATAGCCTACTGGGATTTGGTTGAGATTGTGTTATATCTACATGTTAATTTGGGGAGAATTGACATCTGAGCAGTATTGAACACTATTCATACATACGTATGAAATCGCCATTCATTAATCTTTAATTTCTCCCAGTAATGTTTTATAGTTTTCGTGTTCAGAGCTTGCACATCTGTTGTATTTATTTCTAAGTATTTCATATTTTGAAGCTATTGTAAGTGGTACCATTTTCACTTGACTTCCATTTTTTGTCGTTAGTATATAGAAAAACAACTGATTTTCAGGTATTGCTCTTGTATCCTGTGACCGTGCTTAAATCAGGGACAGCTCTAGCAGCTTTTTTTGTCGATTCCATTGGATCTTCTGTGTAAACAATCAAGTCATCTGTAAACGAAGAGTTTTTCTTTCTTTCTTTCCAATCTGGATGGCTTTTGGCTCAATTCTTATTCTCACAGCGTTTTAATGTATACAGGTGACTGAGTGATGACACAGAGAGGGTAATGACACTGAAGGAAGGTTTTTGTAACTTACGTTTCCTGCAGAGAAGGAAAAGGCCATGCCGTGCCGTAGAGGGCCGGCCACCTGGGGAAGCAGTAGAGGAGGAAGAGGCAAGACCAAGGGGAAGGCACAGACCACACCTTTAGTGTGTTTTCCCCTGGCAAGACAAGCAAGGAAAGGGAAACAGCTTAGGATTGGCTAGTTTGATTAATTCCGGTGGGCTTTGGGTTACAGGTTACAACTGTCTCTCGTTGTCTGGCACCTGGCACAGGGTTGACTCAGGGCAGAGGAAATATTGGCGTGGTAGGTGAGAGTTAGATAAAGGAGGTGGTTTAGAGTATGGGCCCTGGATTGGTTAGTTTGCATAGGAAAGGCATGCTCCTAGGAATGCCCTTTGCTCTATCTAAGAATAGGCTAGCCTTGGGAGGGGCCATCTCTCCCCAGTCAGCCAGGCCACAAGTGCCTGAGCATCAAGAATGCAGAAAATTGGGGCGCCTGAGTGGCTCAGTCGTTAAGTTAAGCGTCTGCCTTTGGCTCAGGTCATAATTCCAGGATCCTGGGATTCAGCCCCGCATTAGGCTCCCTGCTCCGCGGGGAACCTGCTTCTCCCTCTCCCACTCCCTCTGCTTGTGTTCCCTCTCTCACTGTGTCTCTCTCTGTCAAATAAAGAAAGAAAGAAAGAAAGAAAGAAAGCAGAAAATTAAAAAAAAAAAAAGTTAATACAATTGCCCTGTGATAAATGAATGCCAAATACATAAATACAGAATCTAAGAAAACACAGAACACTTTTATTTCTTTGTCTTGCCTTATTGCATGGGCTAGAACTGCCATCATAATAAATGGAGGTAGTGAGAGCAGATATCTTTGCCTTACTCCTGGTCTTGGGGGGAAAGCAGGAGCAAGGTGAGGTACCGTGGAGGGGGAAAGGTAGTGATGGATGTGGCCAATGAGGAAGGGAGAACAGAAACTTAGGAGAACTTGAGAAGATCTAAGGTGGTATTCACAAAATGTGGTCCACAGCTCATAGCCCTCATTATGTCTCTGCTCCTGAGCAAGCACTTCTGATCCCTCCCCCATGGCCACCCTCTGGGCTAAAGAGCTGCATTTAGGCTCTGCCCATCTATGAATCATGAAACTCCAGACCCTTCTCCCACCAGAAGCCCCCTCTGTGAGAGCCACAGCTCAAGGCTGATCAGTGGGCCCTCTCATTGCTGTTGGGAGAAGTGAGGATGAGCAAACCCATAGACCACACACCATCTGTGAGCAGAAAATCACACTTCACAATTCCAGACATCATGGGGATCCAGCTGGGTCCAGGGGCCTGAACAGGACATGAAATGTGCAGTTTGCATCTAGGGAGACCATATGTGGGAGCAGTGGAGCCTGAAACACCTGGACAGCAGGTACTCTGCCAAAGTTAATCTAGTAAACATTCGTATTTAGTAAACATGCCATGCTGCCCAACGGAATGGGCTGGGACACCCCCTAGTGGGGTCCAGCCCCCTCCTTGGGTGGCCTGGCAAAGAGAAGACTGCCCAGCCAGGTCCCACAGCTAGTGAGACAAGGTAAGAATGGAACTCAGGTGTCACCCCTCAGACAGGGCAGGCTACCCTATAGAGGAGGTATCAAAAAGGCAGTTGGTCCCTTGTTCTGTCTTCTGTCCACCTTTCCAGCAGTTACCATTCGCCCAAGCACCTTCCACAGCCCAGAGGAGTCCATGACATTAAAGCTCAGTTTCTTGACAGCGCCTCAGTTTCCTGTTGGTGAAAATACGTCCACCACACAATGTTGTAAAGCTGAAAATGACCCAATGGATGTTTAAGGCCTGGCTCAGATAAGGGGATCCCATGAAAATGCAGAACTTCTCTTCTCGAGCCTGGGAGGAAGTGTAAGAAACACAGACACAGGGAAAGGGCAGGGGCTGCCTGGCTGGCCTGGAGAGAGGCGTGGAAGAAAACTATGGGGTTTGAGGAAGAAACAGAAAAAGAGAAAGGAAGTCAGTTTGCCTGCTGCCACGTCCAGAAGACAAGGCTACTTCCTGTGATGAAATCATGCTCTCCCACCTTCACCATCTACTCAGTAAGCCAATGCCAACCTCATCCGGGGGCGGGAGGGAGCCCAGCCTCCTACAACCTGCCCAGGGAGTCACCAAAAGTCCCAGCCCCACTCTCTCACCCCCACCCACCACCAGTCACAGGCTGGCAGTGCCCTCCATTGCAGATGGTCCAGGGACTGTCACCAGGATGACGCTACTGCTCTGGGCCTTATATCCCCCCTGGTCAAGGAAGGTCTGGATTAGCCAAGGCTCTCACAGCTGGGGAGGGAATCATCTAAGGAGCATTATAAAAATAGGGCCTCCTGGAAGTCACCCCCCAGAACTCTGCTCTTGGGAGCTGAGGCCCTGAGGTTGTGTGGTGCAACCAGGCGGAAGCATCCAGAAGGAACCGAATGCTTTGTGGACTCAGTGAGGCTGGAGTTTGAGTCTTAGACCTATCACTTGAGAGTCATTCGACCTGGGGCAGGGCTTCTCTGAGCCTTGGTCTCCTCATCTAGAGTGGGGGACAGAAGGACCTGCAGATCCAGTCTTGCATCTTGGGGTCAAGGCGTGGCCTTCAGAAGGCCCACCCTCACCTCTTAACCCCAGGGAGGGTGTGAGACTGCACAAGAGGAGCTGATCAGGGCAGGGAAGGGGCCTGGAAGGCCTGGGTCCTGCACAGGACTGCCGGGGGCTGCTGAAGGGGAGCCCCTGCCAGGAGGGAGAAGGACCAAGAGCAAGCTAGGAGTCCCTGGTGCTGGGGCTGGAGGTCGAGGGCATCTGACCACCAGTGGATCCCTCCTCCTCCTCTCTAGGGGGCTGTAGCTGGGCAGAGACTCATGGCTGCCCGCCTTCTTGCTGCAAGAGCTGGAGCTGGTCCTGCCGCCGCCCCTTCACCTGGAAGGACAGACAGAGGCCAGGAGACACTCAGAGAGCCAATGAAAAGGAGAGCTAGAGAGACAAACACTGACTCCTAAGGAGGTAGAGGTGCTGGCAGTGGTCAGGAGTCCAGGCAGAAAGGAGAGGCCACACATGGCCAAGGTCAGAACCATGGTCCTCAGCATGAAGATAGAGGCTGGGGGCCTCTGTTGTGGCTCCCTGAGCTCTGACAACAAGGAAGCACTTTTGCAATATAGGAAAAGAAGAAACCAGATTGATAAAGGAAGTGCTGGTTACTCTGGGTGCTGGTGAGTTTGGGGAAGGCTCTCACCCTCCCTTGCTCCTCTGAAGGGGCCTGATCCACGCTCTCCAGGTGCCTCTCGACTCCCCAAGGAGGCGCCCCCTAGGGCCTCCCCTGGCCTTGACAGAGCTGCTTGTCTTCTCCTCCCCTGGGAAGTGAGGCAATGGGTCTGTCCCTGCTGCTGTCTCTGCTGCTGTTGCCGACATGTCTGCAGGCTGGTGAGTGTCCGGGACGCCCTGGCTCTGCCCCGAGGCCCAGCAAGTCCCCAGGAAGGGCTGAGGCTGGGCAGCTGGAGAAGGGGTCTGCCGGGGTCGCTGGCCAGGCCTCCCAGCCCCAGCAAGCGACGGGCTCGTCCCATAGTGCTAGTCAGCCCCAACCCTTCACCCTCCTCCCTACCCCAAGTCTGGCGAGGGGGACACCCAGGTGAGAGAGCCGGTCCTACCATCTGTCACACTACTGCCCGTGGTGAGGGTGTCAGAAGGTCTGGGGTTATCTTCTTCATCTCTCCCAGTGGCTTCAGAGTCTCTCCTCTCCCCCGTCCTGCAGGTAGCTCAGAAGAATGTGATTTAAATCCTGACTTTGGGATCGAGCAACCAGCTCACCTCTCAGCCCCCATGGGTGGCTCCGTCCATATCAATTTCTCCTTCTATTACTGCTGGGAGTTAGCCAACGATCCCAGAGTGAGTATAGCCTTGAGATGGAAACACTTCCATGGGGAGGCCATCTACAACAGTACTCAGCCTTTCATCCATGAGAAGTACAAGAACCGCATCTTCCTGAACTTGCCAAAGGGTCAGAAGATTGGCTCCCTGCAGATATCGAACCTGCGGAAGGAGGATGAGCATATATACTTTTGCCGGGTCCAAGTGGAAACACTAAGAGACGGCACAAAGGTGTGGCAGTCCCTCCAGGGGACCAGACTCACCGTCACCCCCGGTGAGTCCAGCTGCCCCGGCAGCCACCACGCCCACCCTGCTGAGGCTCTTAAAGACCACGGTGCCCTTGTCCTCCAGGCCTGGCCCAGGCCTCAATCTTCCTGCTCGCCCCTTCTCTCAGACTCCTCTCCCCATACTCACCCCCTCCCTAGGCCTCTGCCAACTTTACTCTTTCTCCTCCATCTCCCCAGGCCTGGGTTGCCCTCCTTGACCATCCCCCTCACTGCCCCCTCCGGATCCAGGCCCCCCCAGGCCCCGGCCTCAGCACCTCCTGGGCTTCCCAGTTATCCTCCCTTCTTGCCCCAAGCTGGGGCTCCAGCCCTGCCTCCCTACCCTCCCCCCATGCCGTCCAGGTGGACTTGACTTCTTCAGGATGTGGGCTGCCTTCCCTTTGTCATGTGTCCGTGTGTGCAGCCCCAGCTAGCCCCGAGTCTTGCGTCTCCCCACAGCCATGGGCTCAGCCCAGCACACACAGCAGGTACCCAATGATGACCGAGAGCCCCGGTCCCCTGGCAACACCCCATTACCTGTTTTCCCAAAACCCCCACTTCCTCTCCTGCTCTGCTCCTCGGAACCCCGCCCACGATGCTCCCCGCCCCAGCCCCAGCCCTCCTCTCCTTTCCCATCTCCCTCTTCCCCGCCTCTGTCCTCTTTACCCTCCTTGCTCCCCCCATCCCTAGTCCCCACCTCTGCCTGTACTGTCCCCACTGTCCACTCTGATCTCACTGCTCCGTGCTGGCCCTCGAGAGGCACGTCTGCAGCAGAAATACGGCAGCTCCCGCTTACTGTGCACTGTGTAGGGTTGAACAACTTGGTATGCATCGCCCTAGTTAACCTTCCCCACGACCCCACAGTAACAGTAAGTACTGCTGTCGTCTTCCTGTTAGAGATATAGCGGGACCCTGAGGCTCCAAGATCCTAAACACTGACCTGCCCAAAGCCACAGCCTGGTGCAGGCAGGACTTGAACTCAGTTTAAGCCCAGAGTCTCCACTCTTAACCAGTAGTTGCTCAGCCTCACCAGCTGACCTGATCATATCGTTGTCTTGACCTATTGTTCACCCAATAATGGGATGTGTTACATTAATAGATCTTCCCGTGTTACTCAGCAGGCCGTGGGAACTTGAACCTAGGTTTGTCCCCAGAGCAGTGTGGGGAGAGCGTCTCTCTGAGGAGCAGGGACTGGAGGGTGTATTGTCTGCAGACAATTCCTTAAAAACTAAAAATCGTAGGTTTCCTTTTTACAATCACTTGCGCTGCCAATTCTGAGCAATGCATCACTGTTCCTGGTGGGAAGGACACTCTCTGTGTCCCCACCCTTGGTAACCACTGCCCCGTAGGACCACCATGCTGGTTTTAGAGCAAGTAGACAGCAGTGGCTCACAACCTGAATTAGGCAAGACAGCCTTGGATTTATATTTCGGGCACCTCTTCCATCTTCTCTTAAATGGCCTTTTTGGGGAGATTTTGGCTCTCCTCAGACCCCTCTTCCTCCTTCCCTAATCCTCCTGACTTTTCTCATTTCTCAGTTTCAGTCACGTTTGCTATGAGTTTCATCAGTAAGTTAATTTTTTCAATTAATGCAATTAATTGGATATTCATGCTCATATATTTTTTTAAAATACAGGAAAGTAATAAAAAGAAATGTTTTTACGCAAGATAAGTACCACCATGCAAAAACATCACCCCAAAGGAATGTTTGCAGCTAATAGAACTGATAAGTTTGTTTGTGGTTGGCTTAATAATGTTTTTTACATACAGATGTTTCCTCACTATATTCTCCTTTGTAAATTCCTCTTTTATTTCTTAGCCCAAAATCCTGTATTGCACTAGGAGCTGAAAATATTTTAATTTCTCCTGATTTTTGTCTGCTTTCTTTTGACAGTAAAACTCATTAATGTAGTGAGGACTTCTTTTGGTGTATGGTTTGAGGTAAAGAACTAATTTGATCTTTATACCAAGAAACAAATCAATCGTCCCAACTGCATTTATGGAATCCTTTTTCTCTTCTTCATTGACTCATAGGCCTGGCCTTCTTGTAGGATAGCACCCGCTTCTGGTCTGTCAACTCCTTTTCCCTGTTCTTTTATCTTGCTGCTACCACACTGTTCTAGGGTTTGTAACTTGTCATGTTTCAGTGGCTGATAAGACTATGTCCATCAGAACCACATTACTTCCAGAGAAATGGGTAAAAATAAAAAGACCTACCTTGGGACACAGCAACATGAAATTTCAAAATGTCAGGGACAAAAAGATGATCCAAGGGCGCCTGGGTGGCTCAGTTGGTTGAGCGACTGCCTTCGGCTCAGGTCATGATCCCGGAGTCCCTGGATCGAGTCCCGCGTCAGGCTCCCTGCTCGGCAGGGAGTCTGCTTCTCCCTCTGACCCTCCCCCCTCTTATGTGCTCGCTCTCTCATTCTCTCTCTCTCAAATAAATAAATAAAATCTTTAAAAAAAAAAAAAAAAGATGATCCAAAAAATTTCCAAGGAGGAAAAAACAGGCCACAGGAAACTTGGGAATCACAATGGCTTTGGTGGTCTCCATAGTAACAGAGGAAGCTGGAAGACAATGGTTGAATGCCTTGAAATCCTAAGAGAAAATTCATTCATTCATTCATTCATTCATTCATTCATTCATTCATTCATTCATTCAACAAATATTGATTGAATACCTACTATGTGTCAGGGGCTAATACGGACACTGGGGAAACAGCAGGAAAGAAAGAAAAAAAGCAAAACATGCTCGCAACAATGCCACTTGCACATAAATGTGGAAAGAAGACGGGAGAGAAAGCCAACAAATTACTTCTGTGTGTTGAATGGTGGTGAAAAGAGAAAAGGAGGGAAATGGAGCAGGATCTGGGGGATAAAGGTTGCTAGGGGTGTTACTCTATTCAGCTGGAACAGAAAGGCCCCAGAGATATTAGTCAGAGCCAGGAGGAAGCAGCCACTGCAACAGGGGGACTGAGGAGAGTTTTGAGTAGAGCACAGGACAGGGAAACCAGTCAGGGCTGGGAGACACCTGCAACCATCCCCATGACTGAGGAGCAGGGTAGAGAGAAGGTACTGGGACCAGAGAGGAGCTGTAGCCTCTGAGGAGATAGAGTCAACATGTCTGGGATGGTTAGTTTTATGTGTCAACTTGAATGGGCTAAGGGATGCCCACAGAGATGGTAAGACATTCTTTCTGGATATGTCTGTGACGCTATTTCCAGAAGAGTTTAGCAGTGGTTGGGCATCATCCAAATCCTTGAGGGCCTGAAAAGAACAAAAAAATAGAGGATGGGCAGGGACCTCTGCTTCTCCTGCCCTCAGACTTTGGAGCTTCTGGTTCTTGGGACTTTAGGATCACACTGGGACTTACATAAATGGTCCCCTTGGTTCTCAGACCTATAGGTCTGACCTGGAACTAAAACCCCAGCTTTTCTGGGCCTCCTGTTTGCAGACAGCAAACTACAACTTCTCAGCTATCATAGTCACATCAACCAATTCCTCAAAACTCTACATCTCTTTCTATACCCCATTGGTTCTATGTCTCTGAGAACCAGATTAATACAAGACCTGGTGGAGAGGGGCCAAGGGCTATGCCATGACCTACCCTCCTCTCTCCCTCTCTCTCTCTTTTTTTTAAGATTGTATTTATTTATTTGAGAGAGTGAGATTGAGAGCACGAGTGGGGGTTGGGGGTTGGTGCGGGGAGGGGCAAAGGGAGAGGGAGAAACAGACTGCCCACTGAGCAGGGAGCCCGATGTGAGGCTCGATCTCAGGACCCCAGGGTCATGACCTGAGCCAAAGGCAGACGTTTAACCGACTGAGCCACCCAGGCGCCCCTCTCCCTCTATCTCCTGATGGTGACTCCTACTGGCCACTGAATAGGAACCAGTGTGTGAGAGAGCCCATGGATGGAGTCCACTAAAACCAGCCTCGAAAGGCACAAAGCAGGTGGAGAAGAGTTGGGGAGTGGATCTAAGAGAAGCCAGCAGAGAAAACCAGCCTAGGCACAGATCTGTAGGAAGTGAGGGAGAGGTCTGGAGAAGAATGTTCTAGTCAAGAGGGATCAGCAAGGGCAGAGGCCATGAGGTGGGACAAGTACAGCTGAAGCAGATGAAGAAGCCGATGGTGGCAGGAGGTGAGATCAGAACAGGCAGTGGGGGCAGGTCCTGTGTGGCTCTGAAAGCCAGGGAAAGAACTTTCACTCAGCGCAATGAGTCTAGTGAGCGTTTCCTGCTGTGCTCTGATGTGCATTGTGCAAGTGTCCCTCCAGATGTTGTATGGAGAATCAGACTGTAAAGATGAGCAAGGTCACCAGCAGGGACACCAGTGAGAGGTGATATGTATTGAATAGGGTGACAACAAGGGCAGGGGAGATGCTGCTTATATTTTGAAGACTGAGCAGACAGGATTTGCAGATGATGGGATGTGGGGGTAAGAAAGAGGAGAAGCAAGGGTGACTCTAAGGCTTTTGGCCTGAGCATCTTGAAGGATGGTGTTGCTATTTACAGAGAGGGGGACATGGGGGAGGAACAGGCTTGGGAGGAAATCAAGAGTTCTGTTCTGGACATCTGAAATTTGAGACATTATAAGACAAACAAATGGAGGTGGGAGTAGGCAGTGAGATACAAGAGTCAGAAGAGTGGGGAGAGAGGTGGCTGGATATGTAAATTTGGGCAGGATTGGCATGTTGCTGATAATTAATGCCATGGGATTAATAAATTATCCCAGATAAATTATCTGGGAAGTGAGTGTAGATAGAGAGGGGGTCCTAGACTGAACTAAGGAGGTCCCATGACTGTTACAGGTTAGGAAAAGGAGGAATCAACAAGAAGATAGAAGGAGCTGCTAGGGACGCAGGAAAAGAACAAAGAGAATGGTGTTCCAGAAGCCAAGTGAAGAACCCATGTCGTGAAAAGAACATCAAATGCTGGACTGTCAAGTAAAATGGAGAAAATGGGGGTGTGAGAGATCTAAATCCTCGATTTCAATGGTAGGAAGTAATTAAACACGACTTGAGACAAGTCAAGCAATAGCTATATATTGATGTGATCTAGAAATACAAGGTTAATGTCAGAAGAAATAGCTAAAGGTGGGTTTACGCAGGGGCTACTGTTTTTATAAACTGTATGGAATTTGTGGACTCTTTAAATTATGTGCCTGTTGGGGGGCGCCTGGGTGGTACAGTTGGTTAAGCAACTGACTCTTGGTTTTGGCTCAGGCCCTGATCTCAGGATCCTGAGATTGAGCCCATGTCCTGCTCCACACTCAGCGGGGAGTCGGCTTGGGATTCTCTTTTTCCCTCTTCCTCTGCGCCCCCCACCCCGTACTCTCTCTCTCAAATAAATAAATCTTTTTTAAAAAATAAATTATGTGCCTATACAAGTTTGATAAATGTTAAATTTTGAAAATAATAAAGGTGCTGGTAATACTTGCACATCATTAAAAAAAAAAGGTCAAACAATACATACGGAGTCAAATGAAGACTATATTTTTTTTCTCTGCACTTTATCTCCCCAGCCACTACTTCTTTCTGCAAAATGTTCTCTCTTACAGATAATAGATACAGATACAGATACATAACACAAATAGAATCAAGCCATGTACTATTCTGCTCTACAACTTGTTTACATTTCCCCGTACCACAAAGTATCTTTCCATTTCAGTACATATACAGCTCTGCCTTTAAAAAAAAAAAAAAAAAAAGGCTGCAGGATGTCCCTCCGCAGCGATGTATCACACAATCTACTTACTCAGTCTTCTGGGTTTTGGGGTTGTTTTTTTTTTAAGATTTTATTTATTTATCTGACAGAGAGAGAGAGAGATCACAAGTAGGCAGACAGGCAGGCAGAGGGAGAGGGAGAAGCAGGCTCCCTGCTGAGCAGGGAGCCCAATGCAGGGCTCGATCCCAGGACCCTGCAATCATGACCTGAGCCGAAGACAGATGCTTAACCATCTGAGCCACCCAGGCGCCCCTCAGTCTTCTAAGTTGCTACCACATCACAAACAAAGCTGCAAAGAACACCCCTAAACACAGGCCTTTGAACATTTGTTCAGCACTTCCACAGGATAAATTTCTAGCACTGAAATCATTGGGTCAAAGGGCATACCTGGGTATGTTACATTTTGCAAATGCATTCCCAAAGGTTGTGTCAACCTACGCTCCCAATGTACCAGTCCTGGGTATTTTCCTCCACTCAGATCTGTAAGAAACATAGGCCTTTATCATTTTAACCTGCACTTAAAAAAAAAATTGAATGGAAAGTAGCGTCAGGGTTACATTAATTTTATGAAAGGAATTAGAATTGCATCGTTTTCCATATCTCTCTGTGTTCTAGAATCTATTTGGGAATTATTTGTTCCTTAAATTTTTATAAGAATTTACCCATAAAACCTCCTGAGCTTGGAATCCTAATTATGATAGGTAGTTCTTTAATAGAGTTCTCACTATTTTTTTCAAGTTTATTTTTTTTTAGTAAAATCTACCCCGGATGTGGGGCTCAAACTCATGACCCCCAAACCAAGAGTCTCATGTCTTTTGATTGAGCCAGTCAGGCATCCCTAAAGTTCTTACTTCTTTGTTTACCTATCACTGAAAGTGTACTACTTAACTCTATTTTCAAAAATTTTTATTTCATAAAATCATCTAATTCATTTTTTAAAATTTATCAACCTATAATTGAGCATATACTCACAAATGATTTCAGCAGACTCTTGTTAGGTTTGCAAGAGTCTTGTCTATTTTTTTGTTTGTTTCTTGTTTTTTTTTGTTTGGTTTTCCCCTAAATAACCACTTCCTGCATTTATTTCTGTTGTCCTGATTCCTAATAAATTTATTCCTACATAGGTTTCATTACTTTTTTCCTCTATGTTTTCATAGGGCTGCCTTCTTTCAGGTTTTGATACTTTTTCTAAGGAATCGACTATTCTGTTCATTTTTCAAATTTCTTCTTGTTTTAAATAATAAAAGCACTTAATACTATGAATTTGGCTTAGAGTGTGGCTTTAGTCACATTCTAGGAGGTTGTTGTTTTTTTTTTAATATGTATTCCTCTGGTTTTTATTTTTCTAAATAGCATGTTATATACATTTGTTTAAGACTTTAAAATTTTTATCTCAATTAAAAGATGGTTTTATTATTTCTTTCTTATGAGGGTTGACAGAAAATTTGGTCCACACTAACCTGAAGATTTTATTGGAGTTGAATTTTTTCCTGTGGCTTAGCATTCTGTCAGTTTTTAAACAGTGCATTAAGGTACAATCTTTTTGTAGGAAGTAAAGTTCAATATATATTAATTTAATCTTAAAAACATATTTCTAATATATACTAGGTGCTTTACAGATGTTTTGTCACTTATTAAAACAATCCAGAATGGACAAATACTGTTTGGTTCCACTTACCAGAAATCCCTAGAGCAGTCAAATTCATAGACAGAGAACAGAACAGTGGGTGTCTGGGGCTGGGGAAGGGGGTGCGTAGTGAGTGTTTAATGAGGACAGAGTTTCGGTTTGAGAAAATGAAAAAGTTCTGGAGAAGGATAGTGGTGATGGTTGCACAACACTGTGAATGTACTTAATGTCACTGAATTATATACTTAAATATGGTTAAAACAGTAAATTTTATGTTACCTGTATTTTACCACAATGAAAAAATGTTTTTTCTTCCTGTGATTTAGTGATCCCTATTTGTCGACCATGAAATGAGGTTCTGAGGTCACAACACTGATGGGAGGTAGAGCAGCATTTAAGCTGGGTGATGTGGATTCATTACCCCCTCCCTGTGTGATGGCTTCAGAGAGTTGCTCCCCACCCCCAATATTCCCCAAACTAGGGAACAAGGTGACAAGTTTCATCCAGAAACCTCCAGTCCTCCAGGGGAGAATCTGCTAAATTCTCATGTCTTCTCAGCTGCCAAGAGGACCACCGAGGGCCCCACCACCACTGCCCCCACCACCACTGGCCTCAGTGTCTTGGAAGACCCTAGGAGCTCAGCGTCCTCACCCCTGAGTGGGGGAGCTGCAGTTGGGGTGGCACTGGCTGGTGCTGTGCTCATAATTGCAATTTTGGGACTGATACTCTACCTCAGGTGGAAGAGAAGAAAAGGTAAGTGGTTCTGGGCCACGCCCCCCACCAGGCTTCCCAACTGAGTGTTTCTCAGAACCACCAGCATCAGAATGACCCCAGGTACTGGTTAAAAAATGCAGATCCGGGCTGGGCTTGGGAATCTGCATTTTTAAAGGTCTCATCAAGTGGTGTCTGTGTGTGATCAAGTTTGAGAACCACTGCTCCAGACCAATCCCTCTCCACAAATTTGATCATTTTCTAGTTTTTGTCTTTTGACTTAATCATTTCTCATCAATCCTCACGTTTTAGTTCATGGGGACTGGAGGGTCAGCCCTGGGAAGAGTAAGGCAAGAACAGAAGGGACAGGAAGTTGGCTCAGCTCAGCAAGCTTTGGTTGAGGGCCTATTTTCCAGGGTCTGGCTTGTCATTGGAGATTGCAAATGTAAATAAAGCATAGGTCCTGCTTTCAAGGAGCGAGGGGAGACGGAGTGACTGCCTCATTTGGAAAGAGCTGTGGTAGGTTGGAAGAAAGGAGGGGAATCAGGGAGGACTTCCCATAGGAAGTTACCCTGCAAAAATTTTCAAAGAATATAAGAGAATTAGCCAGGCAAATGGTGAGGGTGGTGAGTAGGTGACTGTCCACGCAGGTGCAGGAAATCAGTGCAGGAACTCTAAGTAGCTCAGTGCTGTTGGGGAGGCTGGAGATGGGAGAAGAGAAGTTTGTAAATGACACCCAAGAGCCTCTGATCCCAGAGGCAACCTCAGCTCTGCCTTACAGATACATCAGTCTTTGGGAGGGGCCAGAAGTGGGCTATGAGGGGCCAATCTAATGCGCTGGTGGTGGATGGAGGGAGAGAGCCTGATCCTGGAACAGTTTAAGAGGGAAAACCAGTATGACTTGGTGATTGGACTGGTGTAGAGGTGAGGGAGTAGTAGAACTTGGGTGAATGAATCCATGGTGAATCACCAAGTAAATTAGAGAACACAGAAGGTCAAAGACCATGTTTGGGGGAGAACGATGGTTCTCTAGTTTGGGATATGTTAGAGATGCCTGTGTGGCATCTGAGTAGAGATGTTCATCAGAAATGTGGATGTATGCACTTATAGCTCAAGAGGACAGGGCTAGAGGCATTCATTATTTAGACCCCAACACGCTCCAATATTGATTTGAAATTCCTCTGAAGAAAATTTTCAGTGAGAGGAGATTAGCCCCATCAGACATTAAAGCACAGAGGTGAAGAGCACAGAGTCTGGACTGTCTGCAGTCCAATCCTGGCCGAGTAAACTCTGGTGCGATGATACTATTACTCTATGCCTCAACTCACTCATCAGTAAAATGAGAAGAGTAATAATACTTACCCTGGGGGTTGTCGTGACAATTAAATGTAACGCATTGAGAATAGATCCTGGCACGGAATAAGGACCACATGAGCATTAGCACCTGCAAGTATTAAGCTGTAATAATTAAAATGATTCGATGCTGTCATACTGAAACACAGATGAACCAGTATATGAAAAGAGAAAAGCCCGAATATAGGCAGGATGAAACAGATCAAAATACATTCAGGAATTTAGTAGGTTAATAAGTAGCATTTCTAATCAATGGGGAAAAAGGAGTCATTCAATACATGGTGCTGGAACAATTGAGCAGCCATCTGAGAAAATAATGTGATCTCATAATTGCACCAAAATAAATTCCACAGAGATCAATCAGAGTTAAATGAGGGGGAAAATAACCCTAGTACTAGAGGAAAGCTTGTGAGACCTTCTTATATCCATGGAGTGGAGATGGCCTCCCTAAGTATGACATAAAACCTAAAGCCATGAATAAAAATATTGATAAACTCAACGATATACAAATTGTTTCTAATTCTGCAGAGGAAAAATCACAGCGGTTGTCTCTAGAGTGAGGATGAGGGTCAGAGATGAAGAGCCGTTATAGTCACTGAGGGAATGGAAGATGGTATTTCAGGATTCCACCCAGATGAGAAGCCAGAGCTCTGTAACAGCTTCGCTGCCCATGATGTTTCCCCTCGCAGTATTCAACCATGCAGGTTTAGAAACTTCTAGAACTTGTTGTTTAGAAGTTATGTTTCCCTGCTGGCACCAGAGACCAAAATAACAGGGTTTACGTAAGACAGAGTTTCTTGTTTCCCCTCATATAAAAGGATGAGGAGGCGGATGGCAGAGGCCACTGTCCTCAGGCACTCAGGCTTCCATCTTCCTGCTCACTGTCCTGGCTACTGGCTTCTACCCTGAAGGTTGCCTCATGATCCAACATGGCTGCTCAGACTCCAGCCATTATTTCTGAATCCAGGCAGGAAACAGGAGGAAGGAAGAAAGGACAAAAAGACCACAACTTCCCCTTGAATCGTATTGGTGAGGATGTAGTCATATGTCCCACATCTATCAGGAGGGGAGCACACTGCCGCCCCAAATAAAATCAAGGTTCTGTAACTGGGTAAGAAGAAATGAATGGACATTGGGTAAGCAAATAGCACCCCCACCATAGGCCACAGCCAGAATTAAAGATGTGTCAGCTAAGTGTGGCATAAGGACAGGGGAACAGGAGAGTTCAAGGAGCTCGTGAGAGGGGAGTGGAGAGTAGAGGATCAGCGGGAAGCTTGGACAGCCCGAAAGAAAGTGGATTATTAAGGCACGAGAGTTCATGGGGTCAACGCACAGGTATAGCAAGCAGGATGATGGTAAGAGAAAGCTGGAAGGAAAGAAAGTTGTAGCATAAAAATGATGCTGGCATTTATTATTTCAGAGTTCTCAGTCCCAGAGATTAAAAAAAAAAAAAAAAAAGTCCAGGGTATGGTGGAGTAGAAGGCCCTGGAGTCTGGGGTACATAGGAGTCCCGTGTTTTCAGAGGGTTGTCTCCGTGGATGACAGGACCTCCTCGGATGGGGTGTTGGGTGATGGAGGGGATGTCTGTGAAGCACGGGCCAATCCTTGGGAGATGCCGCAGAGAAACTCAGGAGGACAAGGAGGGAAGGGGGGGGGGGGACTGGCGGGTTTCAGTGGCAGAGGGTGGAGGGGAACGGGCTGCAGTTCAGACCCAGGTCCCCGTCATGAGATTCACAAGGCAGGAGAGAAACAACCACCGCTTAGGAAAGCACAAAAAGCCAGTGTTTCAGGGCAGGAGGAAGCAATGAGTCTGAGGCAAGGGTGGAAGGAGAGGAATGGGTGGGCAGGGCCTCAGCAGTGGAAGGAGCAAGGTTGAGGGATGCTTAGGGAATTCAAGGAAGGGGGAAGGAAACAAAGGGAAAAGGTGAGAGAGAGTGGGAGGGAGGAAGAGAGGGAGGGAGAAGGTGCAGGTAAGAGCAGCTCTCCTGATTTGGTGTTGAGGACAACCACAGGACAGGGTTGGGCAGCCTCAGGAGTCCCAGGTGTGTTCAGCAGAGCTGCCCCACTGCCCTGGTCTCTCTGGGGGCTGGTCCCAGAGCACACAGAGCAGGAAGGCAGGGAGGAGAGGCGCCCTCTATGGATGGCACCCTGACATATGCTGTTCCCCTACAGGCCTGCAGACTAAAGCCAGAACTGTAACTAGGTGAGTGCTTGTCCTGCTTGGGAAACAGGAAGTTCCTTATGGGAAGAGCACAGGGCACCTATCACTCCGCTCTCCTGGTCCTTTCCCAGTGGGTGTCTCTTTTCTCAGAGCCACTTCCCTCCTCAGCTCCTAGCCTCGCCTCCCTCCCTCCCGCTGGAGCCCTCTTCCTCTCCACCCTCCCACCTCTCCTTCCCTCCAGCCCATCTTTCCAACTTCTTTCCTTCTCTCCAGCCCCTTCCCTCCCCTCTCTCCCTTCCAACCTGGGCACCCTCCTGAAGACCTGAGATGGGTGGAGCTGGTGTTCATTCTCCAGTTTGTACCAACACTGCAGGGCAGACAAGACTTCACCCTTCCCAAGGAAGAGCCTTGGGAAAGGCTGCTTCTCCAGGACAATCCGCCTTCAATGGGCCCTTGGGACCTCTACTGGCTACACTGCACACTGCCTCTCGATCTTCCAGGAGGCCTCCAGAGAGCCTCAAATGAGAGCTCACCTCAGAGTGTCACGGGGTCACAGAGCCCCCCCACAGAGAACCAGCCCCACACAGGTTTGAACTCTCTTCTGCTCAGCCTTTAACCCACTTTCCGCCCTTTCCTTCCTATACAGGGGATCCTTCCAAAACACTGAGGAGAAATATGAGAACATTGGGATTCAAAGTAAGTTCTTATGGCCATCACTCCCCCACTCTCCACCTTGGCCAATCCTTCCCCACACACTCCCTGCTCACACACATGCCCCACCCATCCCTCCTGCCTGACCCTGGTCCTGATGCAGCAGATGACCTCACTGCTGGAGGGCCCTGCCCATTTCTCTACCCTGGCCGGCATGCCACCTGACCCCAGCACACCTTGATTTTTTTCTAGGACAACAAACAGAGCCCCAGCTGGAGCCCCAGCTGGAGCCCAAGGTGAGCATCTCGGAGTAGGGCCTGAAGGAATTAAAGAGAAGTTTGGAGAAGGTGGGGTGGAGGGAATAGAGGGACTGCTCGCAGCATCGGTGGAGCCCTCAGGTGCCGGATAACTGCTCTCAGGTGGGGACAGCTCCCCTTCCACTGTCTCACCCCCTTCTCCTTCCTTCTCGCCAGAATGAAGCCCAGGACAACAGCGGCATCCTCTATGCCTCCCTCACTCTCTCCAGCTCCTCATCACTGGCAGCATCTCCCTGCATCCCTCCCAAGGAGAGCCCCCAGGAGGAGACCCTATATTCTCTCATAAAGGCCTGATGAGTGGGACTGAAGGACGACCTCCTTAGACTAAGCTGCCCAGCGGGTCACAGCTTCTGATAATAACCCCGGCCAGACACAGAAGACTCAGAAGTCAGCAGGTGTGGAAGGCCACCAAGGACCGCAGAAAAACAGAGCCATCTGCTCCAACTCCCTCTCTGCCTTCCCAGCCCTTGCCCACAAGAATAAAAGTACCTAGAATTTGCCCCAAGGCATCTAAGGAGAAAACTGATGGCACCTTCCACTTCTGTCTTTTCCTTCTCGCCAAAAATGAACTATAATAAAGAGCTCACACCTGAGATCCCTCCCCCAGTCCTGGAGTTCGGTGACTGCCTTGGGGTGGGGAACAGTAAACCCGGAATGCTGGTAGCCAGCCCAGAACCCAGGGTCTGCCCCTCCTCTACCCATTCTCTTTCCCCTCTGATCAGAACGAGCATGTGTCAAGTGCACCACCACATTAAGCATCTCCAACAAGCTGAGCTGGGACTGGATGCACTCACCTGAGGCGTGAAGAGACCACAATGGTTAGTGCTTTTCTCCAGGCCACGCACCTAGTAAGTGGCTGAGCCAGGGGTCTGAACCCAGACCTACCCTTCTCGACAGCCTTCTTCCAGGACTCGGGTGTCCCCGCCTTCCCAGATCTCTATACTGTGCCAGCCTCCCATGGAAACAGGGATGTGCCACAGGGAGCGGAGCGGAGGGGAGGGAGGGAAGCCGAAGGGAAGCATGTGGTTAGAGACCAATTGCGGAAAGCCGTAACCTGTTTTATTAACACAGAAACTGCACAGCTGGGACTTCAGCCAGGTGACCTGTAGCCGATGAACAAGCCCCACCCTTAGCAGCCTCTCAGGGACCCTCTGAGGGGCTCTCCCTGCTGCTGGCAGGGAAGGGGGTGAGAGAGCAGCAGGGAGGCAGGTGCACACAGCTATTCCTCGAAGAAGGCCAAGGTGAACTCCCCAGGGTCATCTCCACACCGCGGCCCCTCCAGCTGCTCCGGCTCTCTTCCAACATCTTCTAGGAGTTGCTCCAGGTCCAGGTCACTGGAGGTGTCATCGTCAGGGGGGACACTTCCAGCCTCTGGAGGACACTTCCAGCCTTCTTTCCCTCCCACAGGACAGACCCTGCGATGAGCTGGTGGGGTCAGGCCCTTGGGCACCATACTAGCTTCTTTGTCCGCAGACAAGCTGGTTCCTGAGGCTTTGCTTTGAGGAGCTTTAAATTTTTTCTTAGGGCCTGGATGAAAAAGTGATGAAACTGAGAGTCCTATTAGGCCATCTGGCCTTCCCTTTTACAAGTCAAACTCCTAAATTCCTATTTCCAAAAAAATCTCTGGGAAAGATGACTTTTCTCAATAGAAAGAAAATGGGCTTTGGAGTTAGAAAGACTGGATTTAAACCACGGATCTAGCCATATGCTAGTCCTGGGTCTTGAGCAAATTTTAAACCCTTTGGGCTTTAATCCCCTTATCTCTAAAATGGCAACTGTCTAGTCATAGAGATATTGAAAGAATTAAAGGGAACCAGCAAGGAGTATCTATCTAGCCAGCTCACAGCAATACTCAATAAACATCAGTTTCCCCCACTCCTCACCATTCTCCTGTCCTTGGATCAAATGACATCAATAACCATTTTGTGCTACACTCTGCAATCTGAGATACCTAATTTTTGTTCTTTTTTTTTTTAAAGATTTTTTTTAAAAATATTTATTTATTTGACAGAGAGAGACACAGCGAGAGAGGGAACACAAGCAGGGGGAGTGGGAGAGGGAGAAGCAGGCTTCCCGCTGAGCAGGGAGCCCGATGCGGGGCTCGAACCCAGGACTCTGGGATCATGACCCGAGCCGAAGGCAGACGCTTAACGACTGAGTCACCCAGGCGCCCCTTTTCTTAAAGATTTTATTTATTCATTCATTCATTCGAGAGAGAGAGAGAGACTGACAGAGAGAGCACAAGCAGGGGGAGAGGCAGAGGGTGAGGGAGAAGCAGACTCCGCACTGAGCTGGCAACCCAACATGGGACTCAATCCCAGGACCTGGAGGTCATGACCTGAGCCGAAGGCAGACGCTTAACCTCTGAGCCACCTAGATGCCCCTAATTTTTATTCTTTTTAAAAGTAATGAGAAGCTATAAAGTTAAGAAATGATCCAGGGAGGGGAGACACAGACTTGAACCTCATTTCCCATAGTTTTGCCCAGGCCCTGAGCCTTACCTGGCTGGTCAGGTTCCGATTTCCCACGCCCTTCTTTCCTTCCTATTATGGGTACAGGAGGGGCTGCAGATTCATTTCCCAGAGCTCTCTTCATTGTCTTCTTTTGCAGGGTCACATCTTGTCCATCTGTTAGGCCTGCATCACCCCCACCCCCCAACCATGAAGGACATTTGTTTATTTCTCTCTAAATGACAGTTTGGCAAGGGTCCATGGACTCCCCACAGTTAGTCTCTGCCCTGCATCCTCTGCTCATTCTCAATCTAGTGAGTTCTCTCAGTTCCTTCCTTTTTCCCAAATATTTCTCTTTGTTTCTCTCTTCCTCCCTCTCTCTCTCTACCCCCCGCCCCCACCCCCCACCCCCACCTTTTTTCGTTCTGGACCTTCTTCTTATTATGTTTTTCCTCATAGCCTGGCTCCTCCAGGAAGTCATCCTTCTTGGCTAAGAATTTAAGACATTCATTCCACCTTTAACTTAAGATTTTATAATCAGAACAGAGAAGCGAGGAGGTTACAGCTTCCCTGGTGACACTAGTAGGAATCTTGACCATTTTTGCAGAGTTTAGAGCTGAGACAGTCAGTAAGATCCGGTGACCTGCAGACCCCTCCCACTGTCTGCTTCTGCTCTGCCTTAATGGCCACATATACCTGTTCCCAGCTGGCTTGCTTACCTCTTGCCTTGGGTTTTTTGGTCTGAATTTTGGCTGACTTGGGACTGGGCAAAGTCGGGTCCTGAGAATGGGAGAGAAAAATAAGAAAATACAAATGAAGTCATATAATTGTGTTTTTAATAGAGTGGGATGCTACAGAAATGATGGGTGGTTAGGGGAGTCACATTGGGTTCTGTAGCCTGATACTGTTTAAATCAATGACAACAAAGATAAAACTGTTCTCCTTTCCATTCTATTTGGTATTAATCAGTACAAGGCTTTATGCACAAGAGAAAGAAATAAAGTTAGGCCATGAACATGATTTAAAAAAAACTGTTAAATTAAAAGTTAAACCAATAACTAGACTCTTAGTGTTGATCACTTCATAGTGCATGTAGATATTGAATTACAATGTTGTACCCCTGAAACCTATATAATGTTACAGGCCAATTTTTCCTCAATAAGAAAATGATTAAAAGAGAAAGTAAAAAATCTGTATTTCAGGACTTCCAGTTTCCAGTTATACATGTAAGGGGTTTGGAAGTCATCACTCTGTTCTAACAACAAGTAAAAAAGCTGAACAGACTGAAAAATCAACAACTCTTTTTGTTTTGATCAAAGAGGGAAGGACACAGGGCCACCAACCCTGAAGAGACAGAGAGGCAAATGCAGGAAGACATAACTTACCAGAGCACAGACTCAGAAGCAGAAGAACCAGTACTTCTCACAAGAACCAGTTCCAGGGCAAGAAAACCTCAACAGTACTAAATAAATTGTTCAATGCAGACAAGTCTGGGAGTTAAAAACTCCAGTGGTGCCCAGTCTTATAGGTGCTCCCAGACTTTTGTGAGTTTGACCTCCAGGAATCTGACCAGGTTCTCACATAAAATATCAGAGAAAAATCCCTTCATGCTTCCAGCAGGAGGAGTGCAAAAGGAACCATTTTGAAATATATCAGAGCACTCTATCCTTCTGACAAAGGCCTGCTCTCAGGAGAAACTAGTTAACCACAGCCTAATCTACCGGAATATTATCAGAGCCTGACCGTCCAGGGGGAAGAGAAATATTTAACCCCAGCCCACTCTAACCATCCTGTCCCACCTAATCGGGGGTGTGTGTGTATGGGGGGGAAACACTAAGAAACACTTTGAAGTTCACAGTCCAGAGCACACGTTCATTAAAGACATGAGATCTAGGGTTGCCTGGCTGGTTCAGTCAGAAGAGGGTACAACTCTTGATCTCAGGATTGTGAGTTCGAGCCCCACATTGAGTATAGAGATTACTTAAATAAGTTAAATTTTTTAAAAAAGAAAAAAGACATGAGACCTAATAGTAGGACTATAGAACACATCCCCTCCCCTGACCCTTACGACCACATTACTAAAGGCATATTTATGGGTGCCTGAGTGGCTCAGTTGGTTGGGCGTCTGACTCTTGATTTTTGGCTTGGGTCATAATCTCAGGGTTGTGGGATCAAGCCTGAATCAGGCTTCACATTCAGCAGGGAGTCTGCTTAAGATTCTCTCTCCCCCTGCCCCTATCCCCACTCACACACTCCCTCCCTCTCCCCACCTAAAATAAATAAATAAATCTTAAAAAAAAAAAAGCATATTTACAACTGTTTCTTTTACCTGGTACATTGTGTCTGGCAATCAAGAAAAAACTACAAGGCATATCAAAAGGCAAAAAACACAATTTGAAGAGACAGAACAAATATCAAAACCAGACATGGCATGAAATTATCAGATTGGAAATTGAAATCAAATATGATTAATATGCAAAAGGCTCTAATGGATAAAATAGCATGCAAGAACAGACGGGCAATGTAAGCAAAAGGATGAAAATCCTAAGAAAGAATCAAAAGGGAGTGCTAGAGATCAAAAACATTGCAATAGAAATGCAGAAAATGTCTTTGATGGGCTTATTAGTAGACTGAGCATGGACGAGGAGGAATCCCTGAGCTTGAGGTTATCTCAACAGAAAACTTCAAAGCTGAAAAGCAAAGGGAATAAAGACAGAAAAAAAAAAACCAAAAAACTAACATATCCAAGAATTGTGGGGTAACTGTAAAATGTAACATATGCACAATGGGAATACCAGAAGGAGAAGAAAAAAAAGAAAGAAACCCAAGAAATAATTAAAAACAATAATGACTGAGAAGTTTCTCAGACACCAAACCACAGATTCAGGAAGCTCAGAGAACACCAAGAAGGATAAATGCCAAAGAACCACATGTAGGCATGTTATCTACAAATTATAAAAAATCAAAGATAAAGAAAAGCCCTGAGGATTAAGGAGTACACTTATTGTGATGAGCACCGGGTGATGTATGGAAGTGCTGAGTCACTAGAGTGTACACGTGAAACTAATATTACACTGTATGTTAACTGCCTGGAATTTAATAACTTTTAAAAAAGCCCAGAAAAAGCCAAAGGAAAAGAACATCTTAACCTGATATGCTAAGGAAGGGGAGAAAATAGAATCATGTAAAATGCTCAGTTAAAAACACTTGCAGGGTGGGGAGGGGCACCTGGGTGGCTCAGCAGTTAAGCACCCAACTCTTGGTTTTGGCTCAGGTCACGATCTCAAGGTCATAAGATCAAGCCCTGAGTGGGACTCCACCCTGAGCATGCAGCCTGCTTAAGATTCTCTCTCTCCCTCTTACTCTGCCCCTCCCCACCACTTGCACACACACTTTTCCTCTCTCCAAAAACAAAACAAAACAAAAAACCACTTGGAGGGTGCCTGCCTGGCTCAGTTGGTAGAACATGAGACTCTTGATCTCAGGGGTTTTAAGCTCAAGCCCCACGTTGGGTGTAGAAATTACTTAAAAAATAAAATCTTAAACACACACACACACACACACAGACTTAGGGCCGAAAAAGAGTGGAAAACAAAAATAAGAAGAAAGAACAGGGCAACAAATAGAAAATAGTAACAAATATTGTAGATATGAAGCTAACTATATTAATAATTAATTTGAATGTTAATGGTCTAAATACACCAATTAAAAGACACAGATTGTCAGAGTAGATTAAAAAACAGACCAAACTATATGTTGTCTACAAGAAGTCTACTTTAAACATAAAGATATATATATATACACACTATAAAAGTAAATAGAAAAATGCACCATGCTAACGCTAATCAAAAGAAAGCAGGAGTAGCTATTTCATTTCAGACAAAGCAGATTTCAAGGCAAGGAAAGTTATCAGGGATAAAGAATGGCATTACATAATGATAAAGGGGTCAATTCTCCAAGAACATTCAACATTCCTTAAAGTGAGCCTAACAACAGAGCACCAAACCACATAAGGCAAAAACTGACAGAACTGCAAAAAGAAATAGTTGAATCCACTATCATAGCTGGAGACTTCAACACCACTCTATCAAAAATGGATAGATCCATGGACACCAGAATATCTGGAAGGACGTAGCTGAACTCAACAACACCATCAATCAACTGGATATAAGTGACATCTACAAGTTACTTCATTGTATTCAATAGCAGAATACATATTCTTCTCAAGCTCACATGGAGCATTCACCAAAATTTATTGCATTCTGAGCCATAAAACAAAACTTAACATATTTAAAATAATAGAAATCATACAGTGTCTGCTCCCAGACCACAACACGGTTAAACTAGAAATCAGTAACAGAAAGGTAACTAAAAAGTCCCTAAATACATAAAGATTAAATGACATACTTCTAAATAACACATGGGTCAAAGAAGAAATCTCAAGAGAAATTTTAAAATATGGAACTAAATGAAATTTAAAATATGAACTAAATGAAAAAGAAAACACAATTTATCGAAATTTGTGGGATACAGCAAAAGCAGTACTTAGAGGGAAATTTAGCATTGAACACATATTAGAAAAGAAGAGAGATCTAAAATCAGTAGTTGAAGTTTCAGCCTTGGGAAACTAGAAAAAGAAGAGCAAGTTAAATCCAAAGTGAGCTGAAGATTGAATGAAGTGATGACAGAGATCCCTGAAGCTTTTTCTAAAAATTCTTAATTTCTCTGTGTGGCTCCTGAGTGGACAGCACTTTCCCTATGGTCCTTTGCCCTTAATTGTTGAGCCTAGCAGGATGAAATTAAGTTCTGGAAGGACATTTAGAGGTCATGAGGTCACCTGGCCTAATCTCTTCATTTAACAGATAAGCAGATCTGGGGTTTCAGATATTGTGACTTCCCTTAGGGCCACACAGCTAGGCTGGCCTCTTGGCACTGTTTTCTGAAATTCTTCCAGCAAATACTGCTTGTTAGCAAAGTGAGCCTTGTGTTTCCCCACCACAATTCCCAATTAGTGTTTGACTTGATTCCTCAAATAGTTTTTCACCTTCAAAAATCAAATAAATTAACAGTTAAAATTTTTAAAAAGGTGAGCTGAAGAAAAGAAATAATAAAAATTGGAGTAGAAATTGATGGGATTATGAGAACAGGAAATTAGTAGACAAAACCAATGAAACAAAAAAGCTGGTTCTTTGAAAAGATCAATAAAATTGATAAGCCTCTAGCCAAGCTAACCAAGAAAAAGAGAGAGAGGAAACAAATTACTGATATCAGACAATATACTGGAGTCCATGAACATTAAAAGGATAATAAAGGAATACTATGAAAAATTCTATGCAAACAAATTTGATAACCAAGAGGAAATGGACCGATTCCTTAAAAGATATAATCTGTCCAAATTCACACAAGAAGAAACAGACAATCTAAATAGGTCTATATCTATTAACAAAATTGAATCAGTAACATGTAGCCAACCTTCCAAGACAGAAAGCACCAGACCTATGGGTTCACTGGTGAATTCCATCAAACTAGGGAAGAAATTATGCCTATTCTCTATAATCTCTTTCAGAGAAAAGAAGCAGAGAATACTTCTTAACTCGTTCTATGAGGCCACCATTACCTGAATACCAAAACCAGTCAAAGACACTACAAAAAAACTACAGACCAGTATCTCTTATGAAAAGAGATAAAAAAATCCTCAACAAAATATTAGTAAATTAAATCCAACAATGTATAAACAGAATTATACACCATGAACAAATGGGATTTATTCAAGGCATGCAAGACTGGTTTGACATTTGAAAATCAATTAATGTAATCCATCACATCAAGGGGCAAAAAAAAAGAAAAATCACATGATCCTATCAATAGACACAGAAAAAGCGTTTGACAAAATCCAACACCCATTCATGGTCAAAACTCTCAGTAAACTAGGAAGAGAGGGTAACTTCCTCAACTTGACAAAGAACATCTACAAAAAAACCTATAACTGGGGGCCTGGGTGGCTCAGTCGTTAAGCGTCTGCCTTCGGCTCGGGTCAGGATCCCAGGGCCCTGGGATCGAGCCCCGCATCGGGCTTTCTGCTCTGCGGGAAGCCTGCTTCTCCCTCTCCCACTCTCCCTGCTTGGGTTCCCCCTCTCACTGTGTTTCTCTCTGTCAAATAAATAAATAAAATCTTAAAAAAAAAAAAAAAAAACCTATAACTAATATCATACTTAATGCTGAGAAACTAGAAGCCTTCCCCCTAAGATCAGGAACAAAGCAAGGATGTCTCCTCTCATCACTCCTTTTCAACATCATATTGGAAGTTCTAGCTAATGCAGTAAGACAAAGAAATAAAAGATAGAGACATTAGGAAGAAATAAATACAGTTGACCCTTAAACAGTGCAGGGGTTAGGGGAGCTGACCCATCACACAGTGGAAAATCTGTGTATAATTTTTTACTCCCCCAAAACTTAACTACTAATAGCCTACTGTTGACTGGAAGCCTTACCAATAACACAGATGATTCACATGTATTTTGTACATTATATGTATTATATACTGTATTCTTACAATAAAGGTAGAGAAAACAAGATATTAAAATGATAAGGAAGAGAAAATATATTTACAATACTGCACTATATTTATGGGGAAAAAAATCCACATATAAGCGGACCCGCATAATTCAAACCTGTTCAAGGATCAACCGGAAAACTATCTCTGTTTGCAGATAACATAATCACCTACATAGAAAAATCCAAGAGGATCAACAAAAACTCCAGAACTAATAAACATTTATAGCAAGGTTGCAGCATACAGGTTCATATATAAAAGTCAATCACTTTCTTATATACCATCAATGAACAATGGAATTTGGTATTAAAAACACAAAACCCTTTATAGTAGCACCAAAAAATTTAAATGCTTAGGTATAATTCTAACAAAATATGTACAAGATCTATACGAGTAAAATTACAAAACTCTGATGAATAAAACCAAAGAATTAGATAAATAGATATTCCATGTTTGTGGACAGGAAGACTTAATATTTCAACAGTTTTTCCCAGTTTGATATATAGAGTCAACGCAATTCCAAACAAAACCCAAGCAAGTTATTTTGTAGGTATCAATAAACGGATTCTACAGTTATATGGAACGGCAAAAGACCCAGAATAGCCAACACAATACTGAAGAAGGACAAAGCTGGAGGACTGACCCTAGCCAACTTTAATACTTATTATAAAGCTACAGTAATCAAGACAGTGTAGAATTGGCAAAAGAACAAATGGGTCAATGGGACAGAACAGAGAGCCCCAAAATAGACCCACATAAAAATAGTCAGCTGATCTTTGACAAAAGAGCAAAGGCAATGACAGTCTTTTCAACAAATATGCTGGAACAACTGCACATCCACATGCAAAAAAAATGAACCTAGACACAGCCTTACACCCCTCACAAAAACTTACTCAAAATGTATTATAGATCTAATGTAAAAATGTAAAACTGTAAAACTCCTAGAAGATAACATAGGAGAAAATATAGATAACCTTGGGTATGGCAGTGACTTTTTGTATACAACACCAAAGGCACGATCCATGAAAGAAACAATTAATAGACTGACTTCATTAAAATTAAAAACATCCACTCCGCAAAAGACAATGTCAAGAGAATGAGAAAATCGGGGCGCCTGGGTGGCTCAGATGGTTAAGCGTCTGCCTTCGGCTCGGGTCATGATCCCAGGGTCCCGGGATCGAGTCCCGCATCGGGCTCCCTGCTCTGCGGGGAGCCTGCTTCTCCCTCTGCCTCTCTCTCTCTCTCTCTCTCTGTCTGTCATGAATAAATAAATAAAATCTTTAAAAAAAAAAAAGAGAATGAGAAAACCAACCACAGACTGGGAGAAAATATTGGAAAAAGACACATCTGATTGAGGACTGTTATCTAAATATAAACAACTCATAAAACTCAACAATAAAAAAAATAACACAATTAAATAAATGGACCAAACATTTTAATGGGCACGTCACCAAAGAAGATGTACAGATGGCCAATAGGAATATGAAAAGATGCTCCAGATCATATGTCGTCAGGGAAATGCAAATTAAAACAACAATGAAATACCACTGCACACCTATTAGAATGGCTAAAATCTGGAACACTGACAACACCAAATACTAGCAGGGATGTGGAACAACAGAAAATCTCATTCAAGGCTGATGGGAATGCAAAATGGTATAGCTACTTTGGAAGACAGTTTGTTCTCTTACAAAACTAAACATGCTCTTACCATACAATCCAGCAATCAAGCTCCTTGGTATTTACCCAAAGGAGTTGAAAACGGAAAAATTCAGATGAAAAAAAAAAAGATACAAGCTATCAAACCATGAAAAGACATGAAGGAAACTTAAATGTATATTTCTCAGAAGCCAGTCTGATTCCAACTATATGATGTTCTCGAGAGGGCAAAACTATTGAGACAATAAAAAGATTAGGGGTTGTCAGGGGTTGCGGGGAGAGGGGTGAATAGGTAGAGCACACAGGATTTTCAGGGCTGTGAAAATATTCTGTATGATCCTATAAAGATGTATACATATTGTTCTATATTTGTACAAACCCATAGAATATAACAACTCCAAGAATGAACCCTACCGTAAACAATGGACTTTGGGTGATTATAATGTGCCAGTGTAGGTTCATCAACTGTAAACAAATACGCCACTCTGGTGGGGGTGTTGATAATGGGAAAGGCTATGCACGTGTGGAGACAGGAGGGATATGGGAACTCTCTGTACTTTTCTCTCAATTTTGCTGTGAACCTAAAACCACTCTTTAAAAAAGTCTTGGGGCGCCTGGGTGGCTCAGTTGGTTGAGCGACTGCCTTCGGCTCAGGTCATGATCCTGGAGTCCCGGGATCAAGTCCCGTGTCGGGCTCCCTGCTCGGCAGGGAGTCTGCTTCTCCCTCTGACCCTATCCCCTCTCATGTGTTCTCTCTCTCTCATTCTCTCTCTCTCAAATAAATAAATAAAATCTTTAAAAATAATAATAAAAAAAATAAAATAAAAATAAAAAATAAAAAAGTCTTAAGTATTTTTTTATTTTTTATTTTTTTATTTTTTATTTTTAAAGATTTTATTTATTTATTTGAGAGAGAGAGAAAGCATGAGGTGGGGAGGGTCAGAGGAAGAAGCAGACTCCTCGCTGAGCAAGGAGCCCGATGCGGGACTCGATCCCAGGACTCCAGGATCATGACCTGAGCCGAAGGCAGTCGCTTAACCATCTGAGCCACCCAGGCGCCCTTAAGTATTTTTTTAAAATCTGTATTTCAGGCTGGGGCGCCTGGGTGACTCAGTTAAAGCATCCAACCTTGGTTTTGGCTCAGGTCATTATCTCAGGGTCATACGATCAAGCTCTGCATTGGGCTCCCACTCAGCACAGAGTCTGCTTGGGATTCTCTCTCCCTCTCCTTCTGCGTCCCCTGTGTTCTCCTCTTCGTCCCACACACATACTCTCTCTCTTTCTCTCAAATAAATAAATAAATCTTTTTAAAAAATTATTTATTTATTTGACAGAGAGAGACACAGGGAGAGAGGGAACATAAGCCGGGGGAGTGGGAGAGGGAGAAGCAAGCCTCCCGCCGAGCAGGGAGCCTGACGCAGGGCCCAATCCCAGGACCCCAGGATCATGACCTAAGCTGAAGACAGACGCTCAATGACTGAGCCACCCAGGCGCCCCTTTAAAATTTTTTTAAAAGTCTATATTTCATATGCTTGAAAAGAGCCTAAGGAGGCAAGTGAATGACTATTAAGACACTTAAGATTAAGGGTCCACACAAGGGAGGACCGAGAGTGAAGAGAGGCAACCTGCTATTCGCTGAAATTGCTCTAGTAAGAACCAAAGCACTACATTAAGAACTGAGATGATAACCAAGAAATAAGTTCCTAGAAATGTGATATATTAGAGAGAATAACTGAGGAAAGAGGAGAGTCCCCTTCCCTGAAGACCCCTAAGAGATAAGACCAGCTAGTCAGGGCCACCCTAAGCCAGGCACAGGATGGTCCCCTAGTAAGTATAAATCCATGCCCAACCAGACATCCTACAGGAATCTCCTAAAAGCAATCCCCAAGATCAATCTTACTTTTTTCTCTTCCTCCTTTTCCAACTCCTCCGCCTCCAACTCTGACTCTTCCTCCATGCAGGAATCTGGGCTGTTAGCCCCAGAAAGACTTAAGTCTAGAACAGGAATAGGAAGGAAAGGCTAAAGAATTTATCCAATAAATTAGATGATGAGTTAATGGCGCTGATCCCAGAGAAGCAGTCTTCTAACTCTGCCTTTCATGTCCCAGTGGCATTTTCTCCATAAAACATGGCCCTAGATTATCACGGCACCACCTTTTCCAAAGTCCCACCACTCTTCAACACACACCCTCCCTTCCTACCCTCTTTTTTTCTCCATTCCTCTCTTCACCCATCCATTTATCCATCCATCCACCCTGGACACTTGGTCAATGGCATTCATGCAGAGCCTCCTGTTAGAGAATCCAGAACTAGGTGGATGACACTGGATATAAAATAAAGGTTCAGTTGCTGCCCTCATGAAGGACCTCCCTATGTCCTCTCCTCACCTCCTTCTCTAGTCCTCATCCTCCTATTGATCCTACCTTTTCCTTCCCCACTACTGTCAGATCCATTGTATCGGCTCCGGAAACCAAACAAGTTAACCCGTTCCTGAGGAAACCAAGAAAAAAAGCATCATCCACTATCTCCCAGGGATGATTTTTGCTCTCTGTCTTTAAGACTTTAGTTATGGACTTTATATTCATATTCTATACCATTTTTACTTGAAATTTCATGTTCTGTTTATCTCAATTTCTGTGAAGATTAACTATTGTATTATCTTTATATTTATATTGTTATATAATTATATGCTATATTACTATAATCTCTTTTTTCCAGTTTATTTATAATTCAGTTTGTCATTCTCCACTGCACCCCCAAAGGCAGAATTTGAGGGTAAACACTGACTCTGCATAAGAGAGAGGTTAAGACACATACATCTGAGATCTAAAGTTAAATAGGGAGGTAGGATGCCCCCTACTACAAACTGTCTCTCTGTGGGATGAGAGAAGATCCCATTTGTCCAAGGGTAGGGGAAAGAATAAATGATTTTTTTAAAAGATTTTATTTATCCATTTGAGAGAGAGAGAATGAGAGAGAGCGAGCATGAGGAGAGGGAGGGTCAGAGGGAGAAGCAGACTCCCCGCCGAGCAGGGAGCCTGATGTGGGACTTGATCCCGGGACTCCAGGATCATGACCTGAGCCGAAGGCAGTCGCTCAACCAACTGAGCCACCCAGGCGCCCCAAGAATAAATGATTTAAGAAGTCAAGGGAATCTGGCCTGGAAAGAAAAGACTAATTCTAAGACTAAGACAGGATGATGGGGAAGGACAAGCCACTTTTCTGTAGTAGAGAGTACATGGTTTGCTTTGTGTCCCAAGTCCCAAAGAGGAGCAGGTGTGTGGTCTGAACACTCACCTGTATACTGATCTGTTCTGCCTCTTGAGCCATCATCAGGGCAGCTCCCAGCTTCTGGTTGCAGTCCTTGTTCCTGCACTTTTTCTGAAATAGAGGAAGATTAAAGTCAATGATAAATATTTAAGAAGTGACTCCAACATACTGCTACTCACCAGACATGATCTTTAACTACGTTTATTTCCAGTTTCTGATATTGATCTGATACTCCTATTCTTAATCTTTTGAGCTTAGAGACACAATCTCCCTTTATCCCCCCATAACAAACCTGTTACCAGTTGCTAGCAATACAGTCAACCAACATTTTGGTGTCCTCTCCACAGTAAATCCCATGAAAATTTGGAGAGGCAAGATTAAAGGAGCTCAGGTGATTCCACTTTTAAGCTTCTCACAAATTTCTTCAGATCCAGCAACTTGGTTTAATACTGCTTAATTTTTGAAGGCCCCAGAGCTGCTGGGCCTCTGCTTATTTCTAAGGCTGGCTGAACCCAAAGTGATTATAGGCAGGAAATATTATTTATTTTTTAAATTTTTTTTTTTAAGATTTTATTTATTTGAGAGAGAGAATGAGAGACAGAGAGCATGAGAGAAAGGAGGGTCAGAGGGAGAAGCAGACTCCTTGCTGAGCAGGGAGCCCGATGCGGGACTCGATCCCGGGACTCCAGGATCATGACCTGAGCCGAAGGCAGTCGCTTAACCAACTGAGCCACCCAGGCACCCCGGCAGGAAATATTATTTAGTTCATTTCATTCAGTGGTTCTCAACCAAGGAAGGTTTTGCCTCCCAGAAGATATCTGGCAATGTCTAGAGACAATTTTTTTTGGTTGTCACAACTGAGGTCAGAGGCAGTAGCATCCCCTGGCTAGATGTCAGTAGAGGCCAGGGATGCTGTTAAACATGCTAAAATACATAGGACTGCCCTCCACAACAAAGAATTATCAGGCCCCAAATGGTACCTGACTGAGAAACCCTGAGTTGATATGTGCCCTCATTTCTGCCACACCTGCCTTGGCTAAACTGTAGAAAACTGCAGTCTTCAGGAAGACCCCCTACCTGCAGGCAAGGAAGGAGACTAAGAAAAATCATTATCCCACTGCAATCCTGGGTAGAAAGAAGAGTCCCTCATGAATAACGTCACCTTTGCACACTTGGTCAGACATGGGACTTCCTCCCAACACAGCTTCCCCTGGGAGAAAATCAGGTTAAATAAAAGGCAGATTTAGTTTTCAGGTTCCCTGTATCACAGGGAACTGACCCCCAGGGGTTGCTTACCACTCCAGCTAGCTCCAGGGACAGCTCCTGGAAGTTCTTTAGCATGTTGACTGGGATCCAAGCACGAGAGACTGTTTCTCCAAAAAATGTCACGTGGTATTTAGACTGAAATAAAAAATGGTTTTCTTACGGCCTCTTGTCCTTCTCCTTGCTTTGGCCCTCTAGCCAGAAAAGGTGGGGGAAGAACTGAGGATTCATAAAAGGAAGGAGGTGCTGGGCCTCATCTGATGCCATAAACCTGACCCACCTACCCTACCTCAGTCTGTTGTTCCGTCCTGACCTCAGGAATCCTAACCAACGCACATTTATCAGAACCATAAATGTCCTAGTAATGATTAAATATTTAATTAGATACAAGTTTATTTTTATATGTGGGTAGTTATTTCTGTCTTTGTCACTCTAGTTAAGTGTCTGTTTCTGCTGATGTCTGCTGGCTATGTCTGTTTCTAATTCTGTACACCTGTTAGGATGGATTTGCTCATTACTTTGGCCTGAGCCAGGAAAACTCACCGGCAGGGAATCAAGATGAGAAGCAAAAAGAAAATATTCCCCCAGGTCAGGATCAGATTCTACCATGCCTGGCCACCTGGAGAAAACAAACAGGTTTAGGGGACAGAAGAGGAAGGGTTTAGATGAACACAACACAAACTCATCAATACACATGTACAGAAAGGGGAAATAGGTTTTGCAAAAAAAAAAAAAAGGATCTCAAAGACAGACCCCTCCTTGTGGATCTCCCTCAGTAGTCTAACAAATGACTTAAAGAGACTTCTATCAGTGTACAAAGAAACTCAAAATCTTCCTAGTAAGAGTATCTTACCCTTCTAGGCCTTCCATCAACCCTGAGAAAAAATCTTCTGATTAGGGACATCTCCAGAGAAGAAACCATCCTACCCATCTTCATTCTCTCTACTTTATATATACGTCATAACTCAATGTTTAAAAAATGCCTTCCGGGCGCCTGGGTGGCTCAGTCGTTAAGCGTCTGCCTTCGGCTCAGGTCATGATCCCAGGGTCCTGGGATCGAGCCCTGCATCGGGCTCCCTGCTCCACGGGAAGCCTGCTTCTCCCTCTCCCACTCCCCCTGCTTGTGTTCCCTCTGTCGCTGTGTCTCTCTCTGTCAAATAAATAAATAAAATCTTTAAAAAAAAAAAAAAATGCCTTAAAGCCATCTTCCTTTTTCTATCCACTCAGGGTAGAATCGGTAGACCTTTTCTTCCAGGGAGATACCTCCCTGTGAAACCTCTAGAAAATGCATTCTTTCAAAGCCTCCAGGCTTGGGACTTTATCTTTTCCCTCATCCCATGTTCTTTGTAAGGCAGGTACCATTTCCATTATAAATACTCTCCATTTCCTTCCCTCTCTGCTTGAATCTACCACCTCCAAGTTCATGAAGGATGCTCTGACTATGCCATGGTGCCCTACCAGGGGTAACCGTATTGCTTGGCCCAGATGATGGATCCTGGGATGTAGGAGGCATAGGCCACATCACTCTCACGCCCTGTCCAGGACTCCTCAGGGATGTCACAGCGATTATACCTCAAGTCTGGCAAAAGAGAGAAGGAATGAAGGGAAGGAAAGAACCCCATCAGAGAAAAATCTGGATAAGGGCAGGAGAGAGGACAAGAATACGCAGCAGGTGGGACCAAAAGGGCACCTGGGAGACAGGCATGGAGGAAGAACAAAGACCCGTGGAGGATATGCAGCTACAGGCAGAGGAGGAGTGCTGCCTCCTTGTACTTTACAGAGATTCCAAACTTCGGCCTATATCCCACATTATCTGACACTGACACTGACTGACAGTCATTTTTCTGAGACTCTGTTATCTCATCTGTGAAAATAATTGGGCTGGGCTTAGATCATCATAATCTCTTTCAAGTAGTTTCAAACATTCTAGAATTCTAAGCCACTGGCTCTCTCTCACCTACTTTCCCCCCATATATCCCATATCCCTTCTTATCCACCAACCCAATACCAACAATCTAGCCAGGACCAACCGGGTCAGACTAATGCTGAAGAAGGGGGAATTCACTCAGAATCTACATTTAGATCCCAGGCCCTTCCCACAACATAACTCTTCAGGGTGTCTTCTTCTAGCCCATTATGCCAGATTCATCTTGATATAACAGGATGATCCCTTCCTCTCTCCCAAACACTACAAGGACCCCTGGAATTATAACTACATCTATGACATATTTAATCTAAGGGATACATACAGAGAAAGAAAGGGAAGAACCATTAAAAACTAAAAAACAAAAAAAAACAAAAAACAAAAAAGAAACCCAACCATCTCCAGTCCTATCTACCTGTATTCTGATCACAGGACCAATTATCAGGAAGCACTGAGGGGTCAATGTTCCCACAAAGCCGCCTCCACTTCTCACAGTTTGGGGAGGAACACTGGACCCAGACGAGGCATTGACCTGCAAGAAGAAAAAAAAAAACTGAAATGAAACAAAAATATGCCCTTCCTTCTTCAGTCCAACTAAAATCAATGTACTCCCTTCAAAATCACACAGCCTTAGGGATCAACTAGTCTAATCCTAGATTTATAAATGGGAAAACTAAGCTCAGAGAAGATAATTGACTTGCTGAAGATCAGTCTAAATTGGTGGCAGAGCTAAACTCGGGCCCCAGGTCTCACATATCAGTCTTTCTCCTATGCCATACTATTTTTTTTTAAGATTTTATTTATTTATTTGAGAGAGAATGAGACAGAGAGAGCATGAGAGGGTCAGAGGGAGAAGCAGACTCCCCGCCGAGCAGGGAGCCCGATGTGGGACTCGATCTCGGGACTCCAGGACCATGACCTGAGCCGAAGGCAGTCGCTTAACCAACTGAGCCACCCAGGCGCCCTCCTATGCCATACTATTAATCTCTCCTTCCCCCGAGGAGAAAAGGAGTGTTTCCTGTATTGACAGTTCTTGAAAAGTTTGGCCAGCATCTTTCCAGCTAGTGCCTCGTTCTCTGCTGGCCTGTCACTACTGGAAAGTTCTTTTGAAGAGCTAACCAGCATCTCTTTTGTGTACAACATCCAGAGCTCCTGAGTCCCAGCTGATTTACCTGTCACCAAATCACCAAGTTGCAGTCTTTGGGACCAACAGCCCTGAGTTTAACCCCTTCCAAAAGACAGAGATAAGCCTACCAACTCAACCAACTATTTACTTCAGGCCTTGCTCAAAGGCCAAGCATTCCTTTCATCCATTACCTTCCAAACCCTTATCCCCACCTTTCTTTATCCCAACATCTGCTAAGTTGACCCAATGCCCCTCACAGGCTCTCCTCTCTCTGTCCCAAACCCTTCCACTATGTTCTTTAGAATTCTAGACAAGAGCAACAAAAAATCCACATATCTTCAACTTCTCTGAACATCCATCTCCTTTTCGAAACCTGGTGATGCATTAATGACAATGTCCCTACCCGACCCCACCTCACCCACAGCCCTCTAAGCGGAGTCTGTTCCCTCTCTCACACCCCAGGCCAGAAAGTGGGGTCAGCATCATCCTTACTCATCACCACTTCCAGACCATTACTATCCTCCTTCCTATAAAAACCCTTCCTGGGGCACCTGGGTAGGCTCAGTTGGTTAAGCATCTGCCTTCAGCTTGGGTCATGATCTTGGGGTCTTGGGATCAAGTCCCGCATCGGGCTCCCCGCTCAGACAGGAGTCTGCTTCTCCCTCTGCCCCTCTCCCTGCTCGTGTGCTCTCTCTCTCTAATAAATAAATAAAATCTTTAAAAAAAAAAAAGATTTTATTTATTTATTTGACAGAGAGAGAGATAGCGAGAGCAGGAACACAAGCAGGGGGAGTGGGAGAGGGAGAAGCAGGCTTCCCGCCGAGCAGGGAGCCTGACGCGGGACTCAATCCCAGGACCCCGGGATCATGACCTGAGCCGAAGGCAGACGCTCAACGACTGAGCCACCGAGGGCCCTAAATAAATAAAATCTTAAAAAACAAAAAAAACAAAAACGCTTCCTTCCTTGAGATCCATGCCATGGGACTACACCACCCTCTCGTCTCCCTTGAAAAGATGCTGGCATCTGGTTCAGCCTTCTCCTCCTCCTATCCATCTCCTACCCTCATTCCAGATGAAGAGGTAACTCAAAGAAGCACCCCATTCTCTGAGTTCCTTGGTCTTTTCTTCCATGCCACCTCAGTAATGCACTTCACTTTCGTGATGCACTCTCCTCCTGCATGCCCCACTCAGTCATCCATAGGGACCTCACACACCCTTGAACCCACTTATCCAAACATCCCTCTCTGATAAAAAAAATGCCCTATCCTTCCACCTCACTTGCCCAAAGACCTCTAAGGAACTTTCACTTTATCTAGATCACCAATCCACTGGCCCCTAACTTCTTCCCAATCTAGTAGCGACCTCCTTTCTTCACTATACTTACTCAGGTTTGACTCCTTAGATTCTCTTGCAGACATCTTCAACTCCCTTGCCCTCTGTCCTTCTTCCCACCTAGCTGGCCCAACACAACCTTGAATAAACACATTCTACCTTTTCTGTGCCTACATTCATTCAACTGAGCATTGCTAGAGAAATATCACATAACCAGGCACACGAGTCTACACCATACCATCACAATTAACAATATCAACCAGTATGTTTCTCCAATGAGTTCATTTGCCCACTGTCAAGTTTTACCTTCCATGCCTGAACATAAGGGATGCCCTCCATCCCCCTGAAATCGGCCCTCAGAGAAGCAATTGACTTTTATTTGGGTCCTTTCAAGGTAGTTCATATTATGCATCACATTCTGAATTAATTTAATTTGAAGAAAAAAGCACTGGTCAGGAACGATATGTGAGTCTGAAAAGACAGCAGCAGAGCCTGGAACACACACGCGTGGGCGACACCACAGCAACTGCTGTGGGTCAGTGAGATCCACGCCTCCAGTAATGCTGGTAGGCAAGGCTTGCAGTGACAGGCAGCCATGCCACTTGGGGCCTGCCTTCTTCCACGCTGCGCTCCTGGGCAGCCCCTCCATCGCTGCTACCACCCCCGTCCCACGACGATGAGAATGTCTAGCCCAAACAGATCTTTACCTTCTGCCTCAGCAACCAGAGAAAGCTGAGCAAGGACCAAGACAGAAGGACTATAATTCGGAGTTAGAGGCGGATGCCACTGGGCAATCCACAGAGAGCCCCTGTGGACCTGGCTCAGGCACAGGCCTCCTGTGAGGGTGCCCAACAAGCCAGCCCTGCCTCTGGGCCAATGGACGGTGGTATCAGGACTCTGCACAGGCCCGGCTAGCCCAGGTCCACTGCAACCTTCTGTGTTGGCTTCCTACCTGGGTTTTCTTCTGATCACTATGTGCTGGCATCTTGTGTCTTTGATATGATAATATAAAATCTGGAAACTTTGTATACATAAAAACAGTATCATCCAAAAAAGCCAAACCAGAACAAAACAAAACAAAAAGAGCTGCCAATGATAGTTTTTGATGTTTATAGAGGAGACCTACCAAGACTAGAAAAAAGAGTGGGAGAAGGGGCCAGGGACCATAAAAGTAAACACAGATTAATAAAATAAATGGTTGGTTGTGAAAATAATGAATATTCGTGAGCAAATGAATGGAGAAAAGTCATCCTAATGATGTAGAACTAGGTATATTTGTGCGGCTTGGGATAAAATTTCTAATGACAGCAACACACGGTTCTTTAAAGTTTCCTTTCAAACAACTTAGAAGAGAGGATGATGTGCTCCAGAAAACTGTTTGAGGCTCATGACACAGCTCTATGATAATGAAGACTGATGGCACAGAGACACAAAGAGCATTTCAGTGGACACCTGTTTCCTTGGGTTCTGTGATCCTTCCTCCTTCCGTTTTGCCCTCTCCCCCGCCTCCACTCTTTCTGGCATTTTCCTCCTCCTTCTCCACTCAGTCTCCAAATGTTGGGATCCCAAAGCCCAGTCACGGGCCTTTGCTCCCATGCTACACTTTCTCCTGAGGCGAGCTCGCCCGTTCCTACAGGTTTGAGACCCATCTCCACACCTGACCACAGACAGATGAATAATATTTCTAGCTTTTGTTCTGAGCTTCAGATCCCTACAGGCACCTCGCTCTTTGACTTCACCATTTGGATGTCTCACAAAGATCTCAAACCTAACAGGCCCAAACCCAAATGCTTGATCTTATCCCACAATGTGTTCTTCCTCCACTTTTCCCCACCTTCTCTCATGTAACTGCTCAAGCCAGAAACCAATCATCTTTAACATATTCTTGTCTCTCTCACACACAATATCCAATTCACTACCAAGTTTTGACAAGTTTACCTCTAAAACATATCTTAAAACCATCCACTTCTGTTTCCACTTTCATCATCCTCCTCCAAGCCACCAAAGTATCTAATCCTAGGACTCACTTGTCTACTCTTGTCCCTACATACTTCATTCGCCAATTAATCACCAAAGGGAGCCTTTTAAAATACTAATTTGATGACATCACTCCCCTGGTGAAGACTCATCAGTGGTTTCCCACTGCACTGAGGATAAAATCCTCACTTTGTACATTCATCCAGAGCCACTTTCCTGCCTTGCTTCTCCTTGCTCTCCAAACTCCAATCACACTGACTTCCTTTTAATACCCAGAATATGCCAAACTGCACTCTCCCTAAACTCTTTCTCCTACTCCTGCTCCTCCTTCGGATTTCAGCTTAACAGCCATCTCCTTACAGCTGCATTCCCTGACTGGCCCAATCTTGATTAGGTCTCCCTTATTTCCTGTGATGACACTCCATTCTTTTCCCTCACTTCATACAAATGGATTGTATTTATCAGATACTGCCCTTCCTCCTTCCTACTCCAGGAGGACTCACCTGTCCCTGGCAACTGGAAGAAACAGGAAGAGCAGTCCATTTACAGCCAGAGGCTTACATATTCACGACAATCACAATTTGACTCAATGAGCACTGCCTAAGGAGTGGACTTTCCATTTCCCAGTGAAAATCCAATCCTTGCCTTAATACTGAGAGGTGCAGGAGATGGAACACCGCCACCCAGACCATCCAATTGCCCAAATGAGACTTACACCTCCGGCTCCTTATGTTACCATGTCATCATAACACAAGAAGCAGTTTATTGCCTTGGACTATCCTGTGTGATACCCTAGAGTTTTCTTTTTTTTTTAAGATTTTTATTTATTTATTTGACAGAGATAGCAAGAGCAGGAACACAAGCAGGGGGAGTGAGAGAGGGAGAAGCAGGCTTCCAGCTGAGCAGGGAACCCGATGCAGGGCTCGATCCCAGGACCTCTGGATCATGACCTGAGCCAAAGGCAGACGCTTAACGACTGAGCCACGCAGATGCTCCTGCCTAGAGTTTTCTTTTCTTTCTTTTTTTTTTTTTTTTTAGAGTTTTCTTTCAAGTACCTACAAGCCTGTTTTTGGTGCAAGCCTGTTTTCCCCCCAGATTGTTAAGTGTATTTATTTTCAAAATTTTAAACATACTAACACATCTGATCTCTTTTATTTCTCATTCTAAAATTTCTCAAAATTATCATGGTTATAACCTATATTTGTTTATTACCCAATACACTAAAACCATGAGTTCTATGAAAGAAAGGATTATCTATTTTGTTCACCACTGTATTTCCAATACCTAGCACACTGCCTGGAATAGAACATAAGGCATTAATAACTATTGTTAAAAGAATAAATAAATCTATATCCACGTTTATCTTCCTTCCATCTAATCTCAAAGGCTAAAGTGTCCTTTCTAAGAATAAGCCCTGTGGCTCTCTTCTCATTCCCTTCAATGTCTCCTCTTTTGTTCTTTTTTTTTAAGTAGGCTCCGTGCCCAGAGTGGAGCCCAACACAGGCACTGAACTCACAACCCTGAGATCAAGACCTGAGCTAAAATCAAGAGTCGGAAGTTTAACCAACTGAGCCACCCAGTCACCCCAATCTTTCCTTCTTTATAAACAATTTTCCCTCAGCATATACATATGCTAACAACACACAGGTCAAGTCTCTTTCTTTTAAAAGAAAGTTAAAAAAAGAAAAGCCGCCCCTCAACTCTACACCCACTCCCCTCTATTTATCATTTTCTTCATCCTGGTTTTCACATCTAAACTAATTAAAAAAGTACTTATTCTTCAACCAGCTAAACTGGCCATTCACCCTTACCAACCCATATGAGTGCTCTAATCAAGACCTTAGTAACTTCCTAACTGTAACATCATTGAGCATTTTCAAATCTTTATCCTCTGATGTCTCTGTAGCAGCACTGGACAAGGCTAAACACTTCCTCTTTCTTGAAATTTTCTCCTACCCTGACATCTGTGATGTCATACTCTCCTAGATCTCCTTCCACGTCCATAAGTTTTCTCTTAGTTCTTAGTTTTCTCCCCGTGCAGTTCTTCCTGTGCTCAACCCTAAACATTATGTTCCCCCTAAACATTATGGGTTTTCTATTCACTGCTCTTCTCCATGTCTTCCTCTTGGAAAATTTCATCTAGATTCCCAAATCCGTATTCCTGGATCTCTTTCTTGGATACTAAAGCTCTTTCTTGGATGCTAAAGCTCATCACAGATCCCCTAACTTGTTCAAAGCTGAATTCACCATCTGAAATGTGCTCTTTCTTCTATATTCTCCATTTCAAATGATGGTTCTTTCAGCCACTCAGGTCAGAAAACAGGATCATCCTGAAGGCCTCACTCTCCTTCACCTCTCAGATCTAACTGGCAACCATACCATACTGGTCTTTCCTCCTAAAAATCTCAACGTTGTCTCTTCTTCTTCACTGCTACTGTCTTCCTCACTTGGATCACTATTTCTGTGGGTCTAGTTGTGCTCCCACCAATTCATTTTCCATGCCAGTGGCAGGGTGAGCTTTCTAAAATACAAATGTTACCAAGTTTTCCCTACTTAATGCCAGTGGTTCCTCTTTACCTTTTTTTTTTTTTTATTTGACAGAGACACAGCGAGAGAGGGAACACAAGCAGGGGGAGTGGGAGAGGGAGAAGCAGGCTTCCCACAGAGCAGGGAGCCTGAAGCGGGGCTCAATCCCAGGACCCCGGGATCATGACCTAAGCCAAAGGCAGACGCCCAACGACTGAGCCACCCAGGCACCCCTCCTCTTTACTTTTAAAATAAAATTCAAAAAAAAAATTAAATTAAATTAAATTAAATTAAATTAAATTAAAATTCCTTAGCCTGACATGTAAGGCCCTTGCATGCTTCTAGCCTTATCTCCCCCTACAACCTCCTACCCACCCCCATACACCCAAAAGCTACAACCATTAGCTCTCCTCCATAACTTTGCCAATAAATATCACTCTGACCCCCATCCCCACCTCGGTTCACCTGACTAAATTATACTTCTGACATATGGCTCAAAACGTATCTTTTCTTGGAAACTTTTCCAGATCTACTCCCGACTTGCAGCTTTCTTGTTTGCCTTCCTCACAAGCCCGCTTCCCTTCCAACAGGCATATATTAATTTCTTCTGAATTTATTCAGCACCTCCTAAAATTGCTGGTATATAGTAAGCACCCAACAACTATGGATTATATGACTGAATAAATGAATTAATGAATTCTTTCTCTTTCATGGCATATCCCTGACAAGTAGCTATGAGAGATAAATTACAGTCTTTGCAGAATTTCCTCCAGCAACCCAACCCTTGCCTCTCTCTTTCTCTATCTTCAATTTTCAAGCCCAGGTAAGTTTTCCAAATCATGCTGAACTCACCAAAACCACCGCCTTCTCCTTTTTGTTGGTTTCTGGTCTGAGAATCATCTTGAACTGGTTTTTTCAGTTGGTCTTTCTGTCTCTGCTCATGTCCACTTTGGGCCTTTTCCATTTTCTCATCTTCTGGGAAGACAAAACAAAACACTGTAGGGTAGGGAGATGAAGAGAATGTAGATAGTAAGGGCCAGTGAAAGAAGGAAGAAGAATCATAGCCTAAGAGTTTCAAGCCTTGGGCTGAAGATTCTCTGCCTGCCCACTGTCCCATTCCCTAATTCTGTGCCATAGGTACTTGAGCCAGATGTCAAAGTATATCTGACTGTACTTACGAGCTCCCTTCTTTCCTTTGCTTAGGGAAGATCTGTTGAATTTCTTCTCAGAGGGTGCAGGATCCGGCTGGCCTGGCTTAGATCTCTTTATCACAGAGGTTACTCCAGCTTCCTCAGTGGCTGAAATCTCTAGAATATGTGGTGCCATTACCCTCTCTCTGAAAATAATATTTTTTTCTTTAATGAAAAGGCAAGAAGGAGGAATATGTCATACCCTCCTTTTGGAAAAAAAACCCAAGGGTAAAAGTCAGGAAGATAGAAGAATCCTAGGCTCTCTAAGGCTTCCTGAGGCCATTTTATCCATCTACTTGCCTATTTTTCCCAATTCAAACAGGTATCTTTCCTGAGAGAAATTCATAGAGATATGAGAACGACTAGATAGACAGATAACCATTTACCAATGCTAAGTCCACCCTGTGATCAACTCGCCTCACTGGGATAAACTTACCCATCAGCATTGTCATTAACAGTAGAAGAAGCAATTCTTGGTTCCTTGTCTAATTGGGTGCATCTTATGGGCTGGGCATAGGAAGTATCTGCAAAATCAAGGCTAGATCCCATCTCTCCCAAAACAAAATACTATATGCAGAGAAGCAATTAAGAAAATACTGACTCGATTATTTCCAAATGGCAGCCTTCCATTAAAATGTCTTCCACCTGTTGTCTGGAAGAGCCCACCTTTGGAGTTTTGTCATTATCACAGAACTTTAAGTCTTTAAATTCTCAGAAAAAAACTACAAATCTGTATCTTTCGGCAAGTCTTTCCAGATTGATCTGCCTTATTCCAGGATAGCCAGGTAATGTCAATTTTATTTTGTGTACATACCAGAAATTTTACACCACCGTGTTTTATATCATTTGTTCCTGAAACTTTCTCTAAGAATAGAAGTACACCTACGAATAGCTGAAAACATCAAACTATTCCCCTTCTCCTCAGGACATACGGTGAAGTCCTCAGGGCCTACACTATAGACTTCTTTATTCCAAAAGTCAAATCCCTGAGCATAATGTTAAAACAGTACTGGAATCAGAAAGAATCCGAGAAATACAATTTATCGTTTCTAAGTAGATTGTAAACATGTAAAAATGAATTTAAGTTACATTTTAAAAAGCAATCTGAGACTGTATTTTTATTCTGAAGTCAATGTAACTCACTTTTCTAACAGCCTGTACCCCCTGTCTAAGGTGGTTTATAGTCCTGTTGATAGAAGATGAACTATTTAAAAATATTTTAAAGTCCATCTAGTATTTCCTTACTTAGGAAACTAGAAGAAAGGAGAACAGATGTCAACTTACTCTACCCCTCAGATAACAGTTTGTCTAACTGAAATCTTCTTCTCTCACTATAAGCCATACCCAAGCACTCCTGGAGGGACTTCCGTAGCACAATCTGGACAATCTCCTCAAATTCTGCATTGGTGAGACTTGCTCTTTCCTACAGAGACAAGGGCAGAAGAGGAAAACCACTCGTCTATCCCCGGGTCTCCTCTCTGACCAGTCAGGGAAGACTCTTTTACACGAGGCAGTAAGCTCGCAAGGCTGCAAGCATGAAGTCAATGTCCCTAAGGATTCTATACACTCTATCCCAGATTTCCTGGGAATAAAGGAGTAAAAGAAAAGGAAAATTTTTAAAGTCTCCGACCACATCTACTCTCACCTCCATCCCACCTCAACCCCTACCCAGCCATTATTTCCAGCTAAAGGCTTTCATCAAGATTTTTTGTTTTACCTCTTGGAGAAGAAAATAGAAGCCCCAAGAAAGGAATAAAAACTGAAAGTTCCTCTACATAAAAGATCGTTTAGACTGGATATCTAGGAGAAACTGTCCCACTAGAACCCGTCAATGAGACTGATACCTTTTCTTTCTTCACTGCTTGCTTGTCTTGAGGCTTTCCTTTATTCTCCTGGCCACCGCTTGGACCATTTTCTGTGGTTGCTTTCTCTTCCTTCTTCTCTGACCTGGCCTTTGGGGAACTGATCTCCAGGGTCTCCTCCTTGGGTGGGTTAGGGCTATAGCACATCAAGCTATGCAATTTTTGTGAAGGTGGGGCAAAGGTTTTCTTTGGCCCCTTCCCACATTCTGAAAGAAATTTGATTATCAAATGGAATTTATGAAACACAGAGTCTAGCACAGAAAGCGTTTGCATTGCCCATTGACTGGGGATATCAGAATTATCTGGAGAGAGCTTTTTAACAAAATCTGATTACTAGGCCTCTCCTCTCCCACCCCACCCCACCCCCTGAGATTCAGATGAAATAGTTGGGAGTGAGGCCTAGGAATCTGTCATTTTACAAGGCCATCTAGATTATTCTGATGCCGAGTTTAGGAACTACTGAGTAGTTCAAAGGTGACAAATATGAACATGCAGGAAGATGAGTATTTCGAATGGAAATTTTTAAAATTTGCTCATTTTAACTTTAAACAAAATTTTATGGGAAATTAGAAAAATTGGAGGGGAAAGAAAACAAACTAGTATAACGAAAATTACACTGATCCTCCCAGGTATAAGTAGTATCTTTTTCTTCTCAGCTTCCACAACACTTCATGCATCTCTGGTGGCATTTACCACATTCAAACTTGTGTTATAGATATGAAAATATCTTTTGTCTCCATATGAGCTCGTGCATTTCTTGAGCTGGACTGCTTCTAAGTCATACACATTTCACTCAAAGTTTCTAGAAAAGTAGTAACTTTAACAAAGTGCACGTAAAATATATATGGACTGAGCTTCCCTTTGGTGGGAAGGGCATCGAAACGACCAAGGACTGAGAAAGAAGGGAAAACTGAGAGAAATGTATAAAATGTGAACCTCCTTCACTCTTGACTCACCTTCTTTACTCTGCAATGTTGTCATCATTCAGCTCAGAAGCTACACTTTCTTTGTGCCTCTGTTAGAAAAAAGAAAGTAACTGCTAGAACTCTGATTGAACATGATTTTAAACTTTCTTCTCTGTCTTCTTGGGCTCAGGATCTTTTGCCTGGGACTCCTGAACTACATTTTCGGCCTTCTGGACTACACTTCTACCTCCTCAGCAGCGTCAATCACATGCCAGGGGATAATGAGAGTTACTGTTTTAAAGATAAGCAACAATCCTCAGTGTTTTAAGTGCCTAGAGTCCTGTCCTACATAAGGCAGGCACTAGTCAATAGTGGAAGTGGTAGTGGTAGCGATGAGTTAAAAAAAAAAAAATTCACTGAGTAAATTTTGAAGATATTATTGGCTTTATTCAATGATTCATGAATTGGGCAGCATCTGATCTAGCGGGTACAAAGAAACTCAGAGGAGCTGTACGAAACGAAAGACTTGTACTGGCAGGAGGAGCAGGAACAAGGAAGGTAGACTAGGCCAAAAAGGGCATTAGCTATGGCAAGTTTACTTTCCTGTAGGAGATGGTAGGGGTCTGTTAGGCAGATTACCTAACTAGTGCTGATCAGGTGATTCCTGATGGGCTGTAAACTAAGATTCTATTTCTGGGAGAGCCAAAACTTTAAGTCTTATTTTGGTGACATGGGGCTTAATAGAAGCAACTGCATTTTGGGCCTGTTGTCTTGTTAACAGATGGAAGCATCAATAGTAGTAGTAGGAACAGTCCTGGGAGTTAAAAAGTAAGAGTTTTCAGGGCGCCTGGGTGGCTCAGTCGTTAAGCGTCTGCCTTTGGCTCAGGTCATGATCCCAGGGTCCTGGGATCGAGCCCCGCATCGGGCTCCCTGTTCAGCAGGAAGCCTGCTTCTTCCTCTCCCACTCCCCCTGCTTGTGTTCCCTCTCTCGCGGTCTCTCTCTGTGAAATAAATAAATAAAATCTTAAAAAAAAAAAAAAAAAGTAAGAGTTTTCTTCAGAAGGATAAACTCATCTCACAAGGTTCTCCTAAACACTTAAGATACAAATAATCTGGCAATTCTCTGACCTAATTCAGAGGTCCCTATGCATAGAGAACCCCCCCTTTTTAACATCACCATAATCTTTATCTACCCTTTACTTAGATCTTCTAGTCCAATAAATTTTCCAATGTGCTGGATTCTAGCAGTCTCTCTCTATTTGTGGCTCAAAAATATTTGGTAACCAGCAGAGGTCCCCAGGGAAGCTAGTAATAGGAATCTGATACCTTCACTCCTATAGCTATCTACTCGCAGATGTTCTATACACTTCAGTGTGCTTCACCATCATTACCAAAATTGTGACTAATAATAATAGATGACATTTATTGAGCACCAGCTATATTCTTTCCCCTTTACATATGTCATCTCATTTAATTCTCACAGTAAATCTTTGAGATCGGTACTTTTTTACACTCGGAGAAATTGAGGCTTAGAGGGATTTAAACATAATAGGTAATTGAGAGATTACAATTCAGGTTTTGAAAGTCTGTGCTAATTAACTGTGGCATGGTATATCCCAATAGTCTAATTCAGTACTTCAAACCCATCTTAATATCACAGCACACATAGAAAGCATATATTAAAAAGACACGCTGAAATACACAGAAAATTATATTTCCAGGTAGTCTGGAGTAAAAGGATCAGGCTTTTCACAGCCATAGACAACTGAGGGGTGGGAGTAGGGGGACCTCCAGCCACATCAAAGGCTGAAGAGATCAGTATCTGCACACAGCTATAAGCCATTTACCGCCTAGCAGAGTGCCAAGACTCATCTCGTGACGTTGCAATAATTTGTACATTTTTTTCCAATTTGCTTTCCACTATCGATACTATTTCTACTCAGCAATTAGAAGAAAAATGCCCTGGTTTTATCAGCTTCAACTTCTTATAACCCTTCCACCCAGTCTTCTCTAGGCTTAACACATGTAAGCCATTCTTATTTTTATAACAAGCATTGTAGCTCTGGGAGGGTCTACAGAGGTCATAAAGTGCCAGCTCCCCTTTTTACAGATGAAAAAAAATATACAAAACGCAATTAAGTGATTTGCCCAAAGCCTCAGTGTTAATACATGGTAGAGCCAAGACAAACCCAGGCCTTTTGCCTCTAAATTCTACTAATAACACATCTATTCTGCTCAATGATCTTATTTCTGGCTGTTGGTTTTGAGTAATTTGAAGGCCCTGGAACTGAAACTCAATCTTCCAACTATGTCATCTCCCACTATAAAGAGACCCAAAAGCAGCATAAAATGGATCTTATATATAAGATATATACACATCCCTTTAAAGGATGTGAAAATTTTAGACCCTCAAATGACCAAACTATAGTGAACATTCAGTTGCTCAGGGTATAGAGTTCCTCCCTCTAGATCCCAAGATGAATTCAAAAGGTATTGGGGGCTTGACTTAGTGTGTGTACAACATGGCTAAGTGTATTTTCAAATTATCTTTTGGTATTTTTCTGTTCCTTGTATTACTTCTATAAATGTGAGTAATTCAGGTGTGCAGCTCTGCAGCAACTACTTTTCCTCTGTATTACGGAGCACATTTCCTCACTATTTCCATCTTAACTCATCACCACCAACCCCTAAGTCGATTGACTCGAGGAAAAAAGGCAAGTGGGTAACTGGGGGAGAAACACTGCAGCAAATTGGTCTTCTTTATGATAATTCTAAATAGAAGCTAGAAACTGAATAAAATTAGGCTGCAAAATGAATATTAATTTGACCACAAATGACAAACACTTCTCTCAGATTCCAGAATCCCAAAAAAGATCATGAGAAGTCCCTATGAAGATAATATAAATTACAAGGTGAGCTATACTAAATGGGGAAAGCAAAATGAAAATTAGTGTATTTGAGATGACAATATTTGATTTTTTAAAATGTGCATCTACATAATATGGTTGTTTATTCATAAACTATCTCTGCAAGAATACACAATAAACTGACAAAAGTGAGTCTCTAGGAAATAGAACTGGGTGGCTGGGGGTGGAAGAGAGCTTTTTACTGTACCCCCTTGCATATCTCTAGCATTTTATAACATGCTGATATTACCACATCAAAAGTCATTTTTTTTATTCCAAATTCTTTAAATAAAATAGAGTGTTTTGATCCACCTAAAAATGGAAAATTTTCCAGCATTTAGGTTCAAATCATTATCTAAACCTATACTGACCTCTCTAGGCCAAAGTATGTTACTGGCGCCCCAACCAACTGGATAAAATTGTGGATCACTATAATAAGATATAGTAAATTTATAAGCAGCATTATATAATAATTCCCCTTAATCTAGAGTGTGTTTGATGAAGAACATTACTTTTAAAGAAAATATCTAACCTGATCAATAGAGAAGGGAAAGCCAAGAAGTCACTTTCTGACAACTCAAGTCTCTGCTCCTCTGTTTCAGATTAATTTTCTTCTTCCACAATAAGAAATATTAAAATGTAGTGCAGAGAGAGAGAAATTTTTTTAAAACCAGACAGTTAATAAATACACAAAATACCACCAACTTTCATCTGACCAGCTACTAAATAACCAAGGGCTCTGGAGCCAGGAATAACATTTGAAGGGTTTTTTGTTTTGTTCCTGTTTTTACCTCAGATTGGGGGGGGGGATCCAATAAAGCTTTAAGTATGAAAGTAAAGGAAAATTGCACTATCAGATCCTACCCACTCAACTTAAGTAAGAAAGGTGAAAAGGGGAAAAAGAACTTGGAAATAACGAATGAAGGGAACTAAGGGAAGGTGAATGAGGTGTTCCAAAAAAGAGTAAGTTTTCTTTCACTTAGAACACTAAAGGTCATCACAGTGAGTTTAAGATGAAATCGTCTCCTTCAGCAGTTCTCAAAGTGTGATCCAAAGACCCCTGGGGGTCCCCTACCTTTTCCGACTACTTATCCATGTTAGGCTGGATTTTCTCATATACTTCAACCAAAACAAGCTATCATAACAGATTGAATTCAGAAACGGATAAAAATCTAGCTGTCTTCTATTAAGCCAGATATGAAAGAGACTTGCAAAAATGTAAAACACCACCATTCTTCACACTAAATTTCTTTCATTTAGGAAAATGTTTTTCATAAAAATATTATTTATATCGGGACGCCTGGGTGGCTCAGTCAGTTAAGCGGCTGCCTTCAGCTCAGGTCATGATCCCAGCGCTCTGGGATCGAGTCCCGCATCGGGCTCCTTGCTCAGCAGGGAGCCTGCTTCTCCCTCTGCCTGCAGCTACCCCTGCTTGTACTCTCGCTCACTCTCTCTCACCCACGCTCTCTCTAACAAATAAATAAATAAAATCTTTTTAAAAAAATATTATATAAACATAATTATTAATTATAACATATTATTTTAACATTAAATAATTTGTGTTCTCATTTCAAGTTCTAATATGTTAATAACACTAGATATAAAAGATATGTAGCTATAAACCAATCTTTGGAATCCTTCATAACTTTTAAGAGTATAGGAGGGTTCTGAGGCCAATAAGCTTGAGAACTGATCTAGCTAAATAACAATTCAGTCATGTCAATATTTTCCAAAAACCGTTAACCTTCCTCCCCCCATTTAGAATGTGTTCACAAATTTCTCTCTCCTAACTATCCAATTATTCCCTCTTTATATTGTTCCTGGAATCCTCGGTCTAAAAGAATACAAGTAAACCCTTTAGAATCAGGGTTCTGATCCTCAGACACACAGTCTGCACAGGCTCCATGAGCCTGGAAAACTTTATTTAAAATCTCCTTTAAGCTGGAGCCTGATTTCCTTTTGGCATCAATGTCTAATGGCATGTGGACTCCTGCTTATTTTCATGCCCCCATTAATAACCATAGTGGGTTTTTTTTTTCTTTTTTTCCTCAGCGAGCATAATTTCACAAGAAAGAAGGGAAAAACAAGATTCCAGCTACCTTTACTGCCCACACCTACCAAGACATTTACTGTGGTAACTGCCTGAACTAAACCTTGTCCAGAACCTTATCAATAAATGAACTGAAGCTTATTCGTTCAGAGAGCAAGGGAGCACAAAGATATGGCCACTCAGCACCAAAATACGGGTTTTCTTTCGGGAGCGCTGATTTCATTCTAACTCTTGCTATCTGCCAGCTGCAGCACTTCCACAGGTGCCCGTTACCGACCTCTAACTCGACTTTGTGTGGTGTTTTCACTTTAAGGAGCACATTCCTATGAACCCCCAGATCCCTGCACCATTTCCCCTCACAAGATGCCAAGGTCTGGAACAGTAAAAGTCCTAACTCCACCTTTCTAACCAGAGGGAAGAATTTCTGGGGATCCGCATTTTCCCGCTCTCTTCTCTCACCAATTTGCTCTTAAGGACGGCAATTAAGATCGAAGGTACCAAAACCAAAAGTCCTTGACTCCCCTCAGTGGATAGAATAATGGCTTGCTAGCCTCTCTTCCACCTCAGGAACCCCCGCCATGAGATAATCTCCCCTCAGCTGCCTGCCCGCATCCCCACCCCCAGTGGAGGCACCAGCATCCTCATTCCCGCTCAGCCCGTAGCTGCCCGCCAGAATACTGGGTGACTTTTGTCTGTTTGTTGCGGGTAGGTTTGCGGTAGAGATTCTGAGGAGGGATGAGAGTTGGTTGTCGTCCTGAAGAGAAAACTCCTCAGGCGACGGGTGTGAGGATTGGCAGCGCCTAGCACTTTCATCTGCAACCAGAGAAGAGCCAGCTACCTTCTGGAACAAGGAGAACCTAAAGGCAAGGAGCAAAATGAGCCACTGCAGCAATTCTGCAAACCCCTCCAACCGCGACCCAGCTTTCCCGCCACCAAGAAAAGGCGTGAGGAGGACACGCACTAGCTTCGCTGCCACCCCAGCGGCGTGCTTCCAGGACTGAGACGCATGCCCCGTTGAAGGTGCTTCTGCGTTTGCGCAGCTGTTACTTCCGCCATATTCCAACCGAATGCCCCGTAAAACTACAAATCCCATAATCCTTAGTGGCCTCACTTTTTTTAGGCGGCAGGAGCAGCGCCTGATCGTTCATGAAGCACATCTTTCTTTTACTAACTTTTTTCTCTACCCCAGACTGCCTTTTCCTTCTCCTTTTCGTTTCCTGATTCCTATTCTTCCTTTTAGTTTCCTTCACGCCCTATCTTGATATTTTAGTTGAGACTATCCGCAACCCGACTCTCGCCTCTCCCGCCTTCTTCTCTGCCGCAGGACCCACTCCCCAAGCTCTGTTGGCAGGGAGAACACACCACCTTAGCACCCTGTGGAAAGGGCGCCGAATAGCTTCTTCCCCATTGGCCGAGGCAGGGGGCCCAAAGCAGGCCGAACCCTCTTCCCCGCCCACACTCGTTTTTATATAAGGCTGCGTGAAGACAGCGTGTGTTTGGGGAGGCCTGCGTGCGAGGTGGCGGTGGTGGTAGTGAATGTACTGCTATTGGTGGCTGTGGTGGGCGTCGGGTCGCAGTCCGCGGGCTGGGGGCTCGCGCGCAGGCGTCGGGTGGTGGGAGGAGGTTTTGGTGCCAGGGTTGTGGGTGTGGAGGCGGAGAGGAGGGCGTGGTGTCCCCAGGTGATCGCGATTGGGGTAAGGCGGAGGAGCGAGAGAACGACTCGGCCATTTCGGGGGAAGAGGAAGTTGGACAAGATCGGCTGCTTTAGTGCCTTTTTTTTTTTTTTCAGTTCAGCAGAGAATATTTCCCAGGGGGGTGAGTTACAATGACTTATTGTATTTTACTGAGAACAGTTCGTAGGAAAACTGTCTGTACGCTCCTCTCCTTCCCTTCCTCTACTTTTAGGTTCACCCTCCGTTCCCTCGGAAGCGTTTCTAAGTAGGGGGGTAATGGGAAGGAAGGCGACCAAATTATGAATAATTCATGAGGTCCGCCCCATTCTTTGGACACGCCCCCTCCAAATCGTGCTGACGCACGTTGCGTGTACCAAATCTGAGGAAGCGACGTAACAGTCCCCGCCCCTAGGGTGCAGGGCGGGGCGTTAGCTCCAGCACGTGCTGTATCTACCCGCGCAAGCCCAAAAGGGTGTGCGCAGGCGCTGCCCGCTAGGGGGAGGAAGGAGGCGGGGTAGGGAGGTTGCTGGGTTTAGAGCCGGGCGGAGACCGCTGAGACTCATTCCTCAGGAACAAGGGTCGGGTGTCAAGGAGACCTTTTCACACCAGCTCCCCGTCTCCCGCCTACGGTGGGTGGGATCGCGCGGCAGAGACAAAGGATATCAGTAGGGACGGACATAGCTGCGAAGGGAAGTAGGGTGTCAGTTTGGGGTGGTGGGCTTTTTGGGGGGGGCTGAGGTGGGCTATATTTAAACTCCCGGAGCCGTTAAGTTGGTTCGTACTCATGCGCGCGCAACCAGGGTGGTGGTGGAGTGCGCATGCGTGATTCAGGGGCGAGAGGAACGCGCTCTAGCAGTGCGCGCTCGCGGCGAAGCGGTAGTGGTGGAGGAGAAAGGGTTCGGCGCACGCGCGGTTGATTCCTCGAGTTGTTCGGTTCTCGCGGGCATCTTGTTTTGGTGTCGCGGGCGAGTGGGGCGCGCTTCGGGGGAGGCGCTTGGGCGCGAGACAAGGCGAGAAGAGCAGAGCTGCGCGCGCACTCGGGGAAGGGGGGAAGGGAGCGGGCTCTAGGGAGGGGGGTTAAGCCCCCAGTCCCCCCCCTCGTTGCCCTCGACTGGGACGGAATAAGGGGAGGAAATGATCGAGATGGCGGCGGAGAAGGAGCCGTTTCTGGTGCCGGCCCCGCCGCCGCCGCTCAAAGATGAGTCGGGCGGAGGGGGCGGCCCCACGGTGCAACCGCACCGAGAGGCCGCCTCCGGGGAGCTCTGCGGCGGGACGCAGCGTGGGCTGGGCCCGCGCGCACAGTCGGCGGGGGCCCCGGCTTCTGGGGCTGGCAAGGAGAACCCTGGGGCTACGTCCACTCGGGGAGGCCAGTCGCAGCAGCAACGAGGGGGCGGCCCCCAGGCGCAGTCGCATGGGGAGGCCCGCTTGTCGGATCCCCACGGGCGAGCCGCTCCCCCTGACGTGGGGGAGGAGCGACGGGGAGGGGGCGGAACAGAACTGGGCCCCCCTGCCCCTCCTCGACCCCGAAATGGCTATCAGCCCCACCGGCCCCCTGGGGGAGGCGGGGGCAAGAGGAGAAATAGTTGTAACGTAGGGGGAGGTGGTGGAGGCTTCAAACATCCGGCCTTCAAGAGGCGCAGGCGGGTTAATTCGGACTGTGATTCTGTGTTACCCTCCAATTTTCTCCTGGGGGGCAATATCTTTGATCCACTGAACCTGAATAGTCTCCTGGATGAGGAAGTGAGCCGCGCACTCAATGCAGAGACCCCTAAGTCATCTCCACTTCCGGCCAAGGGGCGAGATCCAGTGGAAATCCTCATCCCCAAAGATATTACTGACCCGCTCAGTCTCAATACTTGCACTGATGAGGCCCAGGTAGTTCTTGCATCGCCACTCAAGACTGCTCGGAAGCGGCATAGACACCGGGGACAGCACCACCAGCAGCAGCAGCAGGCAACTGGAGGGAATGATAGCCACTCTGTGCTCCCCACAGCCCCCCTCACTCCCTCACTCCATGGGGAGGGCACCACACAGCAGCAGCGGCATAGGGGCCAGAACCGGGATGCCCCCCAGCCCTATGAACTCAACACAGCCATCAACTGCAGGGATGAGGTCGTGTCTCCCCTTCCGTCTGCCCTACAGGGTCCCTCAGGCTCCCTTTCAGCCCCTCCAGCTGCCTCAGTTACCTCTGCACCCCCGTCTTCCTCCTCACGACATCGCAAACGTCGCAGGACTTCCAGCAAGTCAGAGGCAGGGGCTAGGGGTGGAGGCCAGGGTCCCAAGGAAAAGGGCCGAGGGAGTGGGGGAGGCCGCCACCACCACCATCACCACCACCACCACCACCACCATCACCACCACCACCCATTACCTGCAGCAGGCTTCAAAAAGCAACAGCTCAAGTTCCAGTATGGGAATTATTGCAAGTACTATGGTTACCGCAATCCTTCCTGTGAGGATGGGCGCCTTCGAGTGTTGAAGCCTGAGTGGTTTCGGGGTCGGGACGTCCTAGATCTGGGCTGCAATGTGGGCCATCTGACCCTGAGCATTGCCTGTAAGTGGGGTCCATCCCGCATGGTGGGCCTGGATATCGATTCCCGGCTCATCCACTCGGCCCGCCAAAATATTCGACACTACCTGTCTGAGGAGCTGCGTCTGCCATCCCAGACTTCTGAGGGGGACCCAGGGGCAGAGAGTGAGGAAGGGACTGTAACCGTCCGAAAGAGAAGCTGCTTCCCAGCCTCACTGACAGCCAGCCGGGGTCCCATTGCTGCACCCCAAGTGCCCTTGGATGGAGCGGACACCTCAGTCTTCCCCAACAATGTTGTCTTCGTCACGGTAAGAGGGTCCGAAGGCTCTTGGGATAGGGGCCAGGTGTGAAGATGAGATTAAATGGGAACAAGACCCAGGGAAGTTAAGACCCAGAGAGATTTCTGCATGCACTCTTTGCTAGAACCAGATCCTCAAGGGTCTGAATCTGTGAATGACTGCTGAGTGTCTCCTTTTCTATAACCTGGGAAGGTGGGGGCTCTCACCTGGGCTCCTTTGTCATGACTACTGGCCCCAAGATGGGGTTGGGCTCCTTTTGCCCTGCTGTAATCCAGACTAGCCCGCCTTCCCTTGCTTGCTGCTGCTGCTCACTCGGAGACTTGATCCAGATGGAGAGTTGTCTTCCAGCGCACTGAATGGAGGTGCACGAAGGGATAGGTGTCGGACACGGAATGCCTGGGGGTGGGAGCAGGATTTAGGGTAGTGCCTAGTATTTTGATAGGGACTTCGATCCAGAGTTGGTTGAAGAATGTTGGTGGTCAGAACCCCAAGTGGCTTGGTCAACCTCATGTTGACCCTAGATAGTGGGATAGGTAAGAGTCAGAGTCCTCTGCAAGAGGGGAGGGTATTGTGTCTTCAGAGTGTCTGTCCCCTGACTGCACATAGCTCTCCATAGAACACTCCGGTTCGACCATCTGCAGGAACAGTTGGTGGTGGCAGGTTGGGTTAAGCCTGCAAGAATGGACTTTGCAGAAGGTGTTGATGAGCTTATCATCTAGAAAAGGTTTCCTAAGGGCTGGGGCTCTTCTCCCCGAGAAAGGAAATAGGTCTGGAACTTTGCCAGCCCCAACTCCGGGGAAGGAACCACAGGTTGGTTCCCTTTCAAACCTGGGTTAGGTCCCTCTGCATAACATTGAGTCACTCAGCTTAATGTTCGTGGGGTGGGATTAAGTACTGGATGGAGTCTCGGGAGAACCCTTGTTCTTTGAAATTTCACCCCAGTTTTGGAGACCTCTTGAGTAATTTGCTCAATTTAAAATTATCCATGCTCCCTTTTTATGTTTGGCTTACTACCAACAGAAAGCAGGGGCAGGAGGGTATAAACCAAGAAAATGAGACTTAAGAGGGCACCATTTGGGAGTTAGTCTGACAAGTGTCAGAGAAGGTTGTGGCCAAGGGCTAAGGTAAGGCTATAGGACTTTCTTAGAGCCTGCAGAGCGGGGGGGGGGGGGCAGTGGTTCTTTTTATTGCCTCTGTTGACCTTGCCCCCAATTCTTGCTTCAGGGTAACTATGTGCTGGATCGAGATGAACTGGTGGAGGCCCAAACACCCGAGTATGATGTGGTGCTCTGCCTCAGCCTCACCAAGTGGGTGCATCTGAACTGGGGAGATGAGGGGCTAAAGCGCATGTTTCGCCGGATCTATCGGCATCTACATCCTGGGGGCATCCTGGTCCTAGAGCCCCAACCTTGGTCATCCTATGGCAAGAGAAAGACTCTCACGGTGAGTTGGGATTCGGGTGGATATTGCGATATCCTTCCTTTAGTTGGGGCAAGAAAGGCCTCAAGGAAACAGAAAGAGAAGTACTTTCTGAACAAGGTGAATAGTTCTCCAGGGTGGGCATCATTCACCAGGGGAGAAGCCAGCAAGCTGAAGTGGTCCCCTGCCCTTCTCCCTAGGAAACAATCTATAAGAACTACTATCGAATCCAGCTGAGGCCAGAGCAGTTCAGTTCCTACCTGACATCCCCAGAGGTGGGCTTCTCCAGCTATGAGCTTGTGGCTACACCCCACAACACCTCCAGAGGTAAGGTTGGCTGACTTGGGAGAGGATGGGGGGCCGCGGATGGTGAGGGGGGTCTTGGCAGAGGGGATGCAGATCCCATGGAGTCTTGGAAGTCCTGCCAGCCCTACTGATTGCACACTCTCTCCCCAGGCTTCCAGCGTTCTGTGTACCTGTTCCACAAGGCCCGTTCCCCCAGCCACTAAGTGGCCCCCTGAACAGAAAGTGTGAAGAAGCTGCCCACTGCTCTTAAGGACCTGAGGGGAAAGGAAAGTATCCCAAGGTCTTTCCTTTTTGGCTCCAAAAAAGTTTCCTTTCATGGATCTGCAAAGAACGCTTTTCCTATGTTGCTGCCCCAGCCTCCTCCCTACACTTCTGACACCCTAAGCGGCAAGCCCAGCTGTGCTGGAGTTACCGACATCTTCCTCTCTCCCCCAGCTCACTGGGCTGGATGGCATGGACTGTTTGCTGACCTCTGTTCTCCTCGGGTGTGGGGGGGCGGGTATCAAGTTCTCTAGCCTCTTCCTCCTGTTCTCCAAAGGAGATTTCCATTTCTCCTCAGCCCTTGTCCCTAGCTGCGTTTCAGCGACCACAGATGAATGGACTGAGGGTTAAGAGGGGGAAGTTTGGCAGGGTGGCATGCAGGTACTGTGAAAATCCTTCCCTCTGCTGACCCCCACTGGGAGAGGGAGTTGGGTTTGGAATGTAAGAACAGCACAATAAATTTGATGTTTAGGGCAGTGGCCCCCACACTTGTGTCTGGCACTTTCTAGCTAATGGGGAAGGGATGGTGCCTCCCATTAGAACCTGTGCTTCCTCTGCCCAAACGAGTCTCAAGAAGAAGACAGATTTTTCAGTGGTTGGGAGGATTGAGTTAAATGCTAGTCAAATCTATACACAACTAAACAACTCTAATCAGGAAGGAGGGATATAATGTGAATTTTTATGTGAAACTTGAAGCAGAGAGTCCATCTCCCCTCCCCAAAAAACCCACTGACAAGAATTTTTTTGTGGGAGCTTTGGACAGGAGGCTAACTTTGGAAGAATTAACAGTGGAGCTAGGAAAAGGCACTATTGATCAGACCACCCACCCACCTTTTTTGTGATGTGCAACTGGATGAATAGGCAATTAACATGAAACTCTTCAGCAGCTCCTCAAGTGTTCCTGGAACTTTGAATATTCATTCAACAAATATTGAGCACTCTTGGATCTGGTGTAAACAAGATGGGCAAGGCCCCTAGAGGTAAAAGCAAGGAAGTAATTTCAATAACTGGGTGCAAACAGCCTGCTGTCTTGCAGGGTCCTTGAGCCAGGTAATTAGGGAAGGACTCCCTGAAGTTTAACAGACTGAGACCCACCCACATGTTAAAGTGATCAGAAATAAGTAGTGCAGGGGCACCTGAGTGGCTCAGTGGGTTGAGCATCAGACTCCTGGAAGTCCTGCTTCCGGCTCCGCGCTGAGCGTGGAACCTGTTTGCGACGCTCTCCTTCTGCTCCCTCCCATCTCCCCCTACCCCCTCACGCATGCTTTCACTATTTAAAAAAAAAAAGTGCAAAGTAACAACGTGGTCCTATGACCGAAGTAAGGGGAAGAGGTGGGACAGTGTTCTCAACTTGCCATCACTACCAAATTCCAAAAAGGCCAAAAACTTGACTTCCAGACAGCTTTCATCCTGAGGCTTGACCCCCTTTTAAGTCTCCCAAGAAGAGTCCCATTTGTTAGCAAAAACCACTTTATTCTGAAAAACAGTTTTAACACAAAAATATTAATTAGCAATCCAGGGAGCCTCCACGTCTACACTTCCCATCGCCTCAGTGTCCGGTGCATGAGGAAGGTATCCTCTGAAGGGCGGGGCCGGAGTTGAAGACGGAGAGGAGGCAGACCGTCCAGGGTCAGGTGTGGAGACTCATAAAATAACGTTTCTGGGTCACAAAGGATGGTCATGTCTGGCCCTGACCCAGGTGGCTCCTGTTGGGAATTGGAGCCCAAAGCCAAGGTTACACTCGGGAAGGGGAAGGGGGCACGACACGGAAACAAGCCCAGGTCCCTCACCTTTGGGGGCGGGGCTCGGGCCTGCGGCGGCAGGAGCGCCAGTTTCTCCCTCAGCGCAGCGTTCAGAACCTGTTCCTCCGGCACCTGCAGGCTCACCAGGTCTCGGAAGAGCCGCTTGGAGCGCGGCACGTTCAGCCCTGAGACCGCAGTGGGGAGTGGGGTGAGCGGCGCCTCTCATCCCCGCTCCCGCGCCCCGCCGGCCGTCTCTCTCTCACCCTCGGCCACGCTCTCCTCCAGGCCGCAGCGGGTCTGGAACGACTTTCTCAGCTGTTCCTCCACGGCCTTCGCGGCATCGAACTGGCTGCCGGCTGCAGCCCGCGCGGCCTGCAACTCGAGGCTCAAAGCCAGGCTGCTCTGCTGCGCGGGCGCCCCCAGGTCCTGCGGTGCCGCGGGCTTCTCGCTAGGTGCTGCGGCGGCCGGCGGCGGTTCGGACCGCACGGGGGAGAGCGGCGCCAAGCGAAAGCGGACCTGGGAGCAGAGAGCGGGACGGTGAATAGGTGGGCGCGGGCTTGTCTGCGGCCTGGCGGCCAGGCCTTCCCCCAGCTCACCTGCCGCCCCTTGCGGGCCCCGCCCCGCCGGTCCGCCCGCCCCTTCCGCCGGCCGGGGCAGCTGGTCGGCCGCTCGGGGGTCTCGGACCGCGAGCTCAAGCTCAGGTCCAGGCCAGGCTCGGGCGTTGGGGCTCTGGGCTCCGGGGCGCGGGGTTCTGGGGGTGGCCCGGGGGCCGCCAATGCCTCCTCCCCTCCGGCCGACTCCAGCTCGGCCTCCCCACAGCCCATCATCTTGGTGTGGCTGCGGGGGTGCAAGGTCTCCGGAGGCCAGGGGTCACGGGACACGAAATCGCCACCCCACCCCCTCCGCCGCCCCTCCCGGATGCCGCTACCGGAAACCGCTTGCCCCTACCCAATGGGGCGGGAAGACCAGCCCCCGCTCCATCCCATTGGCGCTACTAAGCGTCATTTCCGTTCCTCGGCTGCCTGTCTCCCGCGGGCTTCCGCCCGCAAAACCTCGGCCCCGCCCCTAAGCCGGAGTTTCGGAACCGCCGCCCGCGGAAGCCCTACGGGTCCTCACGAGGACCATTTCTCCTTCGGAAACCTGGATGTGGCGTCTCTGTCCTGCAGTCTTTACTTGACTTCTGCTCGAGTCCAGAGTGTGTCTCAGTCCCTTCTGTCGGGGTGCCAAATAGACAGCTTTAGGTCAGGAGGCCCCGCGTTGGCCCTCCCTCGTCAGCGCCTCCGCAGCATCTCCCGGCGTTCCTCGGCCCTGGGACCGGAGCTTCCCAGTATGAGTGAGGGCGGGGCTCGCCGAGCCCAGCTGCGGGCTCCTTCCCGGGACTCTGGGCGTTCGTGGTTGCCCGGGCGGTAACTGCCTCGTTCCGCCTTATGGCCTTTTGTGACTTTTCCTCCTTCGAGGGCTCCCTACAGTATTCGTCTCTATAAAAATACGTATCTGTATGTTGAATATACAGTTTTTAAAAAGAAAGTCTCGGTGGATTTACCTGGACTTCTAGACTACGGGGCAGGAGACTGGATCGCTTGTCCGTTCCCTGTGTTCCTTGGGGCAGGTGCTCTCAGTTCTGTGAGCCTCTGTTTCTTCTTGTGCAAAATGTGCTAAGTCGGGCGCATGACTCTCGAGGCTCTCCCCAAAGGGGGTTAATATTCAGTCAACAGGCACGTTTGGGTACCACTTTGCAGTTTGATAGTTTTCTCATGCTTTATCTTACCAGAAACTGCTGTGGAAGATCAGGTGGAATGCATAGCTGGCCGCATTTAACACACACAAAATGCTCCCGAGGATCTCTGGGGTGAAACACTCTGCAGGCTTTCCTGCTGAAGAGAAGAAAAAGAAAGTATGAGAATTCCCTCTACTATTCATTTGTGAGAGTAGAGAGATACAAATGTAAATACTTGTGTGTGTGTGTGTGTGTGTTTTTTTTACGTGGAAGTATAATTCAAAAACTTTTCATGGTTACTGACATTGAGAAGGAGAGAACAGAATAAAAGGAAAACAGGCTAGACTTTGAATATAGTTCGTTTTCTTTGACTTTGGAAACCTATGTTTTCCATTATTATGTGACAAAAATTAATTTTTAAAAATCAGTCCCGGGGGCGCCTGGGTGGCTCAGTCGTTAAGCGTCTGCCTTCGGCTCAGGTCATGGTCCCAGGGTCCTGGGATCGAGCCCCGCATCAGGCTCCCTGCTTGGCGGGGAGCCTGCTTCTCCCTCTCCCACTCCCTCTGCTTATGCCCCCTCTCTCCCTGTGTCTCTTTCTATCAAATAAATAAATAAAATATTTTTAAAAAAAATCAGTCCCTAGGTGCCTGGGTGGCTCAGTCGGTTAAGTGTCTGCCTTCGGCTCAGGTCATGATCTCAGGGTCCTGGGATCGGGCCCCACATTGGGCTCCCTGCTCAGCGGGGAGCCTGCTTCCCCCTCCCTCTGCCTGCATCTCTCCGCCCTCTCTCTCTTTCTCTCTGTTAAGTAAATAAATAAAATCTTTAATTTAAAAAAATCAGTCCCTAAGTTGAAAGTAAAATGAAACAGATGAACCTAAATGTGTATCTAGTTGCTGGGGTAGCTACACAGAAGGGAACTCTTCTAAATGATTTGAAAACACAGTAATTTAACTATACATCCCAAAGATCTACCCTAAGAACAAAATTAACTCCCATAAAAAAAATAAATAAAAATGGGACACCTGGGTGGCTCAGATGGTTGGGCGTCTGCCTTCAGCTCAGGTCATGATCCCAGGGTCCTGGGATAGAGTCCAGCATCTGGGTCACTGCTCAACGCGGAGTCTGCTTCTCCCTCTGCCTGCCACTCTCCCTGCTTGTGCTCTCTCTCTGACAAATAAATAAATAAAACCTTAAAAAAAAAAAAAAAAACCCTGCCTTAAAATTTTAAATTGTATTCAGTAGTCATGTTAGGAACCTGTGAAAATGTGTAGGATAAAACATAATTATGCTGATATTATCAGAACTGGAATTTTGGCATAGTGAAAAGAGATACATATACAAAATCAATGGTGTTATGCAAATTCCCTGTTGTCTTGAATTTAGGAAGTAGCTTAGAAACTCTTGGTGTATTTTAGTTTAAATTGAAAAGTATATCCGAATTCTTTTTTTCTTAGATTTTATTTATTTATTTGACAGAGCACAAGCAGGGGGAGTGGCAGGCAGAGGAAGAGGGAGAAGCAGGCTCCCCGCTGAGCAGGGAGCCCCATGCAGGACTCAATCCCAGGACCCTGTGATCATGACCCGAAGGCAAACACTTACCTGACTGAGCCACCAAGTGCCCCGAAAAGTATATTCTAATTCTGTCCACTGAAAAGCCCTTAGAAACAATGATGGACCCAGTAAGCACCTGTGGTCCCCAGAATGTGGTAGCTAATTCCATTTCCCTGAGCACTTCAAACCCTCTACACATGTTTATAGTAGCTTTATTTGTAATAGCCAAGAACTGGAAACAACCCAAATGTCCTTCGCCAGGTAAAGAGTTAAACTATGGCCTATCCATTCCATAGAATAGTACTCAGCAATCAAAATGAACAAACTATTGATATATGACAACTTGGATGAATTGGCTAGGTTATGCTGGGCAATAATAATAATAATAATAATAATAATAATAATAATAATAAAGGCCAATCCCAAAATAAAATACCACATGCCACATGGTTCCATTTATCTAACATTTCAGAAATGATAGGAGTTTAGAAACGGAAGACAGATTTAGTGATTGCCAAGTGCTAGGGATGAAATGGAGGGAGGGAGGTGGGCATGGTCATAAAAGGGCAATACCAGAGATCCTTTGGTGTTGGAACTGTTCGTTTCCTTTACTGTAGTGGTAGCTTCAGGAACCTACACGGGTGACAAAATTGTATAGAATTAATATACACACACAAATGAGTACAAAACTAGGAAATCCAAATAAGGTTGGTGGATTATACGAATGTCAGTATCCTTGAGATAGTATAGTTTTGCAAAACGTTGCTCTCTTCGTCGGCTCAGGCTGCTATAACAGAATACTATAGACTGGGTGGCTATAAACAACAGAAATTTATTTTTCATAGTCCTAGAGGCTGGGAGGTCCAAGCTCAAGGTGCTGGCAGATTCAATGTCTAGGAAGGAATGGTTTCCTGGTTTGTGGATGGTTGTCTTCTCATTTGTTGGAAGGGCAAGGGAGTTCCCTGGGGTCTCTTTTATAAGAGTACTGATTGCCTGATTACCTCCCAAAAACCCCACCTCCAAAGACCAACACACTGGGGATTAGGTTTCAACATAAGGATTTAAGGCGGAACACAAATATTCAGTCTCCAGCAGTTACCATGGGGGGAAACTGGGGTAAGTGTACAAGCGATCTTTCTGTGTTATTTCTTACAACTGCGTGTGAATCTATAAGGATCTTAATAAAAATGTTAATTAAAAGTAATGTTGGTTTGGGGAAGAGGAGCAGTGTCTGAGGGTGGTTGTGAAGAGGAAACAGGACTGGCCAAATGTGGGTGATTGTTGAAGACAGATGATGGGTACGTGGGGGGTTATTATAATATTTCCTTTACTTCTTTTTTTTTTTTTTTTAAGATTTTATTTATTTATTCATGAGAGACAGAGAGAGAGAGAGAAGCAGGCTCCCAAGGAGCAGGGAGCCCGATGCGGGACTCGATCCCAGGACCCCGGGATCATGACCTGAGCCAAAGGCAGACGCTTAACCATCTGAGCCACCCAGGCGCCCTCCTTTACTTCTGTATATGAGCGTTTCTATAATAAAAAGTTGTGTCTGGGGGTGCCTGGGTGGCTCAGTCGTTAAGCGTCTGCCTTCGGCTCAGGTCATGTTCCCGGGGTCCTGGGATCGAGCCCCGCATCGGGCTCCCTGCTCGGCGGGAAGCCTGCTTCTCCCTCTCCCACTCCCCCTGCTTGCGTTCCCTCTCTCGCTGTGTCTCTCTCTGTCAAATAAATAAATAAAATCTTTTTTTAAAAAGAGTTGTGTTTGTTTGTTTAAAGGAGGCTGAGATAGCTTTGGCACACAGGAAGTGTTAGAGCTGAAACTTAAAACTAGCCCGCAGGCCTTGGCTGCTAGGGGATATAAAGGCCCTACAGGAACACTAGCCATGAATTCAGTAAGTTCAGTTGCTCAATTTCAGCCTTAAAATTTAGCCACGACCTCCTCCTAGGTGTAGACAGAGATAAGAACAAGCCATTCTATTTGCCAGCTTATGGGTGGCCTCCAGGAAGTGGAAAGTTCACCACCAAATGACATTACAGAAACAATACGCATGTGAGGATGGGTGGGTGGAGGTGAGGGAAGGAGGGGGTCTCAGTCCTGCCCCCACTCTTCCTAAGACATTTTTTGGTTGGACCAGTGGAGAGGCTTAGAATTGCTTTTCCTTTTAAAAAAATAAACAACAAAACTCCCCTTTAAGAAGGTACTGACAAGTGACTCCTTCTCTATCCTTAACTTTAGAGTCTCCTCATGGTGGCATGTTCTAGAGCTGGACCCTCTTCTGCAAAGAGGGATTTCAATTACATGCCACACCAAACCAAGCCCTGTCTGGGGACAGCAGAAGGTGAGAAGGGGGAACCCTGGAGGAAGGAGTTAGGAGAGAAATTTCAAATATTGTCCAGTAACTGCCCCCACCCCTCTACTCTAAGCAAAAGAGGGGAGAAGCAGAGAAGCTTCCCTGACCGCACTACTTGAGATTGCCAAGTGAGGGGGCCCTGCCCAAGCTCTCATCAACTAACCCCTCCCCGCCCCCCCCACACAGGCTGGGCAGCTCCCACCTCTGCATCATCTCCCATCCAGGGAAGGGTGGGGAGAGGAGGGAAGAGGGAAGGCTGAAGGAAGAGGGAAAGAGACACAGAGAAGGTCCCCAGGAAGAGGTCACACTTGAGGCCCTTAGGTTCTGTCTTGATGGGTTAGACCCCACCAGGTATGATGTTCCCTTTAGTCATCTGGGAGGGGTGATTCCAGACCTGGATCCTCGTTTGGGGAAGGTGAGTCTGAGTGCTGGAAGGGGTCATTCAAGGTCATCCTGAGCTTCTGCTGGGCCAGATGCTATGGGTGGGTTAGATGGGACTGGAGACAGGATAGGGTCAGAGGTCCTTCGAGGGACCATGCTGGTGAGTGGCAGGGGGAGATTTCCAATGCAGTGACCCATGGAGTGGCTGGGACCATTGCAGAGGGCAGCTGAGGAGTCCTGCCAGGGAGGAGAGGGCAGGGGAAGGGCAAAGGCTCCACAGGAAGCTACCCTCCAGTACAGCCAAGGCAGTCAAAGAAATGAGGCAACAGCCCTCGCCCACCACCCTCTGCAAACCTGCAGGGACCCTCACTTCCCATCTCCCATTCCCCAACTGGCTGCTGCCTACAGGTGGGGGCCAGCCCAGAGACATTTCCACACTGTGTCCCCGTCACATGGGGAGTGATGGAGGATGGGTCGCTGACCTTGCACTTCCATCAGCTGTGACCCACCCTCAGCCACACACATACACCCATGCTCCCAGCCCCCCTTTCCCATTCTGCCTGATTCCCAGGGCTGGCAGGATAGACCCCCTTCCCCCAGCAGAAGGTCAAGTCTGAGGTATTGTGCCCTGAGCCCACCACTCCTTTCTCCTGATCCAGAGAGGAGAGCACAGGTCAGGCTGCAGGCCAGCACACTGACTCCAAGCCCCCTGGCCCGCCACAGAGAGAGAAAATAAATGTCAAATAAGAGAAGAGTACTCTTGGGTGTCTGGGTGGCTCAGTCATTGAGCGTCTGCCTTCGGCTCAGGTCATGATCCCGGGGTCCTGGGATCGAGCCTCACATCGGGCTCCCTGCTCAGCCGGGAAGCCTGCTTCTCCCTCTCCCACTCCCCCTGCTTGTGTTCCCTCTCTCGCTGTGTCTCTCTCTGTCAAATAAATAAATAAAATCTTTAAAAAAAGAATAATTAAGAGAAAATTACTCTTTGCACATTGTAAACACTATCCCTGATTCTGACAATTTGGGATTTGTGCGATGTGATGATTTTTTTTTTTTTAATGGCCAAAATTTCTTTGACACTCCTTTCCTTGAGAGGTGAGGTCTGTGTCCCCTCCCCTTGAATCAAAGCAGGCTTGTGACTCGGTTGCAGCTTCGCTGAACAAACTGTGCTTCCCACAAGCCTCTATCTGGGAGCTGGAGCGGGAGAGGGCCAGCCTGGGGGTAGCTGCCCTAAGGGTTCCTCCTAGGAACTTGGTTGCCTCTTTTGTTATGTAAATTAAGGAGCTCTCAAGATAGTAACCATCCCTTTCATCGTCTGCCCCCCCGCTGCCAGGGAGCTCAATGCCTCAGTTTGGGCTCCCCCACCCCCCATTGCAATAACTAACCTTGGCCTAGGTCTCTAACATGTTTCTCTCCCTTCTGGACTTAAAATGAATGTTAACACCTACATCACAGGATCGCTGGGGGAAATTACAAGAAGAGATCGAACATCTTTCAGAACCTCCTCTAAGCCAGGCGTTGTGCGTGCTGCTTAAAACAAAACCCCGTGGGGTGTGCTCATTCCCATTTTGCAGATGAGGAAATGCATCCGCGTGCACAGAGGCCAAGCATTTCACTCATGGGCACACGGCAAGTCAGCATAGGAAATAGACCATACCCTAGTGCTCTTTTCAGAGATGGAAAAAATAATGCATGTGTGAAAGCACGAAAAGCAACAATGGTTTCCTTCCTTCCATCTGTGGGCTCATACAGCCCATCCAAACACCCCTTAGCTGGGGCCCTTCTCACCCTGCACTGCGAACATCAGTTTACCCCCTCTCCACTGTGACCTGGCAAGGTCGGGGGGAATTACCTTTCATACCAGGCAGAACCCACTGACTGAGTAAATGTTTGTCGAGTAAGTGAAAAACACCATTCATATTCCATCATTACTCACTGGATAGCTCCTTCATTTATGCTACAAATATCTATTGAGCAGCTACTCTGAAGATCCAGGCACGGAGTAAGTCCTCCGTGCACATAACTTCTTTTAATCCTACCAATCACTGTGTGTTTGCTGTAAGTCTTATTCACATTTTTTTTTAATGATTTTACTTATTTGAGAGAGAGAGAAAGAGCCCGTGTACAAGAGCAAGAGGGGGAGGAACAAGCAGATTCTGCTCTGAGCACGGAGCCTGATGCAGGGCTCGATCTCACAACCCTGAGATCATGACCTGAGTCAAAATCAAGAGTCGGAGGCTTAACCAACTGAGCTACCCAGGTGCTCCTTTATTCACTTTTTTCTAAATGAGGAGTTGAAAGTAGTGGTTTCTCCCAACTCCAGCTGCATTAGAATCTCCTGGAGAGCGTGTTAAAACACAGAATGCTGGGCTCCGCCATGAAGTTTCTGATCCAGTAGGTCTGTAGTATGGCCCAAGAAACTGCATTTTTTTTTTTTAAGATTTAGTTATTTATTTTAGAGAGAGTGCACGTGTGAGTAGGGGAGGGGCACAGGGAGAGGGAGAGAATCTTAAGCAGACTCCCCACTGAGCACATAGCCCAATGCAGGGCTGGATCTCAGGACTCTGAGATCATGACCTGAGCCAAAACCAAGAGTTGACTGTGCCACCCAGGCGCCCCTAGAAATTGCATTTCTAATAAACTCCTAGGTGATGCTCATCCTGCTGGCGTGGCCCACACTTTGAGAACCACAGCTGGGGTCTGTCTGAATACCCAGGTTTTTACCCACAAACCCTAGTGCTTCCCAACCAGGAGGTGGGGCAGGGGACATGAAAGAGGCCTTTGGGCAAATACTATTTGGGATGCACAACTTGGGGAGAAATGTGGTTGTCCCCTCCAGGTTTTGCTGGTGTAGGATGCTGCTGAATAATGACCTCCCAGAGATATGAGGTCCCATCCCAAGTGTCCTTAAAAGAGGGAGGCAGCAGGAGACGTGACACAGAAGAGAAGGAGACAATGTGACAGGGATCCGAGTGATGTGGCCCCAGAGGCGGGACGAAGCAAAAAAAAAAAAAAAAAAAAAAGGATTCTCCTCCGGAACCTCGGGAGGGAGCACAACTCTCCTCACACCTTGATTTCGGCTCAGGGAAACGGATTTCAGACTTCTGGCCGCCAGAACTGGGGGAGAATGAATTTCTCGTGTTTGACACCACTGGGTTTGTGGCAATTTGTTCCAGCAGCCCCAGAAAACGAATACAGCTGGGGGGACAGGTCTGGGCTGCACCTCGGGCTCTGGCCACCGTGTTCCCCAGGATCCCACCCACACACTCACCTCAGCAGCATCCCCATCCCTGGAGAGCTGAGATTGGAGGCCCCGGAGTGGGAAGGATTTAGTCTTGAAGGACCATCTTGTCCTGAGAGGGCTTCCCCAGGCTCCAGAGAGTTGCCAAAGGAAACAGGTGAAGGCAAGAGGAGGAAGAGTGGGAGGTAGGAGACTGGCGGAGTGTTGGAGGCACTGGGGAGGGGAGCCTGGTGTTGACATTGTAGAGGAATGACTGACTGGGAGTCCCTCTGTGTGGGAGCCACGTCAGCTCCATGTCAAGAAGTTAATGGGGAGGGCCCGTGTCCAGCCATGCCCATCCAGTGGCCTCCCACATCTTAAGGCCCGGGGTTGGGGGGCCCCACAACTGGTCTCTGATCATGTCCAAAGTGTCAGGTGGCCGTGGTGACCAGGAAGCCTGCTCAAGGAACTGAGGCCTTAGGCACTGAGTTTTAGGAGAGCGAAACCTGGGCTGCAAGCAGAGCCCTAGGAATCAGCTACGCTGGGACATTGGGCACCCAGACCAGGGTCCTCCGATCCAATCAAACTCTCCTCTTCCTTCTCCACCCTCAGGCCAGGGGTCCCACCCCTTCTCACAAGTTCGTCTCTGCCATGCACAGTGTCAGTCCTTCGACCTAAGAAAACCCCCAGAGGCCCAGTGCATTTCCTATCCACATCCTAGGCTGAGGGAAGGCTTGTTGCTCTGGCGCCAACGGGATGAGCAGAGAGCTGGAGTCGATTGGTGCTGGGCTGGGCGGATGGAGGGGGCTGCCAGCGGGAACGGGGTAGCCCAGCAAGACGTGAACGTGGCAGAGAAAGAGGCCTTCCACACCAGTGTGGGGCCACCGAGGAAGTGCGCATGTGCACATAGATACCACATTTGCAGTCCCCGGTCCAAAGTCTGTTCTTGGGGACAGAGAGAGGAGTAGGAGGGACTCATCCCGCAGAGGATGGGCCTGGGGCCAGAAGTCAAAGGACCGCCCTCCCACCCCCCAGCCCCCTCCAACAACACCATCTCTCTCCTCTTTGAGCCTCAGTCTTCTCATTTTTAATGGCAGGGCTATATTAGTTGATCTCTGAGCAGCTTGTGTTCCAGAGAGAACAACCCCTCCCCCAAAACACCACACACACACACACACACACACACACTGAGTTCAATCTTTTGCCACCACCCAAGAGCTGGTCCCCTCCCCTTGGCATCCCCTGCAACCAACCTCTTCCTCTCTCCTGCCCAGGATCCTCACTTCTCCTCAGGACTCCAGCATTCCCCCCACCCCACTGGCCAAGGCAGCTTCCCCATCCAGCCCCCCAAGCCTCACTCCCAGCCGGAAGCAGCAGCTCAGGATGACTGTATGGATGTGCCCACAACAGCCAGGCCCACCAGGCATGGCAGGAAGCAGCAGGTATCCTGATGCAACTTAAAAGAGTCAGGCCTGAGGTCATGGCTGCTCCTTGGCAATAGAGAAAACCCTAGAAACATGAAGTGGGTGCAGTGATAGCTGGAGGGGAGGAGCAGGTTCTGTGCTGTGGGAGTCATCCATTGAGCAAGGAACCGAGGTGTAAGGGAGGAACAGAGGAAGCCCTGGAATGGGAAGCCACCATTCCGAGAGAGCTCCACCACCGGCTGAAGCTACGCTGGGACATTGGGCACCCAGACCAGGGTCCCCCGATCCGATCAAACTCTCCTCTTCCTTCTCCACCCTCAGGCCAGGGGTCCCAGCCCGGGGTGGTCCCCCTCACCCAGTGCAGCCTAGGCATCCCTCCCCTCCTCCACTTCCAGGAGACTGGTCCTCCATATCCTTCTCCTCCTCTTCTCCAGACCCCAGGCCAGCTTCTGTCACTCCACTCCCAGCATCATCTCTGCCCCACTGGTGCTGGAACCATCCATGCAATGAGCTCAGTGCTCCTGAGACCATGTCTATCCTCTCCAGATCCCCTCTGTCCACCCTCAAAACTGCAGGGTGCCCAGTGTGGCCCTGGGAAGGGGAGGGTTCCTCCTCTTAGCCCTTATAGTATCAGCTTGGAGGATCAACATGCCTGGTTCATAGGGCTCATCCACCTGGCCTGTGCCCCCCAAGGAATCCTGCTAGGAAAATCCCATCTTGCTCACGAGACACTCTCACCTGTAAGGCATAGTTATGGCCTGGCAGATGCGGTGACCCCCAACACCCCCCCCCACACACACACACACAAGCATGGATTTGTTAATAGGTACAGATCCCACTGAGGAGTAGTGTCATGCCATGTCACCTGAGATTAGATACCTTGGGCCAGGCTCCTGCAGAAAGCCAAGTGCGGCCGTGGAATCTGGATGCCAGATGCACCTGCTGGGAAGAGGAGGAGCAAACTTGGAGAGAAGGCTGCAGGGACACTGGGGCAGCCCAGAAAGCAATTCTGGGCAAATTAGAAAAATGCCCCTTCCGCAAAGCCCTTCACTGCCATGTGATGGAAAATTGCCTTAATGGTTCCATACATCTTTGTTGATTATAGAGTTGTGCAGTGCACAACCTACACAACAGTAACGGGTGGCCCTGAAGGACGGAGAAGGCTCCAGCCTGGCAGACCTGTGTCCCGTCCAATATCACTGTGAGCTCTTAGAGGAGTTATGAACCCCTCCTCAGCGTAATTTTTTGATTTGGAAAACGGCGGTGATGGCTTTCGGGCCTAAGGGATGGTCTGCCTTCAGGACGAAATGAGATTATGGATGCAAAGCTCTGCTAGGCCTGAAGTAAGGGGCCCCGTGATGGTGGACATGGCAACAAGAACAGGAGCCGCCGACACACGGGAGGAAAAGAGGGGTCGGCTGTTCCCGGACAGGGGACGGGTTTCACTAGCTTGCGGAGTAGTCGTTCTAACTAGAAATACCCGGTCCCGTGGAACCAGGGTGCCACGGCCCACGTCGCCACGGCGGGCGGCCCCTCCGCGGGCTAACGCCGTCGGGGGGCTCACACGGGGTCCCCTCCCTGTTCGCGGACCCTGCCGCCGCCGCCAGCTCGCTTCCCGGGGCCCCGGGGGAGGCCCGGGCGGAACCCGCGTCCGCGCACCGCAGCGCCACCTGGAGCCCAGGAGCGCGAGGTGACGGGCCGCGCGGGTCTCCCGGCTCGGCGGCCGTCCTGCCGTCGTCCCACCCCGAGCGTGGTGCCTTCGGGCCGGGCCTCTCGCCCCCTGCAGCCGCCGGACCGAGGGAGGAGGCCGGGGAGAGACCCCCGGACGGCCAGGGTCCCCGGGCTTGTGGGGTGACGTCACGGGGTTGGGCGGGTGGCCAGGTCTGGCACGCACTGCCCTCATTGTGTGCCCGTCCTCCCTCTTACTCAGCGACTTCAGGGTAAAGTGCAAATTCCTTCAGTTTCCAGCTTTATATCCCCTCTGCCACCGGATGGGAGTCCTCAGCCCCCCAGGGCTGGAGCCTTCGACTACCCGAAGTGCCTTCCATGACTTTCCCCCAGGGCAGCCTCTGGTGCTCGGACCTCCCCCCAACCCCAAACTCATTTCAGGTTAAAATATAGTTCCCAGGCCTCACCTCAATCCCTGGCTTTGAGGCCAGGAATCTGTATTTTTAACAAGCCCCCAGGTGATTTTGACGTGTCCTTCAGAACCTGACGGTCTGCATTCCCAAAGTGGCAGTGATTCTCAAACTTCATCTGTCTCCTTAAAACAGTTTGCTGGGCCCTGCCCTGGGAGTTTCTGTTTCAGTGGGTCTGGGGTAGGGTCTGAGAGTCTGCATTTCTGCCAGCTTCCGGGGCGCTGCTGGTCTGGGACCGCATCCTGAGAACCACTTCTCCAATATAGTTAGAAGAGCTATTCACCTGTTGCCACTTCCCTAGGTACCAAGCCCTGTGCAAGACACTTCACATTCCTACAGCCACGTGAAATAAATAGTTACCGTATTTTCTGGATAAGGAAAGTAAGGTTCAGAAAGGTTCACTCACTTGTCCAAGGTCACACAGCCAGGAAGGACAGGATTTGAACCCAAGTGTTTCTGAGCTGGCCCCGCCTCCTGTGAACTGCTAATTACCTGCTCCCAGGGGCTTGGTCTGGCTCTAGAAGTCAAGCCGGCACCCCTTGAAGCCAGAGAAGGTACTCGATGGGGCTTTGAAGTCCCCCTCCCACACGGCCCTGGGTTCAGGGGACTGACTCTGCTCGGTGCCAGGTTCTTTGCGCAGAGAGCTCACGGAGAGGGGACAGGGAAGCCAACCTGTGGTGTGTGCTGACCCCTCCTTCCTTTGCTCGCATTCATACTGGGAGTGGACGATCCTCTGGCTTCTCCCTGGTTGGCTCCAGAGTTTCCAGAACATTCACCAGGGAACAGGAGAAGGGAAGGACACCAGAGGATGATGGAGGCAGGGCTGCTGGGTCCCGAGAGGAGAAAGGAGGGGACATTGTCGCACAAGGGCCTGGGGAACCTGTCAATGCTGCCTGGAGCTGTTGTCTCAACAGGGCCTGAGTAGCACCCTGTCCTCAGGGGCTGTGGATGGGCTGGAGAAGCGAGCAGGTAGAGGACAATGTGTGTGGCAGGGGAAAGAACGAGTCTGGATGGGCTTTTAGGGATGAGGAGGGTTCTCCCCCGTGACTTCCTACTCGTGTCTATTTCACACCCAGTCCTTCTGGACAGTCCTTATTCTCCCCTGCCTCTCCCTTACAGCCCCCAGCTTTGTGCTTCGCCCTGCTTGCCTGTGGGTCTTAAAGATCTTCTTGGGAAGGGGAGCCCAGTCAGGGAGCCAAAGGCAGGACCCCAAAGGGAGTGAGTCTGAACCCTGAGGCCTGAACCCTGAAGCCCATGCTGAACTCATCGAGCGGACAGGCCAGGACCAAGCAGTGCATTCCCTACCCCAAACATCCACTGAGCACTTCTGCATGCCAGACTCTGTGCTGAGGTAAGCCCTGGGACACGGCCCAGGGGACAGGGTGGGCAGGGACTCCGGGAAGGCGTCTCTGAGGTAGCTGGAGAAGCAGCAGCTCTGAAGGAGGATGGAGAGCAAGCCAGGCGAAGAATGTGGGGGAACTACTTCCAAAACTGAAGAATCAGCATTTGCAAAGGCCCAGGGGGGTTAGAGGAAATAAATGGAAACCAGCCAAGCGCCGTGGAAGTGACAGCACAGACAAACCTGGAGAGATGAGGTCAGGCAGGTGGGCAGGGACCCCAGCCAGGAACTGAGGTAAGGAGATTGGATTTCATCCTAACTGCTACAAGACACCCCGGAAAGGTCTTACATGGAGACACGCTGCGCTCCGAGTTACACCACAAGGATCTCTCTGACCCCATAAAAAATTTCAAAACTCGGGACACCTGGGTGGATCAGTCGGTGAAGCGTCTGCCTTCGGCTCAGGTCATGATCTCGGGGTCCTGGGATTGAGCCCCGCATCAGGCTCCCTGCTCGGCGGGGAGTCTGCTTCTCCCTCTGCTTGTGCTCGCTCTCTCTGACAAATAAATATATAAAATCTTTAAAAAAAAACGTCAAAACTCTATCTGTATGGTAAAAACCTCACACCTGTTAGAATGTCTGTCATCAGACAAGAAATAAGTGTTGGTGAGGATGTGGAGAAAAGAGAGCATTATTTATAATGGCGTTACTTACAAGCTCATTGGTGGATGAATAAAGAAACTGTATATATATGTATAATGGAATATTATTCATCCATAAAAAAAGGAAATCCTGCTGTTTGTGACCACATGGATGGACCTTAAGGGCATCCTGCTAAGTAAAATAAGTCAGGCAGAGAAAGGCAGATACCATAAGATCTCACCTCGATAATGAATAATTTTTTAAAAACAAAGTATATATGCCAAGTAATTTTTGTAAAGATTTCACTTCTACGTGGGAAAACTGGATATTATTTCTGATGACTGCATTCCAATCCACATTATTCCAAAATAAAAAGTTAAAAGAAAAAACAGAGGACTGTGTTAAAACCTCAGCAACTCATATCCCAGAAAGGGTTAACACCCTTTCTATATCCAGAGCTTCTAGATATCAATAAGAAATAATAATAAAAGCAAGCATGTCTACAGCACATAATACGTGGCAAGGACTGTTCTAAGTTTTTTTCTGTGCCTTAATTCATACAATCCTCACAACATCCCTGCATTACCTCCGTTTTGCTGCTGAGGTGACTGAGGCACAGAGGGGTTAAGCAACTTGCCCAAGGCCATATAGCTAGTAAGTGGTAGAGCCGGGACTCAAAACCTGGGAGTCTGGCTCCAGAGGGCAGGCTCTTAAACTCTGTATTGAACTACGTGGGCCTCTAGAAAAGACCCATAACCCAGTTGAAAAAGTGTCAGAGCATATAAACAATAAAGGAAAAACAGCTGGCTCTTAAACTTGGAGGGGAGAGAGAAAGCCGGCGAAGGGTGCTTCGGACCCCCTGCATCCCGGGGACCGGCCTTCTTAGGGCCTTCTCCGCCCCAGCTTGAGCCAGCCGCGGCCACACCTCAGTTGTGCACTCCTCCTTCAACACAAAACACCAAGCCTGTCTTGCAAAACCTGCCCCTCTACAGCCACTCACCCCGGGAGGCACTGAGGGAAAGGGAAATAGGAAGAAGTCCATGACTCAGCTATGGCAGGGACACAGACCCGAGCATCCCCGGTGAGGTGGGCAGACAGGTGTGGGGTGGGTGGGCTCCGCTTTTGAGACAAAGAGGACCGAGAAGGAAAGAGGAGATCCCTACCCTTGGTCCATTTCCCCCTCAGAGATCTTAACAGGCTGGCTGCCCAGCACCCCCAGAATGACCCAAGGAGCAGATAGGTGCCTCCAGCAAAGGGGCAGACAGCATTACCAGCCCTCTAGTTAATCTCGGTCTTGCCACTCCTGAGGGGGAAGACAGGAACAGGTCAAAATTTAGCCACCGATACCCGCAAGTGCACACAGGCGCGTGCTTCTGCACACACGCCCTGTCTGCGCGTCCGAGAATAACTGAGGCCGAAGCCTTCAGCCTTCAGGCCTGGGTCCAGCCCCTGGTGGGGCTCGGTCAGGGCTGGCTCCCCCCCAGCGGTCAGATAGGAGAGCAGATGAGGCCAAAAGGGAGGGGGTGACGCGGGTCAAGAGAAGACCCGCTGTCCAGGGCTGAGACTTTGTTTCTGGGTTCAAGGGCTTAAACCAAGAATGTTTTCCCTGGGTCGACCCTCTTCCCGGCAGCTTTGGGCTGTTAGGTGGTGGGGTTGAGGGGAGCTGAAGGCACCATGTGTCCCCAACCCTGAAGACTATGTGGTGGATAAAGGGAGCCCAGGGCTCAAACCAGAACCCCCGGAAGCTGGCAGGGAGCAGAACCATTTGCTTCAACCCATTATTTTATTTGAAGAGCCCAAGGCCCAGTAGCAGCAATACTGAGTCCAGAACCAAGGGCTTTTGGACTCTCTGTCAAGTGCTCTTCCTGCTACTCGCTGCACATGGCATTTCTGGTCACTTCCAAAATGGCGTGGCATCCAAAACACAGCTGGTCGGAGTGTGCCTCCCACAGACTAGGTGAACGTTTACTTTGTTTTATTCAGTACTGTTTTAGGCCATGGGGATAGAAACCGTACACCGTACGTCGTAACCATCATCATACTCCTAGCAGCTAACATGTACTGAGTCCTTGTGTTGTGCTGAGCATCATTTCCTTCATTCTCACGACAACCCAGTGATACAGGTACTACTTACTACTTTCCCCATTTTACAGATGAGGAAACCAAGGCTCAGAGAGGTTAGCCGATTTACCCAAGGTTACACATCCAGAAAGTGTTAGTTCAAATCGCTTCCCATGCTCTTCACGACTATACTGCACTGCCTCCCAAGTATACTGGCCAATAAGGAAATATAATTTCAGATACTGTTAAGTACTACACGAAGACAAAGCATGGCAAGAGGCAGAGGATGGCCAGGACAGTGGGTCTCTCTTGATTTCTAAGTCAGGCCATCAGGGAAAGGGTTCGGGAAGACACGTGGCGACATTTGCACAGAATCCAGACCGGCAAGGAGCCCACGGTGCCAAGATCTGAGAGAAGGGCATTTTAGACAAAAGGAACAGTATGGATTTTTTTCCAAGAAGGATGGAAAACTATTGGAAGGTTTCAGCAAGGGTATGACATGTTTTGCTGTGTGGTGGAGCCGGACAAAAGATTTGACATTTTCAGGCCATCAGATGATGGTGGAGGAGAAGGGGAGATGGGGCAGAGAGCGAGGGCATCTGGGACCAGCACTCTCATGTTGCTCCCCACATTCCTAGGGCCCCTCTCTTTTGAAAATAAAGGAGGACTCTGGTCCCAACTCAGCCCACCCATAGCCCTACTGCTTTGGCCTCATGAAGTCGAGCAGCTTTGGGGGAGAGGTGCCTGAGGTCTGATGGGGATGGGAGGGGAGGGTGTCCAAGGTGGGAGTTTTTCACAAGACTGTCATCAGGAGGCAGATTTCTGCAGGGGTCACTCTGTCCTCTACTTCTTTCTACCAGGAGAGGGCTGGGGTGAGTAAGCATCCTTCTCTGTAAATCACTACCCCGGGGAGATTCCTTATACTTCCCTCCCAGTTGGAAAGTTCCTCCCCAGGCCCCACCACAGGCCTTGCCTAGGGCTCTGGGCTGGATTACTTAGGATGGGGAGGAAGGAGGCCACCTGGGTGCACGGAGACATCTAGGAAAAGCAAGGTCTGTGGACTTCTCTTCCATCCCACCCCCCTCTCTCCTACAAGTCTCCATTCCCCTGCTTGGCCAAGCCCAGACAGGACTCCATCATGTCTGGGGAGGGAGGGAGCGATGGGAGGTGCCAACAGCTCCCTTGGCTGCGGGCTGAACTCACCTTCTTCCTTTCCTCCCCTCCCACTCCCAAGATGCTAAAGAAGCCAAAGAAAAATGAAGGCAGTATTCCCTCCCATAAGCCCCCAGCTTCCAGCCTGGATTGGCTCCTGGGCCTGTAGCTACTTGCAAGGCTATTTACCAGTGACCCTCCAGGCCACCCTTAACCCTACCCCACCATCCTCCCACTGAAAACCTTAAGGTCCCCAATCGGAAGAGGAGCCTGTCTCTAAGGACTTGGGAGGGGCTGCTCACGCAGTGAAGCACCTTCCAGCCTCTGGACACCCGGGGACACAGACCCTGCACCAATGCCATTGGGCCCCAGAATGGTTCCCGGCACACAGGCAGAGGTGAGGAATAATTGGTGATTGAAAGCCCCAGAAATGAGCCACTGTGTATCCGCCTGTTTTGACTCCCCACCCGAACAGTCTTTGCCTTCATGCCAAACTCAAGACACATTCCCAGTGAAGCCATTTCATGTACTGAACACCTGCAGTGTAACGTGTATGTGTGCGTGTAACATGTATGTTACATGTCCAGTGTGAGCTAGACTCATCAGTTGGATCAATGAAAGCTACATGATCTTATTAAACATGACCTTTCTGTCCCTCGGTTTTCTCCTCCAAGAAACGGAAGCAGTTAATACTTCATCACAAAGCTGTTGTGAGAATTACTTAGAAGGAGACCTAAAAGTAGTCACAGTAGGAGCTTAATGAGCGGTGACTGGTATTCCGTTGGCTGGCAAGGTTGAGGTGCAGTGGACAGCTAATAGGCTCAGGGTAGCAGGACTATAGGGCTGGGCAGCCTGGTGCAGTTCCCGACTTTTGGGAAAGGCAACCCGGATTCCCAGCAAGGGGGCCCAAACTCTTCCAGAGCAGTGAGGGGTGAGGAGGGGGTTCTGGGGGGAGGCGAGTAGTTTGCTGACTTCTCTAGGGAATTGGGTGCTTCCAACAATCCGTCCCCTTTGCTCACTACCCCAGCTTTGCTCACGCCCACCACCTGCTTGCTATTCGCACCAACTCCCCGAGCCAGACCCAGCAGCACAACGAGCCGCACCCTTCCTCCTCCTCCCCCTCTCCCTCTCTCCCCCTTCCCCGGGGCCTCTGCTGGCATCCCTTCCTCCTTCCCCACCGCACCCCCAAGCCCTGTGGACACTGAAATGCCCTAATTTTGCAGACTTTGTGAAATATCTCTGCTTTTCCTTGGGGAGCCACCGCTGCGCCTCCGTGTGGCCGGGCAAGAGGGCGGACTAAGTCCGAGAGGGGTCTCCCCTCGTGTTGCCTCCCGTCCCCCAACCTCCTCCAAAACACCACGGCCTCCCGCCGAGCCTGCCCCCGACCCGCACCCCCCCGCTCCAACTCCCCAGGAGCCAGGCCGACACCCTCACCCGCAGCAGCACGGTCGGCTCTCGGGCGCAGCCGCGCGGCCCCAGCCCCGCCCCCGGCGCCTCCCGGAACCCTGGGAGTTGTAGTTTTCGGCCGCTCTCGGCGAGGGCGCGGCCAGCAGGGCCTGCGAGCCTAACCCACCGATGCGGGTCCGGCTGCCGCCGCCGCGTGGGTCTTCAGACCCACTGACCTCGCTATGCGGGAGCCCCAGAGGGCCAGAGGGGCGGGGCAGTGGGCAGTTCCAGCAGGTCTCGTTTGTTCAAGTCCCTCAACCTCTGCAAAACGCCCGTCTTTGTAGGATTGCCAGGGAGAGCATGGGCTCAGGACCTGGGAGGCGCCACGTATCTTCACTAAAGGGGTTCTGCTGCGGACAGGATGCCCGGAGTTGCTGGCCTGGCAGAGTTGCCAAAGGCAATCAGTCCCTGGAAGTGGGTTTGGGCCCAGGGGGCCCTGGACATGGGGATCCCCCCCAAGCCCCCAAGTTACTCCCACACATGTTTGGGCCAGCCCGAGGTGCCCCGCCCTGCCCCACCCAAGTTCCCCTCATTGCCTCTGGCTATCCACAAACAGACTATATTTACTCCGAAATATCTGATATTTATTTCCCAACATTTGGATAATATTTTTTTTTTTTAAATAAATTGAATAAACGGAATGAAGGGGAATAAGTGGGACCCCAGGCCTGGACTTGGGCTCCCGATGAGAGGTGACAGTATGAAAACTTCTCCTCACCCACAACTCCTGGCCTGCTGCCCTAACCTCTCCTATCAACCTTACCTAAGAGTGAGGTGGGGCTTTTTGGAGGATGTGGGGCTCCCCCCTAGAGGGGACTCCGGGCATCCTGTTTCAGGCCCTGAACTGTGTCAGGTTGGGGGCCAGTGTGGACCCGGATGTGGCGCCGCCTCCGCCTCTCCTGCCTGCGAGCAAGCTGCTGTAGCTGTTTCCGGATGGCCCACAATATTAGGTGCACTTCCCGCAGCATCTCAGCCTCCGGCGTCTCCAGAGGGGACCCAGGCCTCATCTGGGAGGAAATGGAGGTAGAACTCACAGAGGACTACAATAGAGAGAGAGAGAAGATGTGCACACGTAAATAGCTTCATCTAGGGAGAAATCAGGGATACAACCACTGCCAGATGAACAGCAAAGGCTTTTCTAGAGCCAACTCCTCCAGTCAGGCCTAGCTCAGGCACCGCCTCCTTCAGGAAGCCTTCCCAGGCTGCATTAGGTGTTCTTTGTCTCTACCCTTGTGTTTGCCTCAACATTTGGCATGACATCTGCTCTTTGTTCTGCAGACCTGTTTTCAACACTAGAATTCGAGCTCCTGAAAGACAGGCACCATGTCTCACACATCTTTGAGTCCTCACTAGGGTTTCCGGGAGATTGTGTTAAAATGAAGGGCAGGGTTGGGGTGCCTGGGTGGCTCGGTCCGTTAAGCCTTCAGCTCAGGTCATGATCCCAGGGTTCTGGGATCAAGCCCCATGTGGGGCTCCCTGCTCAGCGGGGAGTCTGCTTGTCCCTCTCCCTCTGCCCCCCACCCCAGCTGTGCTCTCTCTCTCTCAAATAAATAAATAATCTTAAAAAAAAAAATGGGGCGCCTGGTGGTTCAGTCATTAAGCGTCTGCCTTCGGCTCAGGTCATGATCCCGGGGTCCTGGGATTGAGTCCCACGTCGGGCTCCCTGCTCGGCGGGAAGCCTCTTCTCCCTCTCCCACTCCCCCTGCTTGTGTTCCCTCTCTTCACTGTGTCTCTGTCAAATAAATAAAATCTTAAAAAAAAAAAAATTAAGGTCAGAATGGCCCCCTGACCTCCATCTTCAGTCCAGAGCTCCCTCCGCATCTCCAGGCCTGTATATCTCACTGTCTCCTAGGTATCTCCATGCAAATATTCCACCAACATCTCAACTCATCTTGTCCCAATGCCCTCAACTCATCACTTGCTCCCCTAAGTCTGCTCTTGTTCCTTCATTCTCCAACGAAGTGAATGGCTCCAGCCCGCTCTGACTTCTGTCTCTCTCTCCCCCTTCACTGTCATCCAATCAACCAGCTGGTACAACAATTCTACCTCTTAAATACCCTGCCTCTCCTCTTGTCCTTTTCTGACCCGCCCATCACAGGGTGCCAAGTGAACTTTTTATTAGTGCTGTAATACTTCATTCAAGGCCAAAATAAGTTGGTTTGGTAGCGATCTAGACACTTCCCTTTTTAAAATTACGTTTCTGACTTTGAGATAATTGTAGTCAGATGCAGTTGTGAGAAATACTAGAGTCCTCGTATGCTCTTTACCCAATTTCCCCCAATAGTAAAATCTTGCGAAACTATAATATTGAATCATGGTCAGAATAATGACACCAATACAATTCACTGATCTTATTCACATGTCCCCCTTTGCTTGCACTCAGTTGTGTGTGTATTAAATTCTACCCAATTTTATCTCACATACGCAGGTTCATGTCGCCAACTGCCACAGTCAACACACAGAACATTTCCATCATCACAAGAATTCCTCATTCCTTTTATAACAACCTACCTGCTAACCCCCAACCCCTAGACCCCGGCAATCACTAAACCACTAATCAAGTCTCCAGTTCTATAATTTTGCTATTTTAAGAGTGGTATATAATATAAATAGAATCATTTTATATATATATTATATATATTATATATATATAATATTGGTTGGGGATTAGTTGTTTTCACTCCGCATAATTCCGGAGACTCATCTAAGTTGTTGGGTGCATCAATAATTTGTTTCTTTTTAAGGCTGAGAAGTATTCCAAGGTATGGAGACATCACAGTTTAACCATTCACCCACTGAAGGACGTTTGGATTGGTTTTGGCTATTACAAATAAAGCTGCTCTGAACATTCACGTGGAGATTTTTGTGTGAACATAAAGTTTCATTTATCTAGGATAAATGCCAAGAGTATGACTGCTTGGCATATGATGATTACAAGTTTAGTTTTATAAGAAACTACCAAACTGGGGCGCCTGGGTGGCTCAATTGGTTAAGCATCTGCCTTCAGCTCAGGTCATGGTGTTGGGGGCCTGTGATCGAGCCCCGCATCGGGTTCCCTGCTCAGCGGGGAGTCTGCTCCCTCTCCCTCTGAAATAAAAATTTTAAAATCTTAAAAAAAAAAAAAGAAAGAAAGACACTACCAAACTGTTTCCAGAGCGGTTACACCACAACCTATGACAGCAGGGGAGCTTTCTAAATTAAAATCTGATTGTGTCACTCCTCCGCTCAAATGTCTACAAGGGTTCCCATTGCTCTTAGGGTCAAACCCAAACTGCACAGATGGCCAACCACTCTGCCTTGTACAAGCTGACCCTTGGCCCCAGGACTGCCCAAACCCATCACGTTGGGCCGGCAACCCCCCACCCCAGCCCCCTTGCTATTCTGTCTTCATGGAATGCCCCCCTCACTTCCTTGCACCCCACTCCACCCCAAGGCAGGGCCAATCCTTCGGGTCTCAGCTTCACCGTCTCTTCTGCTAGGAAGGCCTTCCTTGACTCGCCAAGTCTGCATGAGATGCTCCTCCTCTGGGCTCCTACAGACCCCTGACCTCCCCTGTCATAGCCCTAAGACACTGAACCAACAATGCCTATGATCTTGTCTGTAGCTCCCTTAGTCTGGGTAAATCTCGTTCACCGTGTAGCCTCGATTGCCCGCCTCAGTGCCTGAGAGGCACACAAAACAAATGTCAGCCAAGTGATTGGAGCGGGGGAGGAGTCATGAGGGATCAGGGAGGGTGAAAGGACCACTGGGAACCAGGTAATAGGGTGCTCACCTTCCAGCTGCACATTTGCCAGCCACTGTGCAGGGTCGAGACCATGAGTGTGGAGACAGACTTGACAGCTGTCCAGGGCAGCTGCAGCAGGGACCGGCCCACACGTTTCTGTGCCACCTCACCCTTATCTGTTGATTTGACCAACGTGAAGGGATCAGCCACCTTGGGGGTCTCCGCCGTCTTGGAGACCTTAGCCTCTTCGCAGGGCTCAACCAACTTCAAAGTCTCAATCACCTTGGGACTCTTCTCCACCTTCACTACACTTTTCTGGGAGTCATGGTGTTCCAAGACGGTTGACTTAGCTTTGTGTTTCCAGAAGAAAACCTGAGAACCGAGACAGGGAGAGGAGAGACAAGAGAGGGGCACATGGTTGGCAAGAAGGCCATCACAGAGGGGAAGGGGCCGTGAGTGTCCCCGCCTCCCCCCGCAAATGGGTTTGTGTGACCTAGAGGTCACTGAGCAGAACCTCCCGCCCCAGCATGTCATGAGGAAGGGGCTCTCTCTGAAACTCACCCAGCGAGTAATCTTTTGCCAAATCCATCGGAAGAACCGCATTACCACAGCCATTTCTCCCAATACACGAACACCAAGCAGGGGGCAGGACAAGCATTTGGTACAAAGGGGGGAGGGGAACAGGCTGCAGGCCAGTGGCCACCACCTGAGGGGTCTCTCAGGAGCTTCAGGCACAGCCAAGAAGAAAGAAAGAGAGAATCCAGGGGGAAAGCCTTCACCGACGACTCATCCTAAGTCTTTCCTCCCCTCCCTGAGACAGGGAGAGGAGTCAAAGTGGATGAGAACTCAGAGGAAGGCAGAGTTCTAGCCCATTGTGAGAGCCTGCCTGGCCCTGACCCCAACCCCCGAGGCCCTTCCAGGACCCGCGGAGCCAATCCCTGTGCCCTCAGCCCTCCTTCCCCCAGGTCCAGGGGAGGGAAACTAAGCAGGCCTTGATGGAGGAGGGAGGGCTCCTGAGCTCCTGGTCCTCCCTGGACATTCCCCACGTATGATGTCACGTAACCAGCGGAGCGGCCCTCCCGTAGGTATTTTACCCACGAGGAAGCTGAGGTGCAGACAACACAAAGAACCTGTCATAAATCTAGGGAGCTATAGGGCGGGAAGTCCAACCTGGGGCGGCCTCCAGTATCCCACTCTTCACGGGGCCCCTTTAGTCTGGGGCCCCGGGTGCTCTGAGCGGAGGCTGCTGCTTTCCCCCCTTCCCCACTAGATGGGGTCCTTCTCCCTACCTGCCTCTGCTGCCCGGGGTGGGAGCCCAGCCCAGGCTGTCAGGGAGGGGCCCGGCTCACCCACAGGGCCGGTCCTCAGCCAGCGGAGGGTGGAAGCCACGGAGGCCGGCCAGGCCTGGCGAGGGCACCGTGTGCCCGGGGAACCTGGCCCACACCCAGCGCTGAGACAAGGGGCCCATTCAGGGCCCCCAGCCCCGCCCCCCAAGCCGCCGCCACGGGGATCCAGCCCACAGAGGGGACACACTGGGAAGCTGGGGGTGGATCCTGCACAATCACCAAAGGCCTCATTGTTTCCCTGGCCCCCACCCCCAGCACGTGGGCTGACGCCCCCCCCCCCCCCCTGCCTGCCCCTTCCCAGGACCCAGGCCGCTGACTCCCCTTTGGGCCCTTGGCGCACCCCCCTCTCAACTCTTTCGACCACTGTGTCTAAACCACATTCAACCTCCCCAGTCTGGACAAGATCTCCAAGGGAGCCCACACCTCCGTCTTTCCCCCACACGTGGAAATACCACTGCAGGCCACATCTGGACACAAGCAACGAGATGCCAACCTCCAGATTCAAGTTTCTTCGGATTTTTTAATTATAATTATTATTTTAATAACAACCTGAATCCCAGAACTTGCAGACTGTCCACACTCCCTCCCCTGGGCAGAGGAGAAGGGGTACTTTGAGGGAACAAGGTGGGGATGGTGTGTCTGCCGGAGAGACTCCAAGTCCCCCAGCCATCGACTGCCAGGGGTCCCAGAACACTGACACCTCGGGAGGCAGGAGGGGGGCTCCATCCAACATCCCATCCTGAAGCCCTCCCTCCTCCTTCAAGGCCTGGGGGTGCCCCCGCCCAGTCCCTGGGCACTAGGGAGAGACTGAGGAAGAATGGGGGGGACAGGCCACATCTGAGCCTTCAACTCCCATCCCCAGGGATCAGGAGGCATTAAAGCTGCATAGGAAGGGGGGCAGGCAGCCATGGCAGCCCCCAAAGGCACATTGTGAGGGAAGGGAGGCTCAGACGGAGGGCCCGTTGGGTGCAGGGGGCCCAAGCCGCGGGACTCCCGAGGAGGGCAGCTGGGCTAGCTGCTCGGGGCTGGCCAGGGCACGCAGCAGTCCGTTCTCCTGCTCCAGCGCGGCGTTCCGCTCGGCCAGGTCTCGGATCTGCTCCTTCAGCACCTCTACCTCCTCCCGGACCGCAAACATGAGGTGGGACTTCACCAAGTCCTGGGGGCCCAGGGACAGACAAAGAGTCAGGGGTCCCAGGCCACCCAACCTCATCCCTGCCCAGGGCCTCGAGGGCCTGGCTGTGAGAGATGCCCCTGCCTGCTCCCAAATGATGAAGGACCACTGGAGAAGCAGCAAAGCAGGGAAGAGGCCGGGGAGGGGGAGGCGAGGGGGGTTTGCGGTGTGCAAGGATGCCGACAGAGACAAGGTCAGGGCTTGAGGACAGAGAAGGGGGCCAGGCCAGGGGCCAAGGGAGATCGGGAGTTCAGGTGGAGACAGGAGGGAACCCAGGGGGGAGCGGGCTGAGGAGCCAGGAGTCGGAATTCCCTGATGAGGACAGCAGGACGAGTCGGAACCTCCCGGGACCAAGATGGCTTCTCTTACCATGGCTTGTTCGATCTTGTTGTCAATGCCAACCAGGCTTCCGGAGCCGCTGGAGAGACACAGGGAGTTGAGAGGTGAGGAGGAGTAGGTGCCAAGCCAGGTGTCTGGACACCCCAGCCGGCTGCCTTCCAGGTGCTTCTCAGAGCGGGCTTTGGCCGCCTCCACAAACCCTTCACTGCAGCCTCCCGCCCACACCCCTGCCTGTACCTGTGACAGAGAATCAGGGAGAGGAGAGTTCTGTCCGTCCCCCGGCGGGGTGGGGGCCGTTGCCCAGGCACCCCCAGGCCCCGGCGGGGTGGGGGTGCAGATGCCCCTCGGATGGGGGATGCTCCCCGAGGGGAGCAAGGAGAGGAGACACAGCCCCTTTTCCGGGGAGGCCCTGGCGCCATCCCCACCACTCGGGTCTCATAAGATGACACCAGGGACTTGACAGAGGTGCCTGGCTGGGCCATCCCCAAGGGAAAGGGCTTTAGGCCCCCTCCAAAGGGAGAGGGCTGTATCAGAAGGACTGCCTGGGGGGCTCAGAGCCCCCCGGGGCACAGCGGGGTCTGGCTGGTGCCAGGCAGGCAGAGAGGAGACAGTGCCCAGGGGGTGCTCGTCTGCAAGATATACGCCGCCCCCCAGGGCAAAGCCTGACTGCTATTGGCTCCTCGGGGACACGGGGACCCCCTCCCACTGACTCCACGGTGGGCGGGAATTCCCAGACACGGTCAGTGCCAGTGTCCCCTTCTCACCCTGGCACCAATCCCAGAGCAGAGGGAAGGGGGCAGGCTGAGGGAAGGCAGCTGGTGGGCTGGGTCAGGGGAGGGGCTCTGAGGCCAGAGGCCTGGGTCGGGGGGGTTGCGAAGGGTGAGGGAGACCTACCCCCACCCCACCCCGTCCGCCCCTCTGGGCTAATACTGGCCTCCCTCAAGCTCTCAGCTCCACTCAGCTGGGATAGCGGGCGTTTCTGATAAACTTGTCATCTTCCTTGGACTGTAAGCATCGCCCCCTGCCCCGGCCATCCCAGACACAAAGCCCACATCATGGGTGACACCTGGGGCCTGGCCAGAGAGGATCTCCCACCTCCCATGGTGAGGGAGAAGAGAAATGGAAAGGTCACCAAAGCAACGAAAACAGCCCTGAAAGGCAAGCACAGCCTATGGATCTGGACCCTGGGTCTCGGGTCTGGGGTCTTAGAGGGAACAGAGGCTTGAGGAGAGGTGGGAAGGTGAGGCTGGAGGTGGGACATCGGGAATTGGAGCAGGGGCTTTGAAGATCCTTGGGAGCGAATGACAGGGGAGAGCAGGTCTGGCTGCAGTTTGTTAAATGGCCAGCAGAGGGCGACTCAGGCCCAGCGAAATGGGTCCCAGGGTCAGCCTGTGGATCCCTCAAGCATGTCTTGCCTCTCGGAGGCGAAGGGCCTGCACAAGCCTTTCTGCCTTGCCCTCCCCCCCTCCCCCAAGTCTCCCTCTTGTCACCACCCAGGTCTCAGGCTCCTGCCTCATCCCAAGGCTCACGACCCACCCCTGTCCAGCTTCTCCCTCAGCCACGTCAGCCCTGGGGCCAGCTCTACACCCAGGCCTCCCTGTGCTGCAGGATCGATCCTGTCCTCCAGCCCCCAGCTTTGCCTCTCTCAGAGTGGGTGGTCTCAACATGCTGCATCCTGCACTCTTGTGCTCCCTTGTTGAGCCCTTTCTCCTGATTGTCGGCTCCAACTCATTTCCCTGTGGGGGAATGAGCACTCCATTCAAGGTGACCCTTGGATGAGGCCCTGCAGCCAGGAAGGGAGCACGAGGGAGCTGGGAATTTTCCATTTCCTGTCCAAGCTCTGGGTGCAGAAGGCACTGACAGGTGGAGTAACCAAGGGGGTGACCAGACCTGAGAGAGCGGGACAGGGTAGGGTGAGGAAAGGACACTGGGACTCCTGGGGTTGGGGCGGGGGCGGGGGGAGACAAGACAAATTTAAGAGTGGAGGGTGAGCCAGCCAGCTGGAGAGCCAGGGCAGTTTTTAAGCTATTTCAATCTGAGACACCTGGGTGGAGTCTGGGCGACCACAGGGCACACACCCTGTCCCCCCTCCCCCAGTACACACACACACACAGAGACCAAAGAGGGGAAGATTCACAGGAATAGGAACACTGGCCTTGCTTGGCGGACACTCAGGTAAAGATGCCAAGTAAGTTGTTTGTTCTTGCCAGAAATAAAGGAATAATACAACAATAAACATTTCTTGGCTGATAGATGACTATCTCCTGTTTGTCTAGTGCTGGAGAGTTTTTGACAGCACTTTCCACTGTCACACTCTAACGTTAACCCTTTAAGGGACCAGGACTCCGGCTGGCAACCCAAACCCTCCCTTTGAGAACCTCCCCCGCCCCGCACTAAGTAAAGAGAGGGCACTGTGCCGGAATTCCCCAGGCAGAGTCAGGACCCCGAAACTTGGAGCTGGCTGTGTGGGATCAGCCCCCACCACAAGCCCAAAAGGTGACTGTGTGCATTAGAACAAAATGCCCCCTCCTTCAAGACACTTATTGCCATCTTCTGGAAAACTGTCATGACTTTAAGTGTCCACGACAATGACTTCAAATGTGAGTGGCGCCCCCTGGGGTTGGGCCTGCAGGATATGCACAGCTGAGGACTCTAGCCCTGCAGGAGGACTCTGGGGCCTGGGACAAGGACAGCCCTAGAGGCTGGCCTTCCTTTTTGAAGGTCAAATGAAACAGCCTCAAAATGAGGATCAGACGAAGAAGCAGGACACCTGGGAGAGGTGGAAAGGTTCTGATCCTGGGGACAAGGGCCAGCCCCGCTCCCTAGCTATGCTCTGAGGAGCCCGCAGGGGATGGGCCTGAGACCAACAAAGTGGCATCGGGCTGTCCTCTCTGCACTACGCCCTCCCGGATCTGTGGTGCCTTTGGGGTGGGGCCAGGCCAGAGTTGGTGGGGGGGAGCTCCTTGCCCGGCTTAGGAAAGCTGTCCCTGCCCCTGTCCTGGAAAAAAACGGCATCCTAGAGATGACTGCCTCCTCCTCTTGGGACGTAGGCATCCCAGTAGGAGAATGTAGAATGTGGCTTTGGGGTCAGACCCAGGCTCTGCATGCAGTCCTAGCACTTACTAGCCTTACTAGCCCGGTGACCTTGGGCAAGTTTCTAACTCCTCTGAGTTTCAGCTTCTTCATCTGGAAAGTGGGGATCATGGGGTTGCTTTAGTGAGATAAAAGGCAGCACCTGACCCAAAGGAGGCACTGGATAAATAAATGTACTTTTTCTTTCCCAAGTCCCTGGGATTCATTCCCTGTAATGCCTGGATCCCCCATGCTGGCCATCTACCCACCCATCCATTCGTCCATCCATCCACTTATTCAATACCTTCCAACTGCCAGGTCCTGTCGGGGACACAAAGGTTTTGCCACCCAGGATCACGTGAGCATTCACCATTCACCAGGCACCCTCTGTTCTCCCATCCCCAGATTCTGAGATTGGCAGGCATCCCCAATTTCCCATCTGGGATCCAGGCACTTAACTCCCCAGCCCACTTTCCCTCTTGAAAGGGAGATTCCATGCCACTCAGACCCTGTTCTTCTGCCAGCTCTGGGCATACCAGAGAGATGAGGTGGGGGCTACATGCCTCATTCCAGGGGACCAAGGGGGTGGCCCAACCCAATCCTTCCTACTGGCCCAGCAGGGTGGGGCAAGAGAGGCGCTGGGCTAGAGTAGAGCCCCCGAGGCTTGGAGTGGAGCAGGATAAAGTGGAGGCTGGGTGCCTGACCGGTCAGACTGGGGTGTGGGCAGGGGTGGGACAGAGGGAAGGCACGAGCCAAAG